GAGCCATGAGCTGGTCGAAGGCGGCGTCACGCGCCGGGTCCGAGCCGAGCCGGTCGGGGAAGTCAAAGTGGCGCGACGCAGCGGTCGACGGCGCGGCGGGTGAGTACCAGCCTGATTCGCGGCTGTACGGGTCGATCTGGGACTGCGCGCGCATCGCCATGCTTCCGCGGGCGTCGCTATACGCGCGCCCACCCTCTGCAAGCGCAGGCGACATAGGAGAGGGCGGCGCGTCGAGGTCGAGGATCGTGCCGGTGGGGACGTTGGCAGAGGCTGGGCCAACTGCGCAATTCGCGCCTGTGCCGCCTGACCCGCGCGTCGTACTGCTCTTTCCCTTGTTGAGCTCGATGAGCGGCGCTCCCGTCGTACGGTGCGCTTGGATCGGCTGCGTGGGGCCGACAATGTTGCATGTGCTGCCGTCGCCGCTCGAGATGGGCAGCAGCTGACCCGTGATAGGTCCGGGACCCTCGCCGACGGCCCGGCCCGCCGCTCCGCTGCTGCTGCTGCCGCGACGCCGACCGCCGCCGCTGGCAGCATTGCCGGCGGAGGAGGAGAAAGATGCAGAACCCTGATGTTGCACAGCATGCTCATCTCCAAAGGGGTTGAGCAAAGGGTATGCGTTATTGAGTTGTTCTTCTCGTATGGAACCAGCGGGAGCCACTGGATGCGCAAATTGCGCGGGAGGGTAGGCACTATAGAGCTTACCTCTTGAAGGCGCGTGGGTCGACGTACCCTGCGTTGCGCGGGAAGATGTAGTGGACATCGCGACGCCGCCGTCAGTGGGTGCGAGACTGGGGTTGGAGTTGTTGATATTGAACAGCTTGCGGCGGATGCTCATGCGGCCAGTGCGTGTACTGCCTGCGCGGATTGAGCGGGCGTCCATCGTGCTCTCCTCGTCATCGTCGACCTCGACCCCCTCGGAGATGCGCGAGAGATGCGTCGCGGCGGACGTCGAGTAGCGGCGATTGACGCCCAGGCCAACGAGGGCGCCAAGCGTGTCCTGCTCGCTCTCGTCGTTCTTGCGATACGTTGTGAGGCCATCGGGGCGCAGCTCGGTGTACTCAACGTCGTCCTCGTCGACCTCTTCGAGTTCGCTCAGCGCGTTGCTGCCTGCGAGGCCATTGCGCGCTTCCTGGCTGCCGGAGGTTCCGACGCTACGCCCGTCGGCGCTTGCGGCGCTGGACGAGAGATTCGCCTGCTGGCCTGGACGGAACTTTTTGCCGGCGGCAGCGCGGACCTTGGCGTCGTTGCGCGCCTGCTGCCTTGCGATCTCCCGCCTGCGCGCGCGCGTGCGCCAGACGAGGAAGAGCAGGCCAGCAATGGCGACGACGCCGAGCGCGCCGCCGACGGCGCCGCCGATCCTGCCGCCGTTGGAGCGACCTCCAGAGATGTCGCCGATGCATTGGTTGGACATGCAGCTGATGCCGCACTTGAGCGGAACGAGGGTGGATTCGCAGATCTGACCGGTCTTGCAGGTGGGGCAAGTGGGCGGATAGAGCTTGGTGTCGCACTTGCAGTCGGATGGCTGGCGGACCTGCAGGTCGGCAAAGAGCGTCTCGATGTTCGCTACGGGCGGCGCGTCCAGACCATCAACGCGGCCAAAGGGCTGCGGCCGCATGGCCCAGCCAGACGAGGCCATGGTCTGACTGTGCGGCAAGAACAAGGGAGGGGGGATGTCAGTGGCAAGGGTCGAGACGAGTCGACTCCGCTGTCACCTTGGCGGCTCGTGATCAAGCTCACATGTATGTAAAAGTGGAAGGAGGATGCGGGCCAAGAGAATGGCTCTTCTGTCTGGCTCTATGCGACTATGCACAGCGTACCTTCTCGGTGCCACTCGATTGTGCGATTCGAGGCGGACTGGCGCAGCGGAGGAGGAAAGCAAAGATACCACCAGCAGCCAACGCCCGCAAGTAAAACCGACACGACGAGTTCTCGCTATCCAACGCTGGTTGGGACTGAGCTGGAACAGAGCAGGGCAGGCTGAGGCAAAGTCAGAGCTTTTTCCGCAGGGGCGGCGGTGGTGGTGGTGGTAGCGGCGACCAGGGAAATGGTGGAGGACGGATCAGGAGAGAGTTGAGATAGACGCTATCTGGGTGCCCATGCGAAAGAGAGAGATGCTTGCCCCGCCCCTGCCCCCTTTCATTCGCTTCTCTTGATTCATGCCAAGGGCATGCGGACACCGAGAGTCTGGGTGGGCACCTCACTAATGGCACTCGGCCACTCACCGCACCCACACACTCTAAAAAAAAGGGCAAGCAAGAAAAGTCCCAGCTGCCGAAACTATGCTCATTTTTCATAAAATTTCCCCGTACCACCCATTAGATGTTAATTATTATCCAGGATGAATGGATGTGGCGCAAGTGATTCAGAGAGAGCCACACTCTCGGCAACCGTCCGCTGGCGTCAGGCAAGTCTACTCTCAAAACTCATTCCTTCGCCCCATCACCCGCGGTCCCACTACCAAGACCAACCGCCCGCCCACCGCCGCTGTCTTGGCCTTGTTCCTTGCTCACATCCATCGCAGGCAAGGCAGAGTAGGGTTGGTCGACAGCCGCATTTCACCATCAATCAGAATCCATGCTTGCTCTCGCACTCCAACAACTTTCGCTTTACTCGGTCATCGCCTAGTTCCAGGACGCGCGGTCTCTCATGTCACCTGTCCCCATCGCGCCTCGCACGATGGAATGTATGCTTTGCTGCACCAATACAGGCATATCTATCTACACATGCAGCCCCAGCCCGCGCCACCGCTGCATCCATTATCACGCCTTCATCCGCGCCGGCACCCAGCGGCGCACTGCGACGACCTGCACTCGGAAGCTGCGTCCCTGGCGCAGGCCGCGCACGAGCGCCGCGGGGGTGTCCACAACGCCCTCTGCGCTGCTGCGCTGCACAGACGGCACCGAGACGTAGCAGAGTAGGAGCGTCTTGAGCACCTGCGTATTCACGCGGTTCACAGAGCTGAAGCGCACCCAGTCCATCACCCCCGTCGTCGCCCCTCCGCCCCCGCCGCTCTCTTTGATGCCGAACACGTCCCGCCCGCGCGCAGCCTCCCCGTCATCTGCTGGCCGCTCGGTCTCTTGCTGCGCTTCGCCCTCGTCCTCGTCGTAGCTCGGTATCACCAGCACGGCAAATTCAGCGTGCCCAAAGACGGGCCCGCGCTTGTACAGCAGGTAGTCGACACAGAACTTGGTCCCGCTTTTGACGACCCAGCCGAGGCTGCGGAAGTAGTGGTAGGCAACGTACGCCAGCAAGAACGGGTTGTCCGGGCGCCGCAGCAGTGCCAGCTGCGCCGGCGAGGACGAGCGCAGCAGTGCGCTCGGCTCCGACAGCGGGAGGTCGCGCAGAGACGGATGCGCACAGTGTGCAAATTGCGGATGCGCCGCCAGGCAGAGCATGTACAGCGTGTCCAGATCGAGGACGCATTCCTGCGGGGGCGAGGGTAGCCATGCCCAGGTGGTTGGATGATCGGAAGGAACATATGCAGAGGCTCAGCACATGGCGTGTAAATCGCAAGTCTCGCAGAGAAAAGGAAAATACGCACCTCTTGATCTTTGACCTGCAACACGCCCAGCATGGCAGCGAGGAAGAACGCTTCAACCATGCTGAGCTGCACAAACTCCACTTCGTCCACGTCCACGTTGATCGACTCTTCCGCTCCCACTTCTTCCTCTTGAACAACCGCACCCTGCTTTGTGCGGTCTTGCTTGGCGAGATCATGTTGCTTGCTCGTTTGCGATGATGACATTGCCGCGTCGTCTGCGGTTGCAGACGATGCGCCAGGAGAGGAGGCAGAGACCGGGTCATTCGCCTTTGCCGTCGTTGGCTTATCCCCTTCTCGCGCGCATGGCTCCTGCTGAACCTGCGCCTGCGCGGGCCCTTTGCTCGCCGGCTGTCGAAAGTAGATCAGACCAGGCACGTGCTGCCCTCTGTACCCATCGTCCTCTGTCTCTCCTGCTCCAGCAGCAACATCACTGCCACCGCCGCCGTCCACTACGCCTGCAGGGGCTGCATCATGCACTTGGACTTTGCGCATGATCTCCTCGAGCTCGTCCGCATCCAGCGACCCGCCGAGTGCTATGATGCCGTCCGGCAGCTGTGTGCCCGCGCGTACGGCCGCCTTGGCGCGCTCGATCTTAGCCACCTGCCGCTCTCGTCGCCGGATCGCTGTCAGCTCCTCGGCGGTCAACGGCGTCGCTCGAGCCCCTGCAGCTACAGCCCCGGCGCTGGCCACTGCTTCTGCGCGTGCACGCTGCGCCAGAATCGTGCGCGTGTGCACCTGCCGCTCGCGCCACGTCGGCTCGGAGCGCGAGAGGCTGCCCTTGCCAAAGAAGCCACGCCGCCAGAGGAGGGTGGCTGATTCGGGGCAAGTGACCCATACGCTGCATGTGAGTGGATCGAAGTGTCCAGTCACGATGAGCGGCGAGGAGCTGCCAGTGGGCTCTGCGTTCGAAACATTCTCCGAGGTAGCATTGCTTGCCGTATGCTGGCCACGAGTGCTCAAGAAGGAGGGGATGAACAAAGAGAGCCACTGGGCCCAGCTCTCGCCTTGCCTCTCGACCTGCTTCGCTTTGCCTTTCTCATCCACGTTTGCACCCGTCGCGTGGGCAGCGTTCCGCATCGCGATCGCTCGTGCCTTCGCGCGCCTCCTCTCCAGCTCCCTCTGCTCCTTCTCATTCCACTCCCTCTCATCGTCTCGCGGAACAAAATGTAGCGGAAGAGGGTGCCTGTATAGCTTTACCTTGTTGGCGGCGCCTGCCTTACCCGTGTTCGCGCGGCCTGCATCGGCGGCCCAGTCGGCGGGTTGCACCTGACCCGACGGCAGAGCCGTCCCCGGTCGGCGCTGCGGCTTTTTCTGGTAGCCGCGAGGCATCTTGCTCGACGAGGCGGTCTGCAGCTACGTCTCAGCGCCTCGGGGCTCGGCTCTTTCGGGAGTCCTTAGCGACTATGCGAGGCGAGGGACGAGTGAAACGTGACTCCTATTCGCCGTCCGGCTGAAGTTTGGCGCCAAGGGAGGCAGACTCTCTGCCTACACTATTGAGTCCTTCAGCAGAACAAGCGTGGCGATGACTCAACAGTGAGAGTGCCTCTGCACATGCGGTTCGAAGAAGACATGAGGGTTAATACTGAACAAGCAAGCACGGGACAAGAAAAAAAATAAGGTGACGATGAGATTCGATTCGATGAGATGTCATGAGCATGATGGGGGAGCATTGCACCGATTGCGCGGCGCGCCTGGGGGAATGGCGGAGCGGGGGCGCTGTCCGCTGCCCGGCGCCGTCGGCCAAGCACCTGCCGGCCGGTGCTGGGTGGTGGCAGCAGGGAATTTGGTACTACAGCACTCAACCCCACGCCTCGAGGTACCAAACACAGCGCAGCAATACAAAAGGCACATGACTCAGCAAAGCGCAATGACATGTGCGCGAGTCGAGTGGAGGACAAGTGTACGTTCCTGCTATCCGGGCTATCGGCCTACCTCGGGGTCATGGTGTATACATCATACCATAGAAGACAACATACCCGTCTGCTTCGGACGAGATACCCCTGCCCAAAGACAACCACGACGCTTTCACCTCGTGACTCGTGCATCTGCGCGCCACGATACAAAGGGCGCTCTGGAAGACGGCCCTGGGTGGGGGTGATGACCTGGCAAAGCTTCTGGCTTATTGTGACAACTTCCAACGCTCCTCTTCTGCGCGACACGTTACGTCGCACGACGCTGCTACCCGCTGATTAACCTCTTTCGCTTCTGTCGAGCGTGTTTCGCCATAGACGGTCCATACATTTACGGTGTGCAGGACAGGATCGTGCGTGACGTCAGGGCAAGGGCGAAGGTCAGGCATTTCCGAGACACAAGGTCACCCTCGACCAGCGGCGGGATACACCATGTCGACTACCGTGAACTATCTGGAGCAACTCCTGCTTCTGGATCAGTTCTACCGATCCCAAGATGGCGCAAGTTTGCGCGGCTTCTCACAGGGGAACGGCAGCGTCTTGACTCCTGCATCTTCAACAATGGCACACTCAAGCTCTGTGGGATACGGTGGGCTTGTAGCAGACCTGGCCCCTGCGGCAGACTTCACCTTCGAGCTAACGCTGCTGGCGCTCGTCCGCGCCGTATTTCCCGCTATCCTCGTCCTGCTTTACCTCCTCGCTTCTACGGGACTTCCGCAGCATGCATTGAGCATCCTGACGCCTCGCAGCTGGCGTGGGCTCTTGGACGAGTTCGTCACCGACGAAGATGTGCGGAGAATGCAGGAGGAAGAGCGCAAAGAGCGCGAGGGACAGGAAAAGATGGGAGCAAAGGTACAAAGGGGTACAGAGGAGCTGGCACTGGCGCCGGCACCGGCACCCAAAGCAGCAACAACAGCTGGGGTGGAAGGGGAGGCGGAAGCGAACGAAAGTACACATCTACTTTATCGGGGAAATGGCGGCTGGGTCAATCCTGCAAATCCGCTCGCACCGACTGACTGCCCCTGGCCCGCTCCAAAGATCACTCTCGGCCTCACACTGGTGTCTCTGCTGCACATCTGTGCCCACCTCGCGCTTTTGTGTTACCAACTCACATTCCACCCATCATCGTCCTCTCACGCTCATGTGTCCCCTTCAGACAGAATCCTAACACCGGCCGACATGCGCGAGATCCTAAGCACACAATCCCTCATCCTGCTCTCGTGGAGCTACGTCCTCATTCGCACACTCTTTGCGCCGCAACGCACGCCGCCAAGGGACACATTTGCGCTGCTTGTCGTCTTCCTGCTCGGAGCGATCCTCCAGCTGCATTACACACTCGCGAGCGCATTTGCCTCTGTATGGAGACACCAGGCCGGTACGTACGGTTTCGTCAACGCCTCACGAGCTGTTGGTGGCGCGGCAGGCGAGAGCGTTCGCGGCGTCGCAGGCAATTTGGTGCTCGAATGCGTATCTCTCGCTTCGCTGCTCTGGGCACTGTGGCTGGTCGGCACCATGCCGATCGCCGTATTTCCTTCCTCAAATGACTTCTCCTCGTTATCACCGGAGCAAAAGCTGGTACTTTCCGACCCGATGTACACCCTCTACGCGCCCGAGCGCATTGATGTCGATGCGTCGAAGCTCTCCTCGCCCGAAGACACGTGCACGCTGTTCCATTGGCTCACCTTCCGCTGGGTCGCCTCGCTGCTGCGCGCCACGCGCAAGGGTAAGCTCGACGAGACAGACGTATGGCAGCTGAGCAGGTTTGTGAAGAGTCGTGTGCTGATCCGAAAGTGGAACGAGTATCGTGTCGGCAGCGGCAGCGGCAGCAACAAGGAAAAGGCCAGCGGTAATCTAGCGCTCAAGATTTTCAGGACCAACTCCAAGGACATGATTATCGACTTCTCTCTTACAATTGTGTCTAGCACCCTGGGCTACGCAAAACCATTCTTTCTTAAGCGCATCCTCGAAGCCATCGAAGCAGAGCGAGGCGGCACGAAGGTCCATGCGGCAGCAGGTGACTACATGCAAGCCCTGTCGGCGCACAAGGTCTACGCCGCCCTCGTCAAAGGCGGCCCAGAACACACGTCGAAAGAGACGGCGTACCTCTTCGCGCTGCTCGCCTTCCTCGCTGTTGTGCTGGAGAGCCAGACGGACCTGTATCACCTGTATGCCGGGCGCCGGGCGGCCACCAGGGTACGCAGCGAGCTCATGGCTAGTATCTACGAAAAAGGGATGAAGGGCAAGAGCGTCTCCGGACTCGTAGAGAAAGACGAAAAGAAGGCCAACACAGTGCCGAAGGCGGGAGCAAAGAAGCCAGTCGCAGGCTCTGTCGCGGAGAACAATGCCGCAGGAGCTGCAGTCGACAAGGATGAGCAGGATCAGAATGGGCAAGGTGTCGGCCGCGTCGTCTCCCTGATGGCCGTAGACGCGACACGCATTGCCAACTTTGTCGCCATGCTCACCATGCTCTACGGTGCACCGACCGAGCTGATCATCGCACTCGCCTTCCTCTACAACATCCTTGGCTGGTCTGCCTTTGCGGGACTCGTTGCGCTGCTCGTCGCAACGCCTCTGCAAAGTATCTGCACGCGCATCGGCGTCCGGCTCAGCAAGCGCCTGAGTAATATTCGCGATAGCCGCATGACTGCGCTCAACGAGTATATCTCCAACCTCAAGATGATCAAGCTCGTCGCGTGGGAGGGCAACTTCGTTCGCAGGATCCTCGAGGTCAGACACAAGGAGCTGAATCTACTCTTCCAGCGTCAGGTCATCAACAGCTGCATGTCCTTCCTGTGGACCATTGCACCCTCTAGCGTATCGGTACTGGCTTTCGCGAGTTACACGCTCATCGAGGGAAAGCCACTCACCATCTCTGTCGCTTTCACTGCTCTCAACCTTTACGTCAACCTTGCGGGCCCGCTGAACGTCATTCCACTCATCATCAATGAGGCCGTCACGGTGTATGTGTGCTGTGATCGGGTCGAAAAGTTCCTCGAGTGAGTGAAAAGCGTTGACGAGAATGACTGGAATCGAGACTGATGCCCCTTCACATTTCCTATTTGGCCCGAACCAAGTGGCGAGGAGATTGAGGATCGCATATCTACACTGCACAAGCCGGTGGATAAGGCAATCAAGCCGCTCACCGAGAATGTCAGCTGCAAAAATGCTACCTTCCGCTGGTCGCTGATCGCTCCAGCTGCGGACAAGGAAAAACGGACGAATAACAGTTTCGTCACACGGCTCCAGGGACTCACTCGCAGGATCAAGCTCTGGGGTCGCAGCTCGGGTGCGCCAAGCATGTCAGCTACCACTGCAAGTGACGGCGCAACTGGCGAAGCGGACGAAGAGGAACATCCCCGAAAGCCTTTCGAACTTGCGAACGTAACGATGAGCTGCGAGCCAGGTCTGACGCTTGTCTTTGGGCCGACAGGCAGTGGCAAGTCGTCGCTTCTTAACGCTTTGCTGGGCGAGATGGACCTCATCGCTGGCAATCTGCACCTTCCCAAACTACCAGGTCACTACGATCCTTCGACAGGCCTCAATGGTGGAATCGCCTACTGCGCACAGCAGCCTTGGCTACAGCAGCGATCGATCCGCGAGAACATCCTATTTGGAAGCCCCTTTGAGAAGGAGAGATACGAACAAGTGCTGGAAATCTGCGCGCTCAACCCGGACCTGGCTATTTTTGAAGAGGGCGACCTGCAAGAGGTTGGAGAAGGCGGAATCTCGCTCAGTGGCGGACAGAAGGCCAGACTGGCACTCGCTCGTTGCGTCTACTCTCGTGCTAGGACATGTCTCCTCGATGATGTCCTGTCGGCCGTCGATTCACACACCGCAGAGTTGCTCGTCAACAGCTGCCTGCAAGGACCGCTAATGAAGAATCGCTGTGTCGTTCTCGCCACGCATCATGTCGAGCTGGTCTTGCCCATTGCCACATGCGTCATCAAGATCAACAAGGGCGCCATCACTGCCTCAGGCTCGCCCCAGGAGCTACGCGCTGCTGGCGAGCTCGAGGACTTGCCGACGCTCTTCAATGATGAGGACGACACCGAAGGCTCAGCAGTAAAACTGGAAGGGGCGAAAAGCCAAGATGCGAGCGTTAAGCTAAAGATCGGCGCGGAGGATGCAAAGGCCACGCGCAAGTTGGTCGAGAAGGAAGAACGCGCAACGGGTAGTGTTAAGTGGAGCATCTACTCGATGTACCTAAAAGCATGCGGCTATCATTTGCTTGGCTTGGCTGTTTTCTGCATCATCCTCGCCAAGGTCATCAACACCAGCGCACAGCTTTGGCTGTCGTACTGGGCTCAAAGCAACTACAAAGAGCGCTCTGCACCTGGCACTCTCATCACAAAGGTGTACCAGTCTTCCTACTCGCCTTTCGTGGTCAAGGCATACTCTCAGCTGTACGATGCGACTTCCAAGAGTTGGCTCCCTCCCGCCGCACAGAACCCAGCGCCATACATCCTGGTCTACGGCGGCATCCAACTATCGGAAGCAGTGGTGCTCATGATGATGGTCATCATTACTTATGCAGCGACACTGCGCGCCTCTCGACTGCTTTTCGCACGCATGCTTGACAGCGTGTCCAAAGCTACGAGCAGGTGGATCGACAAGACTCCCAGTGGCAGGATCCTCAACCGCTTTGCGCGGGACGTTGAAGTCCTCGACAGCACGCTGCTCACGAACGTCAGGACAGTCGTGCAATACAGTATCAATCTGCTCGGATCGATCCTGATCCTCGCCGTCTCCCTACCAGCATTCATTGTGCCAGCTGCGCTTCTCTCTTATCTCTATATCACATGTAAGTCGCCTGCGCTACCCGCTCAGAAACTCTAGAAGAATATCTGAGGGTGAGCTTTTGGTATCCACAGGTGCTATCGGGTACGTGCGAGCATCGCGTGACCTCAGAAGGATAGAGTCTGTCACCCGCAGCCCCATCTTCCAAGGATACGGAGAAGCATTGAAGGGGATCGTAACGATTCGAGCGTTCACAGCGGAGACGCGTTTGATCCAAGCGCTGTACCAGGACCTTGACACTACAACTTCATGTCTGTGGTTCTGGTGGATGTGTAATAGGTGGCTCTTGTTACGCTTGGATTGTCTAGGAGGTAAGCTGAGGCTCTGAATGCTTGCACAACGCTTGATGCTGACACCTCTTGGCTAAACTCCTTTAGGCTTGAACGTGCTGTTCTCTACACTGCTCTCCCTCTCCGGCGCGATCTCGCCCGGTGTGGCAGCCATAGCCATCACGCAGAGCAACAGCTTTAGCATGTCGATGTACTGGCTCAGTCGTCAGTGGTCGACACTCGAGCAAGACTTGAACAGTGTCGAACGCGTGAACGAGTACTTGCCTCCTGGCATTCCACAAGAGGCACCAGCGATTATAGAAGAGAACCGGCCTCCTGCTGCATGGCCAACGACGAAGGCCGGGGTTCGCTTCCAGAATGTCGTCCTCCGATACGATTCGACGCTCGAGCCGGTACTGCGGGGTGTCAGTTTCGAGATCAAGGCAGGCGAGAAGATCGGTCTCGTAGGCCGTACCGGCTCGGGCAAGTCCACTCTTGCCACTGCCTTGCTCCGCTTCGCCGAGCTCAGCGAAGGCAAAATCTTCATCGACAATATTGACATCAGTACCATTGGCGTGAATGACCTGCGCTCGCGCTTGAGCCTTATCCCCCAAGATCCCATCCTTTTCAATGGAACGATCCGCGAGAACTTAGACCCGTTCCGGTCAGCAACGGACGAGCAATGCCTCGAGGTGCTGGCAAGGGTCAACTTGACGTCGTCGCCATCAGCGAGTCGCACCCACAGCCGAGGTCCAAGCCGGCCGGCATCAACCCGCAACGTCTCCACGTCTTCGTCAGATGCAGCGAATACCATTAAGGTAAATACAAACACGGAAGCTTCGATGTTGCTTACGGCGTCGCACCATGAGACTATAGAGCACATCCCCAAAGCCAGCCTCACGCTCGACTCTAAGGTTTCCGAAGGGGGTGGAAACCTCTCGCAGGGACAACGGCAGCTGCTAGCAATGGCACGTGCCATGCTGCGTGATTCGAGGATCGTCATCGCTGATGAGGCAACCGCGAGCATTGACTTTCAAACCGACCAGCAGATCCAGCGGGCCATCCGCGAGCACTTCACCGACCATATCATGCTGGTCATCGCTCATCGTCTGACGACCATTGCCAGCTTTGACCGTGTGCTGGTACTAGACAACGGCAAAGTCGTTGAATTTGATAGTCCGAAGAATCTACTGGAAAACAGTGAGGGTCACTTCTATAAGATGTGCAAGCATTCTGGCGATTTTGACACGCTGCAACGGATGGCCAACGAGCCCCATCCTAAGATCAATGTAGAGTAGAGCATGGCAGTATTATGCTGAAACTTTCTGCTTTGAATTTCATAACTCGGCGTCATCGTCCTCAAGGTCAATCTCTTCCTCTGGGTAGTCTCCCACCTTGACCTTGTCTGGTCTGGCAAAGCCACCGTACTTTAGCCTGCAACTGAAATAACGCTTGCCGGCAACACTTCCATCGTTTTTCCCTACCGGTTCATCATATTCGACTCCGATCCATTTGCCGCCGGCCGCCGCCGCACCGGGCCCTGCGCCAAACTCTGTCTCACCGATAAAGCGTACTGTCCCGCGTTTGCCAGCACCGGACGCCACGGTGTCGACTTCGCACCGTGCGCCTAGCTTGAAATCTGGAGGAAGCGGCTCGCAGTACTTGGCTGCGTTGGAAGAGGCTGATGAAGCATCATTGGATGGATGTGAAGGGTCGAAACGGCCCATCTTGTTGCGTTGTTTGTACGCGAGCACGGTGTCCCGCCGCTGGGCGTATGCTTCTTCGCTCAGCTCGAACTTTTCCACCTGACTGTCATCGAGGAATTGATTTGCTAACGGGGCCGGTCGCGTATCTTGCACCTGTGTATTTGAGAGTGCATTTCGTTGTCGTGTTTATTGGCGGTGAAGGGAACGGGATAGCTGTAGCATGAGTCATGATGCTGAGCATGGTTGACTAAACACGCATAAACACCTACCTTGATGCTCATACCCTCCCGCACCCCGTAGTCCTCGAGGCTCTTGTCGTCGCCCTGCAGCTGAGCGATGAGTACTGCCCTCACGTCCGGGTCATCTGTACGGGCCGAATGGAGCGAAAGAACTTGGTCCATAGGAGGTACACCTGTGATGCGTTCCAGTTGCCCTTTGAGCTGGTGGAGTGGTACCGTCGAGGGTAATCGACGCTCGGAGGAGATGGCCGACCCCGGCGAGTGGATGAAGAGGTTAATCGTCGCCATGATCGCGCCGCTTCGGGCCTGCACTGTCTAGCTGTTGCTATGCTGACGCAACGGATACTGGAAGGTGGGATGGCTTCGTCTTGTTCGGACCTCTTTGAGCAGTGCAGCTGTACAGTCAGAAGGCTCACCAGCTTGGCGAATTGATTGATCATAGCTCGCTGATATTTTGGCGAGCGGTGCGCTTTGTTCTCCGTGATTGTGCCACAGTGCAGTCCACATTCGTGGAAGAAATAATCTCATGCAAAAGACACCACAATTGATGCTTGATGCTCCTTGGCTGCTCGCCACCATCTTTCGACCTTCTTGGAGCTGTCTCGATTGAAGAAGATTGACGAGCCCATCCGTCCTCCGACCATCACAACATTCCCTGCGCGGAGCCACGAACAGCTCCCCCTGTCACGGCCACTCACGTACGGGTTCCCAACGTGATCCTTCTGCGGTTCGCTTCACTTCTGCTTCTGCCAACCCACAACCGCGACGAGCACCGATTTGCACCCCCGGTGTCTCCACCGACCACAGACTTGGATCCTTTCCACGCAACTCAAATCGGCTACGGTTCTTCTTCTGCATCGAGGCTGGCTTCTCAGCTTTCTGCTATCGATTCTTCGGCCGACTTTTCTGCAGCGTCCAGGAGCACGGATCTGCTCAGCATTTGTCACTTTCGCAACCACTTCACAACAGCCTCGAGTCACTCAACAGACGACACATCGTCCCTCACGTTGCATCAATCGTGCACAGAACAAGCTTGGCCCTGTTGCAACTTGATCTCTGTTTCATCGATCGCTTGCTCCATACTGGCTGAAAGCGTGCATTCGCAGCATCCGTGGGCGTACACAACCGCATTACGAAAATCTAGCTGTACATCGACATTCTCGAACCTCAGCAAGGCAACGCGCAGTCACTTCATCCATCATGTCTTCTGAAAAAGGTGGGCTTGGCTTAAGTGCACTTAAAAAGTCTTCAAAGGGGAACTTACATGTTAAAATCCCCGACTATGACCGGCTACCCAGGTGACAACTCTCAGCTTAGCACAGAACCACAGACCTGCTCCGACCCATCCACTGCACCGTCCGAATCCACAGTGCAAGGAATGAGCAGCACACCGGACACCTCCAGAGATGTCGGAAACGGCAGCCTCTCGCCGAAGAATGCCAGCACACCACCCAGGTCAAGTAAGGATGATGCTGCTGCTGCAAACAACGGCAATCCACCATCTTCAGACCCAAATGCCTCGCTAAGCCTGCGCGCCCTGGTCAGCACCAAGGAGGCAGGAGTCATCATTGGCAAAGGTGGCAGCAATGTCGCGGAGCTGAGAGATAAGACGGGCGTCAAGGCAGGCGTTAGCAAGGTCGTTCCTGGAGTACATGATCGTGTGCTCAGCGTGAACGGTACGATTGAAGGTGTCGCAAAGGTGAGTCTCAGTGCATTTCATCCCGTTGCCGCAATGATTTACCTTCGCCCTTTCTTTCAAACCAGGCATATTCGCTCATCGCTCAGACCATCCTCGACAATCCGGTCAGCTCGGACCCTTCAACTTCAGCCGGCGCAGCTGCAGGATCCACCGCTATCCGACTGTTGATCTCGCATGCGCTCATGGGCACAGTCATCGGCAAAGCGGGTCTGACCATCAAGCACATTCAGGATGTCTCTGGTGCACGCATGGTGGCCTCAAAAGAGATGTTGCCGAGCTCGACTGAGCGAATCGTGGAGGTACAGGGCACACCGGCTGCGATCAAGACTGCTGTTGCGGAAATCTCCAAATGCTTGCTGGACGACTGGGAGCGAGGTCAGGGCACGGTGCTTTATCACCCTGAACAAGCAGAGGGCGCAGGTGTGCTTGCAGCTACTGGCGCTGGAGGACTGCAGCAGCAAGTCCCGTACGGCGCTCGCGGTGTGGGTCCGAGAAGGACTAGCGGGCCAGCATACCTTGCGCAAGGCATGGCCGGCCTTTCGCTCGCGCCTGGAGCGCCTTCCATGACAATGGGACGTGGTCCACGTGGAGGCGCTGGCGGAATGACTCATCCAGGCGGTCCTGTCCCTGCACCATTGCCCGGTATGGCTGCTCGAGCACCGCCAGTAGTCCCTCCAGCGCCAATCAGGAACGGTGCCGCGACTGCCGCAGTGCCTACCACAAGTGGTGGTGTCGACCTACTCGCAAACCCGTCGACAGCGCCTTTCGCAGCGCACATTGCTTCTCTGCAGCATCAATCCGTTTTCGCTTCCACCGGCATTCCTGCTTGCTCTGCCACTCGCCCATCTGCAATCGCTGATGCTGCTGCGCAGGGCGCAGCTGTCGCGCCCGGCGGTGGCCTTGTCGCGGGCGGCATGACGGGCGCCGGACCAGCTACTGCTCCTGCCGTCGTGGACGCAGCGAACATGCGCACGCAAAATATTAGCATCCCGAGCGACATGGTCGGCTGCATCATCGGCAAAGGCGGTAGCAAGATCACTGAGATCAGGAGGCTTAGCGGCAGCCGTATCAGCATCGCCAAGGTCGCGCATGATGAGACCGGAGAGAGGATGTTTACTATCCAGGGAACGCCTGAGTCGAATGAGAAAGCATTGTTTTTGCTGTACAACCAGGTGAGCAGCTACATGTGATCCATGCTCGTCCTCGCCATACAAGCGTGCTCACTATGTCTTTCTGTTTCCATTGCAATCGGTTTCTTCTACTTTCAAATGCAGCTTGAGACCGAGAAGGAACGGCGAACAGCGTCAGGCGCGACGATCGATACCGCCGGTGTTGCCTGATGCAGAAACATGCGCAATGTGCAACAGGCGGACAATTGGAATTACCACTCGCGTCACTGAAAGCGCAACGTTACCCATGCGACCCCGCCGATCATTCTTTCTTTGCGAATCTCCAACCTTCAAATTGACCAATGCTTACAAAGTCCTCACCCACATTAATGCCTCTCATGGCACCTGTGACACTTCTCTTTTTTTCTGGTTTCCGTGACTTCGTTTTGTTTCCTTTCTCTGTTGTCCTTCTTTTCGGAAGGTTGACGAGAAGTAACACGCAACCGCACGCAAGTATCTTCTACGATACGGTCGCCGCATCCTTGTAGCATTAGCGCATCAAGCAGAAGTAAACACGCTAGCAGTGAAACATACCAGACGATGAACCTGAAGGTGTTGAAATTGATAGGTGTTCAGTATCGAAGTTCTAAAGCCTGGAGAGACTAGTGGCTGCGGTGTTGGAAGTAGGGTTGGCTTGCCCTGTCGCGTCGCGTCGCGTTTGTCGCGTGTATCCAACAGCCCAATAGGCAGCAGTCAGACCCCCATTGTTCTCCCCCTCATTATTTGCCATGATATATCGTGCCCCCTCTTCAAGCTCATTGACTCTTACCGGCTAGCAGTCCTCCGTACGGACCTCTGTGGCCACTATCTACTAAAATATGGAGGACAACGAGTATAGCTCACGCGACGAGCTCGATTTCGAGGCCGAGCAAGGCTATGTTGATTCGGAGGAGGAACGGCGCCAAACCCAGCAAAAGCAGCACCGTCTGAAACAACAGCAAGCCTTGCACGCCAAGTCGCGTTCAGTTGGGGCTTCCAGAGGAGCAGAATGGCTCAGTGACGCAGACGAGAACACCGATGAGGATGGCGCTCGTGGCGGGCACGGACGTGCTGGCCCTGGCGCGAAGCAGCACAGCGTCGCAGCCACTAATACCGGCCACGTCCGATCAGGCGGTCGTCTAGCGCTTCCGCAGCGGAGTCGTAGAGCTACTACTGTGCCACAGAACCGTTCCAAATCCATACACGACGACTATGAGCTCGATGGCTATGCCGGCTTCGGTCTTGAAGATGACGATGTCGACGATCTCGAGGAGTTACGCGACGAGGATGAAGTGGGGAGTGCCAACGAGGATGAAGATGGGCCGGCAAAGATGAATGATGAGGACCTCATGACGGAAATTAGAGGCCCTGTACTGGGCATTTGCTCAGCGCTCGGTGGGTACGAGGACGTCGAGGTGGAGGAAGGCATCTTCCAGGAGGTATATGTACCTGGTGATGACTGTCTAGGTGAGTCTACTCGAGCTCTTTCCCAGTCTGCTCGACTGCGTTTACTGATGAGTCTGGTTTCGCTCGCAAGGATGTCTGCGCGACCTGCGCAAACTGTGGCGCAGAGATGACGACGATCCTTCACGCCGTGTTGCAAGAGTCTTCGCGCAGGTCAACGTGTTGCGCAATGACATTGTGCCCATTTTGCTCGCGACTGCTGGCAAAGGAGAGCGGGGTAACAAAATTGCTCTTGCTTGTGGTGAGTTTTCGGCCTAGTAAATGTTTCAAGAGCGACTGTCCGTTGACTTGTCCATTCTTCGTGCAGCCGACCTGATGACATCTATGACTTGGCCGATCGATATTGAGAACGAACTTCGCGTGTGCGTCGAGCGCGGTGAAGACAATTCCCACATTGCACGTCTTCCGCCTTTGGAGAAGGCTCAAGTCGGCTACAAGGCGTCGATTCTAAAGTTTTCGGAGCAAGATCCATCCAAATGCGCTCCAGGACAAACCCACGACGTTCTTGGTGTCATCGTTCGCGAGATTCTGCTTCCCTCACTCTGCAAGCCGCGCCCGATGCGCTCGGAGCGTGACAATGGCACCATCTCAATGTGTCTGCACCTGTTTCGTAACCTCCTCGCGATCCGCGACCCGCCAGCGACGTCTGATTCGACGCCTGAAGCCATTACCAACTCACGCTTGCAAAGCCTGCTTATCGAGGGCATGGAGCGGGCAAATGTGCTCGAGATCTTGCTCATGCTCTGCAGCAGTGCTGAAGAGAGGAATGTTGAGGCGTGGAACGCGATTGCCATGGACTGTGTGTATCAGATCTATGTTGGCACCAAACCGGGCGGCATCGCAGCTGTCGGCAGTGTTCAATCCAACAGCGTCGATCTTATTCTTAACGCAGTCGATGCGGATCTCAAAAAGGCAGCGGAAGAGCGAGCAGTCAAGATGGCAAAGGATGCAGCTGTCGCGAAGAGGAGTGCCATTCAATCATCGCTCACTGCATCTCTGAATGCAGAAGCCAACATTCGGCGAAAACAGCAGATGCAGTCCGGAACAGCACGCCACACGCGTTTCGGAACGACTATTTCTTTTATCGACGATGAGGGGAAGAAGAGAGTCGCACGGAACACAGGTGCGCTCAGGAAGAATGTCAAACAGTTGACAGAGGAGGTGCGAAAGAAGGAGACACGTCGCAAGGCCCGTAGGAGGAAGGCAGTGCGTGAAGAGGGTGGCATCGTCGATAAGCCGCCTTGGACATCTGCAGCCGCACTACTGGTCAAAGAGTGGGCCGATCGTTTTGTCAAGCAGGGCTTTGAGCCACTGACCCGCGCTCTGTGGAAGGCCATTCGCTCTGAAGACGCCAAGATGGGTGATCTAGATCAGGCGAGGATCAAGATGATGCAGCTTGGGGCTTGGTTCCTCGAGTACTACCTCTCCCGCCGACAGCTCCATACCGAGGCTTACCAAAAGCGGCAGGATGATCCGAACTTCGGACTGCGGATGCGAGGGCGCGAGCCTGGACAAGCCGTGCAACTACAAACACTGAAGTCCACTACCGAGAATGGGGTGGACAGCAGCGGCCGCAAGGGCAAGGCGCTTCTCACCGGACAGGATCTCGAGGACCCAGACACAGCTTGGCCATTCAGCCTCGTTTTCGAATGGAGCAAACCCTGGGCCATGCGCATGGTGCTCGTACGTACCGACGCAGCACACGAGGCGAAGGCATGGCTCGAATTCGTCACAGCCGTCGACCTCTGGACGATACTTTTCCGCTTGATCGATGCTTTGTCACGTTCCGAACTGCCTGATGACCAGGTCGTCGGCGAGGCAGCGCAAGAAAAACTCTTTTATGACAATTTCACGTTGGACTACTGCAGGGTCGTTATGGGCGCGTACAAAGCGCAGAGCTTCGCGACACTCCGTGCTATTGTCGACTTCACGTTCCACATGCCTCGCATGCTTGAACGGTACTGCGAGAACAAGGAGCACATATTTGTGAGAGCAAAGAAGCGCTTGTCCAAGAAGGCTCAGGATGGACAGGAAGAAGATGTCGGCGATGACGCAGATGCGAATCGAACAGCTCAAGAGACGTACAAGGAGCGCTCATTCCAGTTCAAATCTTTCCAGCGCAAGCTTTGCACCAAGTCGGTCGCGGTGGCTTGCGTTCAGTACCTCCAACGCTGGAAAGAGTTCCTCGAACCGGATGAGCAAATGGCGAGAGTTGTCGGTGTCATGCATCGACTCGCGATCAAGGCCGGCAGTCCGCAGATCTTCTTCCCCAAGGACCTGCGCCACACCTTGGAGGAGCTATCAAACCCGAATGTCATAGCCAAGCTAGAGGCAGCGGCGCCTGCAGCCAGCAATGACCTCAAGAAGATGCTTGCGTACATTCTTCGCAAGTGGTCCAAGCTACCGTCCGAGGAAAAGCATGCGTATGAGAAGGGCAAGCGGCCGCCACGTCCACCCAAGGCTGAGGAACCGGGCCGTGAAGTCATGGTCAAGCCAGGCAAACCAATCGACCAGCAGATCGGGATCGCGATCGGCCGGTTGATGGAGATGGGGAAGACGAGCACAGTGATGTGGGTTAAAGGAAATTTGGAGATGGCGAGTGCGCAACGTAGACAGATCATGTTGCGGATGGATGGCGATGTTCTCGAAGGCGGCTGTGATCCCATGAGGGCTCGATCGCCTCAAAGCGACCTAGGTGCCAAGGACAACGGAGGGGCCATGCAGCGCAGAGCCGATCTGGAGGAAGGTGTGCCTTCGAACGCTGCATTACGCGACTTTGAGCCTTATGGTGAGTCGAGCTCTACGACTTGCCAACAGATGAATGGAGCACTGAAATCTGACTTTGACGCAGATCTGAGATATGACGATGATGACAAGCTGCGGGATGATGCGTCAAAACTACCGGAGCTCAAGATGCTCTGTCGTTTAGTTGGCCTTGAGGAAGAACATGGTGAGTCGCACAGGGCGATAGGGAGCTGAGGAAGATCGAATCAACTGATTAGACCTATGCATTTCTACATCGCCAGACATTGAAGGGAAAGAATGGACCTGGACGGTCCCGGTCAGCGCCTGGCCCCTCTATCTGGACGCGGACATCAAGACAATGGACCACTACTTGGCCAATCCGTATGTACCAGACGAGGGCCAGACGTTAAAAGACTACATCAAGAAGGTGGCCAAGCCGAGAGCGTCAAGAGCTCCCGCCGAGTGGGAAGAAGACGTCGACGCCATCATCGCCGACTATTCTGTTAACTCAGGTGGAAGCTCTTCTGATAGCGACGCGTCTGCTGGAGCGCTCAACAAACGGCGGGAGAAGCTAGAGAACCTGCGGCGAAAGGCCAAGATTCCGAGCAAGCGATTAGATCCCAAGGCCAAGAAGGCACAAGCGCCTGTTTGGAGTCACAATGACTATATCGAGAACAGCGACGAGGAGTTGGCAGCCATCAACAGAGCTCTTGGAGCAGCTGAGGAAGGCGACAGAGGGGCAGGCAGGCGCAGAGACCGGGCCTCGTCACGGGATGATATGCACGACAGTGACGATGATGACCTACGCAAGAGACCATATAGCAGCCCTCCGACTAGCTCTCCACCTGCTGCGGCACCTTCGCGCACGGTAGCAACAAGGAAGACGCGGGCAAAGCAGCGCGTACGCCATTCTAGCAATAGAAACAGCGATTCTGACTCTGGCCAATCACGCCGTGCTGCGTTTCCGCGGCGCCCAGCAGCTAAGCGCGATGGTCTCTTCTTGGGAGGTAGCGATGAGGAAGACGAGGAGGAAGCGGACAAGCTGCTCTCACAGTCGCCAGTGCGGCGCGTCGCTCATCCCTCGCTATCACTCTCTCCAGAAATAGTGCGTCGCCCTTTCAAAGACCAGCTCTTCCTGGGCTCTTCGCAGGATCGCTCTCGCTCTCCCGCTCGCTCTGTCACGTCTGAGATGGCGGAGATCCGCCGCAAAGCCGACGAGGAGCTCGAGGCTCTGCGTGTGCAGCTGCTCGCCGAATCGGACGATGAGGGGACACAAGCGGACGAGATTTCGAACGCAGCTGCGCAGGAACACCGGCATTCGGGTGTGCCGCGTGCACGTAATACGTACGGCCGAGGTCGCGAGTTGTTTGAAGATGCGGAAGGCCAATCGCTGTTGTACAGGGAGAGGAGAGAGTCGCCGGCGCCCAGCCTCAAGAGGCCGTACGCCAGTGATGAAGACGATGAAGTTCAAGCTGCTCCAGCCGAGCTCTCTCCCTCGCAAACGGGTAGGCCTCGATTCTCCTCGCCATTCGTGTCGCGCTTCAAGCCGCTCACGAAGCGCAGGGCTGTCTTGTCAGATGATGAAGATGGCGGAGACGAAGATGTGGACGAGCTGCTTTCTGATGTGGAATGACGCCGTGTCTATGTATAAAGCGCAGGTGAAATCTCAAAGCCTTGACTGAAGGACATAAGCTTGAGTCATTGGATAGTGTTGCAAGAATGGAAAGTACAACTGCCGCTCGCATATTAAAAGCCCATCACAAGCTGTTTCTGCATTGCCATTACCTGCGCAACAAACGCCTCAAGGTGGAGAATGGCCTTGTTGCCCTGCCGGAGCCGGAGCTGGTAGAACGCGGCTTTGTCTATGATCTGTGGTTGGAGCGACGCGTCGACGCGCGTGACGAGGTGGTTCACGAGCGTCTTGAGGATGAGCGTTGAAGGGATTGCGTGCACGAGAAGCTCGTACAGCTTGCCGCGCACAGCCAGTAGCTGCTCTGGTGTCTGCTGCTTCAGGATCATCTCGGCTGTCTGGTGCGTGTACGTCTCCCAATCTGGCTTCGCGATGTCGAGCAGGCCGGAGAGGTCGAGGCTGGGCATGTCAAGGTGGTGCGAAGAATGTCAGCCGGTGAAAACGTCTCTATTTCTCGTCTGTCTCGTGCTTTTCTTCTTCTTTTGCTCACGATTGCATCCGCAGTGCCTCGAGAATCAAGATGGCCTTCCTGAGATTCCCCTTTGCGTCCGCGTAGATGGCGCCAGCAACGTCGTCCGGCAGGTGGAACTTCTCCTTCTTGGCGACGAACCTGAGCACCGCCGCCATCTCGACTTGCGTCGGTGCCGCGACGCGCATGAGCAGGCAGCGCGAGCGGATCGGCGCGATGATTTTCGAGGTACTGTTTGCACAGAGAATCAGCCGTAAATTCGACATGTACTTCTCCATCGTGCGGCGCAAGGCGGATTGGGCATCGCGAGAAAGCGCATCGGCCTCGTTGATGATGACGACTTTGCTTGGGGAAGAAACCTCGTGAGCATGTAGATGAAACGAAGTGGGGCGAGAGTGCTCACCCTTGAACCTGTGCTTGGCTGCTTGGTCAACCTGCTGCGTCTGTGCGATTTCCTTGAGAATATCCTGGATGACTAATCGGTCATATCCGCCAGCGTCGCTGTCGAAGCCAAATCAAGCAGAACTGATCATCAGCACAATGATCGCCCGCTGAATGATCAATTGGCTTACCTTGGTGTCAGTTCAATGTGGTAATTTGAACTGACGATGTTGACGTCAATTTTCCGCTTGCTTGGGTTGAGGAATACGCGCTGGTCGATCTTGAGCTGCAAGCAGGGGACAGAGTCGACCCAGGAGGTGCAAGAGGTCAGTGAACGCGCCGCTAAGTCAATGAACGAATGCAAGCGGGAAAGTACCAACCTTTTGGGTGCCGGACCCGTACAGCTCCCGCAGCAAGCACATGATGCGCGTCTTCTTGCCTGCACCTGATGGCCCGTAGAAGAGCATGTGCGGAAAGTCTTCATGCGCGGCCTGCGGTAGGAAGGCATGAATGGTGGATCAGAAGAAAAGCGGAAAGCGGCGGGCTTCAGTGTAAGGTCTCTCCTTGTACGAGCAAAGGAAGCTGAGCACAGGAGCAAAAGACGCACGAGGGATGTTAGACGCTGGCTGAGCTGCTCGTGGTAGTGCAGCTCGGACATTTGCTTTGGTCTGTACTTGTCGACGAACAGCATCTTGGTCGACGAGCTTCAGCTTGTTCGATCGCGGGATATAAGCTGGTTTCTGTTGGCGCTCTCTTTGCTCCTTGTCCCGCTGCTAGTCGTAAGTGAACTATCGGTCCAATTTGGTATCGTCACACAGTGAATGCCGTAGCAAAAGCATGCGAATAGGCCCCCAACGATGCCCAAGCGACAGTGTGGATGACGCCTTATGCTGTTTGAAGATCGAGTGTTGAGCGCGTCGCGTACAGCGAAGATGGTGTGGTGCGCGCGCCGTGACTTTTCTCTCGGCCGAACGCCTCCGAGCCCTGCGGCCGCTGGTCGGCTTCCTCCTAAAGTTCAGCCTTGACTGGAGCAGATACGTGCAGACAACTCAACTGTCAATATATTATTGTGTCACGTGCTACCAACTGCCATTTTGACGTGGCGGGGGAGCAGTGGAGCACTGCGCCTGTGATCGGAAGCATACACCTGCACCATGCGATCACCAAAAGCGAGGTTGGGCGGACGGCAGAAACACTGGCTCCTCGCCTCGCACACCTCGCGCTGCTCTGCTCAACCATCGCCCTTGGTAAATACTTGCAGCCTTGTTGCACGCATCGTCGCTGTCAGATTGGGCCAAGGCTACCTACATGCATGCATATGCACCAGCAACCATTTGCATGACCCTCCAGCAAGAGAGCGAGCCCGTCCTCCAACGCACGACCTTTGGCAGCCTGCCCTCTGCCTTTTGCTTCCCCAGACGAAAGGCTCCTACACAAGCCCACCCCCAACATATACACACACCACGCAAACACACACACACACACACCTCCCTCCGACATGCCGACTCCAGCCAATGCGGCGTCGCCTGATCAGGGCCCTGTCCGCGCGACGACGCCCGTGCAAGCTGTAGTAGGGAATGTAGCAGGACCAGGAACAGGAACATCGCTCGAAGAGATCCGTGCACAATACCAGGAGCTGGGCGTCTCGCCTCAGCTCCCCAACATCCCCGTCAGGAGCAACGCCCATTCGCCTGCTATAGCGCCAGCATCCAGCGATCAGCGGCCGCTGCACGACAGCGGGTTCAACGTCAACCTCGCTGCCCCCATCGACCAGCTCGAGCTTCCTGGCCCAGTCGCGCGGGCCATAGCGCAGGAAGGCGGTGCCAGTAAGGCTTCCGCCAGCGGCACGGGCACCCCTTTGACGCAGACCTCCGCGCTGCCGAGCAACGGTGATGCCAGCGACGCCGACTCGAGCATGTTGGACATGGATACCCTGCCCATGACAGATGCGCAAAAGGCGAGAATCGTGCAAAGACACTTGGCCATCACTCCGACGGCCACCATATCCGCCAGTGACACGCCTGCGGACGGAACCGCGTCGGAGCGATCATCAGCTGCATTCGACGATGTGACAACATCAGCAGGAGATCAACACCCGCGCGATCGGTCCTACTTCTCACAGGTCGGTGGCGACCGGAGCCACGTGCATTTTGGCGATGGGGCGGCCTCGGGGAACGAGAGCGACCTCTCATCTGGCGTTGAAGGGTATCAAGGCCCGCACAGCATGCAGGGCGGAGCCATCACAGATGACATCTATCGCTGGGCGCACGCCAACAGGCCGCAGAAGTACAAGCGCGCGCGCTCTGAGTCGCTACACCTGCCGCGTACCAGCACGATCGACCCGACGCTCGACACCGCCGGGATCAAGGAGCCGGGTGGGTTCCGCAGATACTTTGTGCATGCACAGGCGACGGAGCAGGGGCGGCCTAAACCCAGAGCACTTCGAAGTTTCATCGATTTCCTCAGCCTGTACGGCCACTTTGCCGGCGAGGACCTGGATGAGCTTGATGAGGACGAGTACGACGAAGAGGAGGGAGAAGATGGAGAGGATCTCGAGCGGACCATTCCTGGCTCGAGCAGGGAGGCTGGGAGAGGAACGACAGAAGGCGCGCCGCTTCTCGCCGCCCGCTCGCGCAGCGGCCGCGGCCGCGGTAGACGCATGGAGCGTAACAGCATCGAGCAGCGTATCCGCGATCCAAGCGCCAACAAGACACCCGGCGAGGCGACGGTGACTGAGGCGGTGCTGATGTTGCTCAAGTCATTTGTCGGCACGGGCATCCTCTTCCTCGGAAAGGCCTTCTTCAACGGTGGGCTGTTCTTCTCGATCATCGTCCTCACCGCGATCGCGATGATCTCGCTGGTTTCGTTCCTGCTGCTCGTCAAGGCGAACCTCAAGGTGCCCGCGTCGTTCGGCGAGATGGGCGGCGTACTGTACGGGCCGTACATGCGCCTTGCCATCCTCGCCTCGATCGTCCTCTCGCAGCTCGGCTTTGTCGCGGCGTACACGGTGTTCGTCGCGCAGAACTTGCAGGCGTTCATCCTCGCGGTGACGCACTGCCAGACAAAGGTGCCGATCGTATATCTGATCATTGCCGAGTTGCTCGCGTTCCTGCCGCTCTCGCTTGTCCGGCGCATCGCCAAGCTGAGCTCGACGGCGCTGATCGCGGATGTTTTCATCCTCTTCGGCATCGTCTACCTCTTCCAGCACGAGATCGGCCTGCTGGCCACACGCGGGTTGGCGGACGTGAAGATGTTCAATTCACACGACTTCCCCCTGCTGATCGGCACGGCCGTCTTCACGTTCGAAGGGATCGGCCTCGTCATACCCATTACGGAGAGCATGAAGGAGCCCGAACGCTTCCCCGGCGTCCTCTCCGGCGTCATGGTCGGCATTACCTTCCTCTTTGGCGCGGCGGGCGCGCTGGGCTACGCCGCGTTCGGCAGCAAGGTCCAAACGGTCGTTATCACCAACCTACCGCAGGAGCGCAAGTTTGTGCAGGCCATGCAGTTCCTGTATAGCCTCGCCATTCTGCTCTCCACACCCCTGCAGCTCTTCCCCGCCCTCAGCATCCTCGAGCGCGGCGTCTTTACCACCAAGAGTGGCAAGTACGAGTGCGTCCACAGACGCCTTGGATCCCTCCTTACACAAGTGTGCTGACCCGCTCCCTTCTGCCCTTGCCTCCATCCCCGTGACAGCTGGCGCGTCAAGACGCAGAAGAACGTCTTCCGCTGCCTTGTCGTCGTCGCCAGCGCGCTCGTTGCATGGGCCGGTGCTTCGGATCTGGACAAGTTCGTCTCGCTGATAGGCTCGACGGCGTGTGTGCCGCTGTGCTTCATCTACCCGCCCTTGCTGCACCTCAAGGCGTGCGCGACAAAGGTGCGGACCAAGGTGTTGGACTACATGTTGCTCATGTTTGGGGTCGTGTGCGTCCTGTTTGCCGGCAGCCAGACGATCGTCGCGATGGCTGCGCCTGGCAGCCCGCCAGATCAGACGACATGCACTCTGCCCCCACCCGGGTTTTGATGCTTCGAGCAGCAGCTGGCGAATTATGAGGGAGGGCGAAAACACACCAGGGGACAAGTTCGACATGGACTATGGGGGGTTTGGACTAAGTGGCGGAAACCGCAGACCGCTGCCCTGCGAGTCCCACGGGGGGGAGGGAGATCAACAGTAAAGCAAAGAAACGACGAAACCATTCGCAGCTTGTACAGCTGCGCCATGTGCACTCCATCGCGCTCGATCAGTGTATTGAAAACTACACATATGTATATTTCACTTTAGCTTTACAATCTACCTTGTACTACCTGTACAGTTGATCATCTCAACAGCTCAACCCTCCAGCACACTCCCGGTGGACACTGGACGATGAGCAGAAGCGATAGTTGGACCAGACCGAGATGTGAAGCGAGAAGGATGAAGAGACAAGAGCTAAGCAAGACAATCACAGAAATCATCCCCGTCTGAGTGACCAGACTAGCGGAGTCCTGCTTCTGCTGCAGCGTCCCCTTACTAATACTTGCCTTCCAAAGATACCGATGGAACTGGCTGATCAGCAGCTTCTGTTGATTCATTCATTGCAGCGACTCGGCGAGCGTGCAGCTCATTCGTGAGGGCCTCTCGATTTTGCCTGCAGGCTGAGACTAGGGTTAGTGTCCAAGTCACGCAACACTTTACGCATGGATGTTCGAGTAGAGGGTATTGCCGAACACGTCACCACATGCACCGCGCCTTGGACCGCGTGGACTCAAGGGAGCGAGTTCCGCCACTACAAGGCAAAGAAAGCGCCGGCGCCCGCCCGCCACGGCCTCGAGTTGTTCCAGTCAATTGCTGTGCGCCGCGTGGGCCCGAAACGCCCCACAGGTCGGCGGGATGCCATCGCGCGTGTGTGTAGGTTGTGTTGCCCGTGCGTGCCACCCACACACTGTGATTCTAACCGACTCATCATGTCAAGAAGGGACTGGAAGATGGGCATGTGCTTCGCAGCCCCCATTCCGCAATGAACTCATTGCATGGAAGAGCTTGCAGCATTTGAGAGAACTGCGCAGACCTGCCCACGGACAGCCTGCTGGAGCAAACCGAACGGGGTGCTGATGACCGCGCCTATCGTCACCTTCCTCTCTACTCCACTCACCATCCTCCTTAGACCTCCATCCGTGCGTCGTCTTCTCGGCACCATCCCACAAAGAAGTGCTACAGTTCGGCCCGGCAGTACGACCGCAAAACTTTACGCTGCAGCCAAGCTGACGACCAAGGTGAGTCTGGCCGTGCGTCCCTGAGCAAAGCAGAGCAAGAGCGTACTAAGTCGCGTCGTATGTATGCAGACCCCCGCCAGCAGTCGCGTGACACAGCTCAACAACCAGCTTCGGGCACATTCCTCCCGCGCAGCGCTTGCCTCCTCTTCATCCTCTTCCTCGCAACCCGACGCCAACATGGGCGCCTCTGCCGGCAAGGACGGCACGCAGTGGCATCGGCTGCCGACGGCCGTGACGCCAGAGCACTACGACATCATTATCAAGTCAGACCTCGAAGCGCTCACTTTCACTGGCCTGGTCACCATCACGCTCAACATTGAGGAGGAGACGGACGTCATCACGCTGAACGTGGGCCCCAAGCTAACGCTCAGCAAGGCGCACATCACGAGCAGCGCTCTCAAGACGGACAGCAAGACGGTCGCCGTGCTGGAGCACGACAAGGAGCACGAGCGCGCCGTCGCACGGCTTGGCCAGAAGCTGCCCAAAGGCAGCCAGGCGACCATCAGCATCGCGTACGGCTCCGAGATTGATAACTCCATGATGGGCTACTACCGCTCCACGTGGGAGTTCGAAGGAAAGAAAGGCTTCTACGCCCTGACGCAGTTCGAGCCAACGGCCGCCCGTCGCGCCTTCCCCGGCTTTGACGAACCAGGACTCAAGGCGACATACAGCTTCCGCATGGTCCACCGCAAGGACACCACCGCGCTTGCGAACATGCCCGCCGTCGGCGAGTCCAAGGCGATCAGTGTCGCCGAACAAGACAAGCTGTTGCGCACCAGCGAGCTCGAGCTCGACACGTCCAACAACAAGTGCGCCCTTAAGACTGAGTCCAGCATCGCCGGCAAGACCGAGACAGATGGCGACTGGGTGTTGACAGCGTTCGAGAAGATACCCAAGGTATCCAGCTATCTCGTCGCCTGGGCCAACGGACCGTTTGTCCACCTTGAGAGCACGTACAAGAGCCCCATCACTGGCAAGGACGTCCAGCTGCGCATTTACGCCACGGGAGAGTACATCGACCAGGCGCAGTTTGCGCTCGATGCAAAAGCAAAAGTTATGCCGGTCTACGAGAAAGTGTTCGACATTGCCTTCCCGCTGCCAAAGCTCGACACGCTCGTTGCCAGTGAGTGCTGGTAGGCGGCTGACGCTCTGGCAAATGTCCGCGCATGCGCCTGCTCCCTCCCGTACTGACGACCGTCTTGCCTTTCTTTGCTCGCCGTAGCCGACTTTGACGCCGGTGCGATGGAGAACTGGGGACTGATCACCGGCCGGACGGGCATCTACCTTTACGACTCAAACAAGGGCGGGCTTCAGGCCAAGAAGCTCTCTGCGAAGGTGCAGTCGCATGAGTGCGCGCACCAGTGGTTTGGCAACATCACCACTATGGACTGGTGGTCGGGTCTCTGGCTGAACGAGTCGTTCGCCACGCTCATGGGCGAGGTCATCATCCTCGACCGCGTCTGGCCCGAGTGGACGTCCGGTAGTGAGTTCATCGTCGGTCACCTGGCGCGCGCTCTCGAGCTCGATGCCAAACGCTCGTCGCACCCGATCGAAGTGCCGCTGCAGGGCGACAACGTTGAGAGCGCAATCAACCAGGTCTTCGACGCGATCAGTTACTCCAAGGGCGCCAGCGTTCTGCGCATGCTCAGCAGGATGGTCGGCGAGGAAAAGTTCCTCAAAGGTGTCAGCATCTACCTCAAAAAGCACCTTTACGCCAACGCAACGACCAACGACCTGTGGAAAGGCATCAGCGAGGCGTCCGGCCTGGACATCCCCAAGATCATGGGCAAGTGGGTCCTCCAGCAGGGCTTCCCCGTTCTCACCGTGACTGAGGGCGAGAACGAGATCAAGGTACGCCAGAACCGCTTCCTCTCCACCGGCGACGCCAAGCCTGAGGAGGACGAGACGCTGTGGTACGTCCCGCTAGAGCTCAAGACGATCGGCGCCGATGGTCGCACTCAGGTGGACAGCAGCATCGTACTCAACGAGCAGCGCGAGACTAGCATCCCGCTGCAGAACGTGCAGGGTAGCGTATGGAAGCTCAACGCCGACACGGTCGGCGTCTACCGCGTCGCGTACACGCCGGAGCGTCTCGCCAAGCTCGGCGAGGCCGCAAAGAAAGAGCACTCGGCCTTTTCGCTCGAGGACCGCGTGGGGCTCGTCAACGATGCGCACACGCTTGCCAAAGCCGGCTACGCTCAGACAAGCGGCACGCTGACGCTGCTGCAAAAGATCGTTGATGAGCCAACGTTCCTCGTCAACTCGTCCGCCATCGGCGCCATCGGCGACCTCCTGTCCGTCTGGTTCGAGGAGCCCGAGGACGTCCAGCAGGCCATCCAGAGCTTCGGCGCCAACTTCTTCGGCCCCAAGGCCAAGCGTCTCGGATTTGACGGCAAGCCGGACGACTCGGTCGAGACGCAGCAGCTGCGAGAAACTGTGAGTGTGCTTTGCTATCCTACCTGTAGAGGCAAAGTTGGCTCGAAGCACATTGCTGACTGCTTTTGAACAAACGCCCCTTGCTCTTCTTTTAGGTCATCGCCGGTGCTGCGGCCGGACGGGACGAGTGGACGCTCGGCGAGATCAAACGCCGCTTTGACGCCTTCCTCCAGGGCGACGACAGCCTGATCCCGGCGGATCTGATGATGACCATCTACTCGACCTCGGTCCGGTACGGCGGCGAAGCAGAGTACAACAAGGTCGTCGAGGTATACCGCAAGCCACCTACACAGACTCACAAGCAGACAGCCATGTTCGCCATGTGCGCCACGCAGCAGCCCGAGTTGATCGAGCGCACGATCGAATTCCTTTACAGCGGCGAGGTCAAGGAGCAGGACTTCCTCATATACTTCCGCGGCCTCAGTGCGCGCCCCGTCACGCGTCGGCTACTGTGGGAGGCGACCAAGAAGCGCTTCGACGAGCTCGTTGAGCGCTTCTCGGGTAACTTTGCTCTCGGCCGCCTTGTCGAGCTCTCCTTTGGCAGCTTCTCCAGCGACAAAGACGTCGCAGATGTTGAGGCGTTCTTCAAGGGACGCGACACGCGCAAATACTCCATGGCCCTCTCGCAAGGACTTGAGGGCGTGCGCGCGCGCGCCGCATGGCTTGCGCGCGACCGCGACGACGTCAGCGGCTGGCTCAGGAAGAACGGATACCTCAAGCAATAAAGGAGTGTCTTCGTAATGTACGAGGGGCTGTGTGTGTTATTCAAATCCAACTATCCATCTGAGAACAGCATTGTGTTGCACTCTGCTCCGTTGCTTGCGATTCCAGTTGAAGATTCAAATGCAGAAGCGAATCGCGAATGACGATCACAGTGCATTTTAGCAGCAGGATGCAAGTGCTAAGAAGTGGCACTTCGTCATGCTGTCTAATCTGGCGGATCACCAATCGATCATACAATGACATTTGTTGCCAGCGATGACACATAAGGACGATGCCCACTCCCTGCTACCGAGGCTTGAGACTGTCCACGGCGTTGTCGTGCCCCCTGTGGGCGTTGTATAGGTAACGTTTTAACGAGTAATCAAGTGATAAATGAGCCGCAGCTGTGGCTTATGCATCATAGAGCAGCTCCACAGTCTCCTCCATCTCTGCGGCATGGCTTGTGATTCACGAGCAGCCCGGCAACGTTGCTTGGCGCTCAGACGAGAAAGAAGCTGCAAACAGACCGCCTCATTGACGGAGACATGGCTGACACGTTGATATGAAAGGGTGGAAGTGGTCCACTAGCAATCCCTCCCATGGCATTCCATTATGCACACGACATTGGTCGTAGACACAGCCAGAGAGGATGCCCACCAGGGACAAGAGGAGCTGCATCATGATCTCACCTGCTGCGCAACCTCCGGCAAGATGGCTCGTGCCGTGATGTTTGCTCTTGATGGCAAGCTCTCACACTATATGCCACTTCGACGTTCACTTGAATCTGTGGTCTGAAGGAGTCAAATTCCTACCTGCTCCCTTGCAAGTGGCCATTCCCCACTGAGAAATCTGAGTCGACCGAGCCTTCTCGAAGCTGCCAGACGCCCCTCCCTTATTCGGACTCTGCGAGAACTGCGTCTCTTGCTGGGTTATGCTGGGTTCCGCGAAAGGAAGCGAAGTGTAGCTCGCGAGCCGATGAAAACGTATGTCGCCAAACCGTCGGCGCGACCACCCGAAGGACCGCGAGGATATCGGCATCTTCAACTTTTACCATGTCTTTGGCCTACAGATTGCCAACAACATGATTTGCCCGATTAAAATGCCGAAAGGCTCGGTGTCACAGCCTATGTCCCCGGTGTGGGTGTAACTTTTCGGTTTCTCACTGTATTGATGTGCCGAAACTGACGGCATTGGTTCCTCTTGGCCTCTGCAGATGTTTCACGGTGGTGGAGCTCCCGTTTCGTTCGTCGACAAGTTGGAAAGCACCGCGGTGGAAGCCAATGTGACGACGCTCGAAAATATTACAGAAGGACTACAGATGGCGCCTATCTTTCGTTGTGAATATGTGCTTGGAAATGAGTAGCATCGAAACAAAAAAGCCCTTCACGTCGACATCCTCATCTGCCGGCAGAATACATTGCCAATCACCTGAATACCGATTTTTTAGACGTAGAAAAGTTCATCTTGATCTTCACCAACGAGAAAGGCTTCAAGAAACTCGGCGAGATCACTTCTACGGAAGCGTATGTCCTGACCATGCAGTGCAGCCCTGCTATATACATGCTTTGTGTACTCTGATCATTCTCGCCGGGAACCCTCCGCTTCGCTGCAGAAATGCGCTCTCCTTTACAATGGCATGGGTGACCTGGACATGTCCGCCTCGGCACATGCTTCGTCCTGGACGATGGACGAGGTTGGATCGCTGCGGAACCCGACTTTGTCCAGCCTCTGCGAGGCGGATGAGATAATGAGCCTGGCGCAGCTCAGGCACGTCACCGTGGTCATGAAGGAGGAAGATACGGTGCCGTGCGACACCAATGTGTACCCCAACACGGTCCACTGCGGCGACGCGTGCCCCAATCTCGCAGACCCACAGGCCAAGGCGAGTTTCGAGGCTGCGTTTGCGCAAGCCGCTCTTTTGTGGGTGGTGAGGGAGTCTCATGGAGCAAGCTTCGCGACTTATTGACGGAACTGTTCAATTGTGCTGGCATCATGAGCATTGATTGAGGTCGATGCCATAGATGCGAGCGCCTGACGTGGAGACTCTCTTGTGTCTAACAAAGAGAGCGGGAAGATGGGCTTTCCTCTTTGCCCATGCGACCTCCAGGCTAAAATTTAAGGGTGAAGCCACCGTAGGTCTTGAACAGGCTGAACTGGATGCTCTGACGCTCTGTCAGGGCATGGGAAAGATTCAACAGGATCAGGTCACGCGTAGCTCTCGCTTGCCTTTGGCGGGATTAGCTCATAGTAAATATTTAAGCGGACCGCAACGCGAGACGACGCGATGACGTCATGACTCTGCCCGAGACCGCGGCGCCACCCCTTTGTCTGCTTCTTATCGTTGTGCAGATCCACTATAATTAAAATAATCGAAAGCAGCGGCGTCCCTCCTTGACCCTGACCCACATCTGAGGAATCCAGGGCCCATACATAAGACACACCTTCGCGTCGGACGAACCCAAAGCTGATCACCTGCAAACCCTCATGTCACCCCACCTACCATGGCGGACTCGACCAACTACGGCCTCTGCGAGCAATGCATCTCAGGGTATGCCCTGCCGGGCACGCCTAAAGGCACCGAGGAGCAGATCGGCACGTTCAAGGCCGACGTCGCCAAGCCCTCTGTTGCAACCAATGGCCCAGAAGACATTGCGATCGGCTTCTTCTCCGACGTGTTCGGCTTCAATTTTCCCAACAACAAGATCCCCCTGATCAATTTGCCGAAAAACTCGGCGTCACAGTGCTCGCTCCGGACGTGAGTCTTGCCGAACCCCTGGCAACTGACTTTGCACGACAGTTTGCCTGAGCCTGAATGGGTAGTTGGTGAACGAGATGTTGATATCCGAGCTCTGCTTGGTCCTCGGTTGTTCCACGGTACCGGGCTCAGCGAAATGTTTGCATCCGGGCTTCCCGGCACGGCTGAAGAAGCCAGGAAGACTTCAGTCTTTGGCAAGCTGCACGTTGGGCTGAAGTTGGCCTCTGTTGCTCTTTGTGCGTCAGCCACACTACTTCAGGTCGACGTGAAATGCCCTGCGCTGCCCCCCCATCATACTTATTTCTGATCTTTAATTACATGGCAGGGTTCATCTTGGACCGTCCCGCGAGCTAATTTGCCGACTTAGAAAAGTTCTTTGCCATCTTGCGCAACGAGAAAGGCTACAAGAAGCTCGGCGGTATCGGATACTGCTACGGAGGTGTGAGCGGCCGCAGTAAACTCCGGTGCCATGTGCATCAATTTGTCAACGCTTTCTCTTCCGCACGACCCAGAAATTTGCTATCAAGTACAACGGCACGGGCGACCTGGACGTGAGCTTCGCCGCCCACCCCTCGCTCTGGGCCATGGACGAGATCGAGGCGCTGAAGAACCCGATCGCTTTTAGTCTCACCGAGGTGGACCATTTGATTAGCCCCAAGCAGCTGGAGCAGGTAAAGGCGATTATGAAGAAGAAGGACGGTACCGTCCCGTGCGAATTCAAGCAATACCCCAACACGGTCCACGGCGGCTTAAATCGTCCCAACCTGGCAGACCCGCAGGTTAAGGCTGGCTTCGAAGGCGCTTTCGCTCAGGCCGTCAGCTTCTGAGTCACTCAACAGCACATTTGTGGGCCTTGCACGCAAACTAAGATTGTGCCATCTTTCATTTTTCTGCACAGCTTCCGCGCCCACCTTGGTCTTGAGGTTAGCTCAGCCGCTTGAGTTGCTACCCTCCCTGTCGCCACTATTTTCTCTTGCCCAAGCTTTCACACCGTCGAATACGCAACTATCCTTTCATTTTTCTTTTTAAGGTCCTCGAAATACATGTGATACCCTCTATCCTTGGGCCTTTCATTGCGTGCCCCTGTAGAACTTGGTCGGCACGAACGGCATGCGTGCAACTTGCGCAGGTCTCAGCGACTTCCGCACTTCTACCTGAACCTTGGTATCCTTCTTATGGTGTCCATTCTTGATCAAGCCCATGGCAATGTTCTTGCCCAATGTCGGCGATGGGATGCCTGACGTGATGCGTCCTGGTGACGGGATATTGATTCGATTGCATTGAGCTTCAGGTCAAATGAAGCACCAGCGATGCTGCCGACTGGGCTGATGTGGTTTCTGCACTCACCGATGACTTCTGCCCCAGCCTCGTCGTAGATCTGCGCCCCCTCCCTCGCTGGGGGCCCTTCGACCACGAATCCAACCCTGCGTCTTTGCGGGCCGTCCTTGAGCTCCCTGAGCACTCTTTCCGCGCCCAAGAAATCTGCCTTCTCTCGCCTGTCCTTGCTGACGACCCAAGCCAGCGCTCCCTCGATTGGGCTGACGCTTTCATCGAGGTCGTGCCCGTAAAGGCACATGCCAGCTTCGAGGCGGAGCGAATCGCGCGCAGCCAGGCCCGCCAGCTCGACGGCTGGATCCGCGGCGAGGGCTTCCGTGACAGCGACTGTCGTTGAGGGCGAAGGGATGGAAATCTCAAAGCCGTCCTCGCCCGTGTAGCCTCCACGGGCAATGTGGCATCCTTCGATACCGGCCACGGTCGCGAAAGCAGAGCGGCCGAATGTGAGGGTGCTCAGATCGACACCGGAGACGTGCTTCTTGAGCGTCAGAGCTGCTTGTGGGCCTTGCAAGGCAATCAGGCCGTGGTCGCTGAGCACCTCGTGCTTGACCTCCGGCTTGCCGGCTGCCTTCCACTTTTCGAGCTGCTTGCGGAACCAAGCAAGGTCCTCCTGTCTGCGACCCGCATTCGTCACCACGTAGAATTTTCCATCTTTCTGCTTGGTGATGACCGTGTCATCGAGGATACCACCCTGCTCGTTCAGAAGCACGCTCAGTGTGCTGCCAAATTCGGGCAGGCCGCTCTGGAGCGAGCTAGGCGTCAGGAGCTCGAGAAAGGCGCCGGCACCTGGCCCAGAGAAGTGGTGCTGCACCATATGGCCAACATCGAAGAGTCCTGCGGCACTACGAACGTGCTTGTGGGACGCGAGCGGCGTAGCAGAGGAATAGGAAAGCGGCATCGAGTAGCCGCCGAACGCGACCATGTTGCCGCCGTTAGCGACGTGAAAGTCGTGCAACGCCGTGCGGTCTAGCTTCGATGCGTTGTCGCGCGCTGCGGCCGTGGACGCGAACGTCCGCTTGCAAGTCGACCGCGGCCCATTCTGCGGGTGGCAGATAACTGCGACGGGCCGGATGTTGGCAGAGTGCAATGACCGCGAAGCTGGCTGACGTGCAGCACGCAATGCGACGGCACGGCCTGAGAATATTTCCGAAGTGGCCGGAGCGAAGATTGCGGCAGCGGCGCCGCTCGGACGAGCCGCCTTTCGAAGGACGCTCAACACCTGTGGGCTCGACATTTCAGTGGTACAACCTCCTCGCAGACAAATTCCTCGCTCCTGCGTTTCACTCGAGCCGAGTGCTTCTTCGGCCTGCTCTATTTCGTGTTGGAGCTGAGGCTACATTCAATTTAGCACTATCAATAGAGAGTCACTCTCTCCATTCTTCGGCGGTTCACAGCGGAGCGGCAATGCGGCAACCAGCGGCTAGGGAGAGCCTGAGAGGCACTGAGGGAGAGGCAGGGAAGAGCAGATAAGGCATAGATACTTCCTCAACTAAAGATCCACACGACGCTGTCAACGAGAGAATCAAATCGATCACACCACAATCCTTCCAAGTGTCGGGAAGCTCATTCATACGCCGCGTTCGACGAGACAACACGTCATACACCATGTCCCTCTCCGCCCCTGAGGGATCTTATTCCCGGTAGCGTACGGCAGAAGAGAATTCTTTCTCCGAAGCTTCAAAAGAATTGGGAAAGTCCTGTACTGTTGCAGGAAGGCTAGCAAGTGGGAACGGGATTGGCAGCATCAGTGGGGGGATACCGGATGAAGAAGAGCTAGCGATGCGCCTGACACCTGGCATCTGACATTTGACACCTAACACGTCCATGCCACCTTCTGCATGTAAGTTGCGCCAAACCAGCATATGAATTGCTTTAAATAGACTTCAGAGGCCATAACCGATACCTTGCGTACACCCGCAAGGGGTCGCATTAAGCGATTCCTATGCACGATGGCAAGATACGATGCTGCCACTCCAGGACAGCATGTACGTTGAGATTGATCACATGCCAAGCGCGGATCATAGCAGGCACATTGAGTCGCACGATAACACGGGTTCGCCAGCTTTTCGAAAACGTATTCTAATAAAAGCCCAATGATGTATTTCTGAAGCATGAAACGGGCCTGCAGGCACAAGACATAGGGTATGGCGGGTGGCAATCGGACCCCGCTGAGCAGGCAGTATACGTTTCAAGGTTGCTGCTTAAAAGAAATCCAAGATGATACTAGGAACTCGAATGCTGCGAGTAGGAAACACATCCCTTTCGCCCACCCCAACCTGGTCTCCTTGGAACTCGCGTTTACAAAGCAGTCTTGCCCTGCGACTCGATTTGCAGCGTGACCATGAGCAGGCCAGCAAGGACGAAGAGTGCAGCCGACACGTAGACCGGCACATTGGGGTTGTTCGCGGAGCCGTATATCTGCGTGCACGTAGAAGTGCCATGTGAGATCCGAGTCAGGCCATAGACTACACCAATCAACTGGAGTCACTCACCGCAATGATCGGCGCCATGAGACCGCAGATTCGGTTGAACGATGCAGCGATGCCGTCGCCAGTGCCACGATGCGGAGCAGGGAAAACTCTGTTGTGAAAATGACACATTGGAACGGGGCGTCAGTGTGGCACACAACCGCCGCAGTAGTTCCGAGGGCAACTCACTCTGGTGTGTAGCCGTACAGGACTCCATACATAATCTGTAGAAGGATGTGCAGGATGCATTCCATCAGCCGTTTGGACATAAGGAGGACGCATATCCTTTGGTGCTTGCTCTCACGTTCTGCGTGAGAGCCGTTACGCAGTTGAACGCGAGGTTTTGCGCCTGCAGGTTGCGAAGTAATCACAAAGGATGATCAGATGGACGAACTTGATTTCTCTCGACTCCAGCCAGTGGCAGGGAGGAGATGCAGCTACTCACGCTTGTACGGGCTGCAGTGAAAGCGAAGAGGAAGACACCAGTGAGGACCGTGCCGAGGGACATGGCACCACGGCGTCCGGAGCGCGGCAGCTCGACGAGCCAAGCAGCGATGATAGATCCGGGTACGCCGCAGACGGAGATGATGGCGTAGTTCTTGTACGTCTCGTTAGTGGTAGGGGCAGGCGCGTCGCCGACGGCGCGGCTGAGGTAGATGGGCAGGAAAGCATTGTAGAGCGGGTAGGCGAGGCCGATCATTCCCTTTGTTCAGTGTAGACAAGCGCAGAACCTATGTGAGTGAAGTGCAAGCACGCACATGGGCACGCGGAAGACCATAGAGGGCGCAATGAAATGGATGTGGACTCACCCAGAGGAGAATGATGATGGACGTGTTGTAAGCGAGCTTGCAGCCAGAAAAGAGAGGGCGGACGTGCGACAGCTCGGGCGTGAACATCTTCATCGAGACGCCTCGGAGCATGGTCTTGAGCACGCTCTCATCCTTTTCCTCAGCCAGGTCGGCCTCCTCGACCTTCTCTCCGGCGGCGGTTTTGAGGATGTCGACGCTGATATCCTCGTCGGTGAGCGTGACGCCGTTGCGTGCAGCGACGTCTTTGAGCACTTTTACCGCGGCGGAGTCGCGGCCCTTGGCAATGAGATACTTGGGCGACTCGGGCAGGTTGAAGACAAAGAAGCGGAGGATGAAGCAGACGAGCGTGAGGCCGCCAAACGTGAAGAATGCGTAGCGCCAGCCCATGTTATCGGCCTTGAGGCAGGCCCGTGCGATGATGCCCTGGCTGGCAAGGGTTTCGATCCTGGACGGCACATTCGTCGCATCTTCGGCGCAGGAGAAGTTCGCGATGAGCACCCAGGCGAGGAGACTGGCGATCAGTTGGCCGAGTGACCAGTAGACCGACAGCAGCGTCAGCAGGTACTGGTTTGCGCCGGGGATGAACTCGAGGAAGAGCATTCCGTCGACGGGCAGGTTACCACCGAGCCCAATCCCGAGCGCGGCAAGGATGCCGCCGAGGCCCACAAAGCTAGGAGCAGCGCCGCCGACGACGCCAAAAACTCCGGCAAGGAAGAGCGTGACATTGAATGAGGGGCGGCGACCGATGACGTCAGCGAGGACGCCCCATAACGAGGCGCCGATGATGAGGCCAATGTATAGGGAGAGCGTCATGAACTGCGGGTGCTCGATGCCAAACTCGTTCTGGATCTGCGGAAGGATGATGGCGACAGCCTGCAGCCACAAGTTGTCCAACAGCCAGCCGAGGCCGCTGAGGCAGAACAGCGCCCACTGGAAGCGGCCCATGCCGATCTGCAACAGAGAGCGCGCACTAGTCAACATCCCCTCGCACGCAGATGAGGACGACTACACGACGACGAAGACCGACGACGACGACGACTGCACACATTTTCGTTCATGACGCGATTGACGAGGTAGACCTTGCGAGAGTAGACTGAGTCGGTCGCATTGGCCTCAGGCCTGTCGTCAGCACTGGGGATGCCCTCGGCGAACGAGTGGCCAGAAGGGTGCTTCTCAACATCCTTGTGGTTGTCCGAGCCTGCGTTGGCCGAGTGCTTCTCGGACGAGCTGTGCACTTTGGCCTCTCGCGCGATGGCGGTGGCCTCGGGGGCCTTGGTGACGCTCATGATTGGGGGTGTCACGCTACGCGGAGTATACACAGTGTATTAGGAGCTCGCGGTTGCAAATTGCTGTGCAGGCGTGAATGGCAGCAGCAGAGGCTACGATGAGGATGCTTGGGGGACGGACGAGAGAGACCCGGCTGTCGAACGAGGCCCTTTCAACAGATGCGACGGATGAGCGTTGATGTGGATATAAAGCAGCATTGGTCATCGCAGTGGACTAGTGGGGGCTCCGAGCATTCCTATTTATTCAAATACGTGTACGTACTGGTGCCCAAAGGCGAAATGCCGTGGGCTGCATCCTCTCCTCTCTCTGCTATGCGAACTCGATGGGCCGATGAATCAGGGTTCAACTGGGGGTCACGGCTGGTCAGCCAGTCATCGACGTCGACCGTGGTCATCTGAAGACACTGCATTTGCAGAGCAGACACACAGTCCCCATATCGACTATGTCAGCACGGACTGGAGCGGGCCTCGCTGCAATTTGCTCACAGAAGTGCAAAAACTAGCGTCGTTTTTCGAATTTCGTCATGTATTCATTTTCAGACACTTGGCAAGGCGGCCAGCAAAGTGCAGCAGCCAGCCCTGGACTCGGGAGTCTGGAACTCCTGGCGACCAGACGCCCATGAGCGCTCTCGGTTTCACACATGGTTAACTTGGAAATTGCGCCCCGCTCTCCACCAAATTATGTATGTACACGTTGTACATATTTTAAGCATAGGCTCGGGATATTCAGGGCAGAACAGCTGTCTGGGCAAGGCACGACAAAATCGTTCTCCGCATGTCGCAAGAGGCTGAAGACGAGCCACGCACTCTCTCAAGAGAGGGCACGGGCATATGCAGATCGGCACCCAGAGGAGTGAGATCTACTTATTTGAGGGAGTCACTGAGAAGCATCAGACCACTGTCCGTGCGTGCACCTTGAATTGTTTGTTCTTGGCTCCATGCCCACACATGCTGCTGGGGACTACGGACCTAAGGGTCGTTCAGGCTTTGAAGTTCCACTCACTTTTTTGTGCCCCTTTCCGCCCGATGTCAGCAGCACTCAGCCGGTCTTCAACAAACCTGCGGGCCGGGGAGCAATCATGATCAAGCAGCGCGCAATGATCGCTAGTCAACCACTGGAGTCGGCTCTCGCTGGAGGGCAACGCTGCTGCGCCGCTGGGAAGTGTTGTAAACGCAGCTATGTAAAACCTATTGCTTTTGCAACTAGCTGGCTTCCAGTTCCAGAAGTGAGAGGAACAACTCTGATGTCCTGGTCTCTCCACTGTGACTCGCGCCGAGTCTCTCGCCAGCCGTCATCAAGGGGGGAAGGGAGGCGGACGCGCTTGCTATCTTTGCAATATTCCATCATGCCTTTCTGGATCTTGTCTGCACGTCATTCGCTTTAACGACATTCGATTCTGAGGCCGGCCGGCGCCGGTATGGACACCACCCGAAAGAGCAGGAATAGCATGATATCCGTATACGGCATGGTGCGATGGACCAGGATATCGAGAGACACCTGTTGCGATGCAAGAGATACTTTTGCAGTCAACTGCTGTGGACATGCAGTCACGCGCGGCGTGTGTGTGTCAGTTGTTCAAGACATGTGCAGAAGCGCTTCACAAATGGATTGTAGGACAAACGCGCCTTGAACTTCGCCTGCTGCGAAAGTGCAGACTCTTGTCTAAACGTGCCAAAGCCTTTGGTATGGTAGAGAAGATGGCTCAAACCTCACAATGCAAGATTCACCGTGGTGAAGGACAAAGGCGCACATAAGCTATTGCTTTGAGTCTCTTCGAGACGGGCGCTAGCCGATGGATCGTGTCCGCTGTGACATCCGACTGGCTGAAGGCGGCATCGTGTCTCATCTCGCTGCCTCTCTTAGTGCCAAAAGCTCGTTTGTCAATGGCCCCGTCATCGCTGTAGGTGCTCACGGTGAAGACAGCAATTCTTCCGGACGTGAGCCTGCCTGTTTGAATGCTCAGCTCATTAGTATTGAAAGGGCTTTTGCAATGATGGTGCCAATGAGGGCTTTCCTGAGAGCTCAAAGGCGCTTCGATGTCTTCCGCGGTGATGCCCACCGACTAATGCGGCAAAAGGAGAAGCAAGCGGGCAAGGCCTGTGCACGACTGGACAAGGGCGTGAATGGTACCGCTAACTTGACGACCGGCCAACTATACGAGAGTAGCCAGCCGAGCAGAATGTCGAAAGCCACAAGTTTGGTCGATGCGAACTATCCACAGTTGAGATGCATAATGGGCTTGCACGGCGAACCATCCCGTGTCGAGCTCAAGAGATGGTCGTCCGCTGTTGTCGGAGGATGTTTGAAGCGCAACCAACGATACGCGTCAAACCACAAGTATGGCAGGGAAGAGTCACAGCTGTCTGAGATGGGATACAAGTGGATATCTGCATATATAGAAAGGCGAATCGACAATTAGGAGCGTGAAAGGCGGGCAGGTCAGGCTCAGCACGACGCATGGCCTGCTCTATCACGGTCCATGCTGGTCTCAGCATTGGACAGCGAGTCCACCGTGACCGACAGCTCAACAAGTACTGGAATAGCACAATCATCGACACCTATCCAGACTGCGTCAGGCCCACTTCTGAATTACAACAGCATTCAGAAGACCCGCGTCCTTGAGCGTGGCAGACTCGTCTTCGATCGGCTTGGGTGGGAAGCTCGTCTGAAGAACGTAAGGGCGGGTCTCCATACCGGCGTTGGCACTATGCACGAAAAGGAACGAAGCATATTGGGCAAATAAAGCAATCAGCACTCACTCCCTGCCTCCAAACAGGGTGTAATACTCACGCGTTAATATAGCTCCGCACATCGCGGATTGTGTGCTCATGGTTGAAGCGCCCCACTATGCGCGATCCGTCAGCCAGACGCAATTGCAGTTGCGTTGTTGGCTTGGAACTGTCCACTTCACATTGCACCTGTGACGCTGGTGGAGCGGTGGACCCGATGGGCGCGCCTGCAGGGGAACGAGAAGGTCCAGCGGTTGCAACACTTGGCACGGGGCTGCTGAGTCTGTTTCCGGTACCCGAGAAGGCCTTCATGGCAGGTGGCGGTGGCGGCGTGTACTTTTGATCCGTTTTCTTCTCCACCCGAAGTTCGACCTCTTGATTGGGTTTGACGTCGAGCAAGGATAAAGGCGCTCGCTGTGCTTGCAGAGCAGCAAGGATACGCTGATTCTCGGGATCGTCATAGTTGTAAAGATGCGATTCGCCGATCGTGAATCCATCTTGCCAAAAGGTGACATGTCTAACAGCAGGCGGCAAATTCGATCCATCTTCTACCCCCTCTTCGCCTTCCTCGACAGCCCCGGTTCCGCCATACGCACCAGACACTCCAAGTCGCGACCGGTCGCTTCCATTTCTCACTGCAAGCGTGGGTGCAGAATCGCCGTCGTCACCAATGGTGCGACCGCGACCACCAAAGGCGTGGATGTTGCCACTTGCCTGCCCTCTCGCAGGTCCTCGGCCACCCGCGGCGGGTGGAGGGGGTCCTGCCTCCGCTGCTTGCCGTAGGATGTTGTTCACTATATCCATGCCGCCATCCTCGCTTTGCGCCTGTGAAGCTGCCATTGCCTGCAGAAGCCTCCGCCTGCGCTCGGCTTCGGGGTCTTGTACACTCAACCCGCTGCGCTCGCCTCCAGCGAAGAGGTTTGGAGGGCTATCATCGTCCTCGTCGTCTTCCGGTTGGTGGATCCTGCCAATCCCGCCTCTGAACCCCCCACCTCCACCGCGTGCACGTGTACCGCCCTCCTCGTCTCTCATGCTGCTGAGAGTTGCAATGCCTCCTAAACGTCCAGTGGGTCGACTGCTGGCGCTGCTACTGGCGCGTCCAGAGGTGGTGGCCGCGTCGGCCTGGCCCCAAGACGCAGAAATAGGTTCAGCCGGAGCCCCTGACAGAGTTCTAGGTCCGGTGTATCCCACAGGAGCTGTGAAAATGAATGAGAACCCTCAGCAAACATCACATTTGACGAATCGACTGCGCCGAAGCCAATGTGCACCTGCCTCAACTTCCACTTCTGCGTTTGCTCCAGAGTCAGTACCTTCTGCCCCTCCTGACTCATAGAAGGTAGAAAGAGCAGCATCTATATCTCCATTGGCCGCCTCCACAAAGAATCTGGCAAGGGCATGCGCGAGTGAGCTTTCATATCATGTTTGTATCTGCAGCGCCACAGTCCGCACTCACTTGGAGCGATCCGCGCTCACGCCAGCGACGGACGCGAACTGCGCAATCTTCTCGTCCATCTTCGGCGACTAATAACAACCACGTGTCTGTTTTCTTGCCTTCAGGCGGGTTTCTCACGCAGTAACGCCGTAGGCAGACCACAAAAAGTCCATCGCTATGGAGTCGGTGAGGATGACGTGTATATGAACTACGAAAGATGCACGACTTGATCCTCTCATGTTTCATACAAACACATCGAAGGTGTCTGTGCGCAAAACACTACCGCATGTGGGCGATGTTCCGCTCTTTCGATGTCCCCCACCTTGAAGCAGCCACACTTCGTCTCAAGGGCCCACCTGCTGATATTGATACACCACCCACGAAAGGCATGAGATGGACCTCGCAGCGCCACAAGCTCATCTACAGCACCACGTTCCAAGCTCATTGACATACGCCAGCACAGACTACGGGGCTAAGCCGCGATCACAAACATAAACTGCGCACCCACTCTCCGAAACCGTGGCCTCGATGCCTTCTTTCCTTATCATCGGGAAGTATGCGCTGAAATATGCGCATATGATCTAGTAAGTAAAAGAGAAATAGCTTGATGAATTTGCAAGAAAGACTTGTTTTGATTGCAACGCAAAATGGGACATCTATAGAAGCAGAGCTTAACGACAGAGGTTTCACCCTGTAGCCGGACGCGCAGAGATACGCAGGGAGCCCATTGATTGCGAACTACTGCAGAGACGGGTAACTGCGAGGCTAAAGTGAGGTTACTTAGCCCGAACCACCCTTGTAGACCTTGCCGAACATGAGCTCCTGGAGCTTGTCGTATCCAGAACTGTGAGCGGGGATTTAAATGCGGAGTGTTAGGTCCTGTTATTAACGACAAAGGGAGCAGAACAGCGAAAAATACTCACAGCACACCAGCGCCGGCAACACCACGGAGAATGTTGGCACCAGCACCCTTGAAGAGCGACTTGATGCCCTCCTTGGCGACAATCTGGCGACCAGCGTCGAACATGCCCTTGTAGTGAGGACCCGAGCCACCGGAGGTCATCATCATGCGACGACGGATGGTGTCGAGCGGGTAAGAAGCAACACCAGCACCAGTAGTAACACCCCAGCCGAGCAGGAATGATGCAAGGAAGCTGCCATCAAGAGCACCAGTGAGAACGACAGGCTTGAGCGAGTCGTACATGCCGAAGTAGAGACCACGGTAGACAACGATACCGACGACGGAAGGGAGGAAACCACGGTAGAGACCAGCAATACCATCCGAAGCGAGGGTCTTGCGGTAGACGTCAACGAGACCGTTGAACTGACGATCTCCACCGCCCTTGGCAGCAGACTTGGCGTCGTTAGCGAGACGAGTACGGGCGTAGTCAAGCGAGTAGACGAACAGAAGCGAAGAGGCACCGGCGGCACCACCCGAGGCCAGGTTGGCCGAGAGCTGCTTCCAGTATGGGTCGGTCTTCGGAACCTTGAAGAGCGCCTTGAAGTAGTCCTTGAAGGCGAAGTTCAGGGCCTGAGTAGGGAAGTAACTGTGAAAAGATGAGAGGAATGAAGCATGTCAGAAGCGAGGTTCGCGGGCCAAGGATAAAAGGGCAACGTACCGAATGACGTTGGCAGTGTTACCACGCCACAAGGAGGCAAGACCCTCCTGGTTGTAGGTCCTGACGAAGCACTCGCTGATGCCCTTGTAAGGAGTGGCGAGACGGCCCTGCTTGATCATCTCATCCTGGTTCTGGATGAGCAGCTTGACACGCTCGATCGGGGCGGCAGCGGTCTTCGAGACGGCGGCGGAGACACCGCCCATCATGAAGTCCGCGAAGAAGGACGACACATCGCGCTTCTTCTGGGAGTCGGCAACGCTACCCATTTTGGAGGATGAGACTGTGTAACAAAAATAATTGGCACTGTCAGCAAGATATCCAAGTGATCGTCACTTGCGGGCCCGACACAGAGAGGCGCAAAGGGCGGCGTGGAAGTTCGCTGACAACGCGAGACCGATCGTCTGCGTGCGTGACTCCCACGCCAGCCATCACTGCACTTCTGCGGTTGTACCCAACTCAGACATGTGTGCCCACTCACCTTTACTGCTACAAGGAGTGGTGGTGGTAATACAGGGAACTACCCTTTGGTCGTGATGGATGGTGGTCGGAGGGCAATAAGAGTTGAAGTTCTTCATGAGGGGAAGAAGGAAGGAAAAAGTTTGGAGAGAGGAGAGCAAACCGCGCGCCGGCTGCTGAGGATGCTGGCGGTGTTCCACTCACACAGACCAGGTGCGGGAGCAGCGAGAAAACAGGTTCACAGCTTCCAAATCACTCCAACCTGGCCTGCTGGCTCCGCTCACGCCTGCTAACCGACGAGAGGAGACGGCCAGCAAAACGCCAGCCGGCCGTTTCCGAAGCGAAACGCGCAAGTGCGGAACCGTCAGTTCAACCACGCGACGCAACAGTTCGGCGTGCAAAGAACTAAAGACTTGAGAGTCCGCCCAAGTCCTGTTTTCAAATGTGAAAACTCACCAAGCGCGCCCGGGCCAATCAGTTTCCTACTGTCGGCTGGTTGCGGGCCTGATCGCAGGCGTGTTGCGTCTGCTTCCGCTATTATCAGAGAACGCAGCAGTCAGCAGTGCACCACTCTTTCGCAATGCTCTGGCCCAAGTCCCAACGCCGCCCAGTTGCTAGTAACCCATACTCAATTCACAAAGTCGGAGGGACGATGCACGACGGCACCCCCAACCTTCGTGGGGTTAGCATCTCTTTCATGTCAACATCACCCTGTCTTTACAAAAGAGTGCATCTTTCACCTTATTCTACCCTTTATCCTCACACGCAGCACCCCCCGACATTCTAGTCCTAGATCCAACCAAGTCGCATCGACAATGTCCGCCGCTAATTTCGAGAAAGCCGTCGCTGTCGTCCAGGGCATGCCCAAGGTACGTCATTTGGCCGAAAGGATTGTCAAGCAGGTCTTGCTTGACTCTTGAACAGCAGGAGGGCGTCCAGAGCCGGTCGCGATCCATCGTGCGCTTGTAGAAAGCAATTGCAGATGCGAAGAGCATGGAGCGGCATCGTTGTAGATTGTTTGCGACTTGCCCGACAGGTGAACAAGGAGAGCTGACCATGAAATTTTCCCACCTCTTGCGCGCGTTCAGGATGGCCCTGTTCAGCCAACCCAGGCTGAACAGCTCAAGTTCTACGGCCTGTGAGCTCATCAAATAAGCTATCCGTAGCTGTTAATAAATGTTTCCAGTGCTGAGTCTGTTCTCGCGCTTCCCATCTCGCAGCTACAAGCAGGCTAACGTCGGTGACGTCAACACCTCTAGGCCAGGCATGATGGGTACGCAGTTCTCACCCTTGATCATTTGGGTACATTCGGTTCCGACTAATACTTACATCATCTTTTTTTCTGTCAGACTTCACTGGCAAGGCTAAGTGGTTTGTATACAGTGCATTAACGCCAGTGTGCGCCTTTTGGACCGGAAGAACTGAATCTGGGTGACTTACTTTGCATAGGGACGCTTGGAAGAAGGAGGAGGGCAAGTCTCAGGAAGACGCAAAGAAGGATGTGAGCTTCTGCGGCAGTTTGCAAACGCTTTCGCAATCAGCTGACCCCATATGTTCCGTGAACAGTACGTCGAGGCCTTGCTCGCGGTATGTTACACCCGTTTCGGATGGGCTATATGCTCGCTGCGCCTTGCTCATATGCTTTTTGTATTTGCTTTGCCTTTTCCACAGGTCCTCAACAACCACGCTGGTGAGGATGCACCCACTGAACGATCATTAACGCGAAGCTAACTGTCCTTCCACTTGCCGTATACCTATGCTAGACGACGAGCAAGCCCAGGCGTGGATCAAGGAAATCACCGCCTAGATGCATTCAAGATGGACGGTTACTCTTTAAAAAACTGTATTGCACGCAATTTGGCGACCCGCATTTGATATCACATCGGGATTCGAGCCATAAAGAGTCTCTGGATGGAACCGCTTGGTCAGCCCATGCAGAGGGTTCGCTTTGTGCGTCGGAGAGGCGCGACCGTTGCCACAGCCACCTTTAGATGCCAGATTTCCTTTCTCCTCTTGAATTGAGTCACAAATCGACAATCGTGAACAATCGGCAGGCAAGAGCAGCGGTGCGGGCGGGGGATTGCAACCATTAAATTTTGCTACTCTCAGCTCCAATCTAAGTCATCGTCGTTCAGATCCACTAGCGCCCCAGCGCCTCCACCGCTTTCTAATTGAGCGGCTATTTCCTGCTGTAGACCCATCGGCGCTCCTGCTGTTCCAGCCACAGCTCGATCCCGCAGCGCACCTTGCCAACCGCCTTCGTCAATTCGTTCTGATTCCTGTGCAGACTCATCCCGCGCAAAGAAGTCTTTTCTTGGATCCCATTTTCTTCGGTCGTCTTTGATCATCCTGCATGAGCCATAGAAGCGAGTTATGGAAAACGCCGTTCAGTCCTCTCGCCAAAGCATGTCAAACAGTTGAATTAAAACACATAGTTTAAAAACGTACCTGTTGTCGACCCGAGCATCTTCCCCTTCTACTCCAACGACTGGTGTCGGGGTTTTCGCTTCAATAACCTACAAGAACGATGACGAGCACCATAAGTATCAATATCTGGACATTTATGCTCAATGGGCTACCTACGTAGTGATTATCGCAGTGTGGGCAATATTCGTCCGACTCTTCGAAGACTGCCATATCCTGTGAACGAGAGTGTAGTTGTCAGAACTGATCTCGTAGGGGGCAGCCCGATAAGTGGATGTGTTTCGCACTTTCCGAAACGCTTTCCGACATTTCTTGCAGATGAAGGCCATCTCCACCGTCTTTGCTAGCCGATGGGATTGACCTTCGGCATGGCATTGCGGGCACTGGAGGATCATGCGAAGCGTGCATTGTGCAATGCTTTCAGCTGTGTGGCACCAGAAATTGGCTTCGATGCTCGATCCCGCGACTTACATCGTACCATTTCTGGCAGCAAGGCGCTCGCACTGATACTTGTGCGTTCAAAATGTGCTTGCTGATATGAATGCCAAACAGCCAGGACAGATGTCAGACACCTCAACACACTCTTTGAAACGCCATGAACGAAGCTGGACGCTCACCACATGGCGATTTGCTTGCCAGCTGCTTAGATCAGATTAGAGCAGCACAGATACGAAGGCCGCGCAGAGCTCCACATTAATCCCGAATCAGGGTGACGATGCACAGCTAGTCAATTGTGCGGTGTGTGAGAATATCACAAAGACCATAAAGAACGCGTAATTACGAAGAAGGGCTTTCACAGGTGCGTGTTGCACAAGGCACGCTTGTCGCGTTTCGCGCCGTACGCTTATAACATATGCACAAGCCGCGCTCCCCAAATAACAACTTTAACGCTTGACGCTGTCCGCATCAAACATGCAATACGATCTGAATAGTACGGAGCGAGCTAGGATGGGTATGACATTAAAGGACGTGATACGCGGATAGCCGCTAACAACGCAATGCTATTCGTACATACAATGCACCTAGAACTGCGAGGCGGAAATGCCGGCTTGCGAGATGGCAGATAGCACAGCCGGATTGATACTCGCGCCGGTAGAAATACCTGATGCAGTTGGTTGAGCGACCGCAGCAGCCGTCGCCGTCTGCGACAGCCTCAACTTTTCTGAAACAGCACCTGAACTAACGAGAATCTGATTGAGGAAGGACTTGGCGATCGCTGAGCTCTCAGCGGCATCGAGTGACTGCGTGACCGTGACGATTGATGTCGCAGGTGGAGCGGTTGGGGTTGCATTAACGACAGAGAAAGGTGGCGAAACTGTAGCGGGTCCTGTCAGAATCATCGTAGTTCCGGTCGAGGATGCTACTGGCATTGAGGCAGTGGAAACTTGGGCCAGCTGAGACAGCTGAGACAGACCTCGTTGCACATCGGCAAACGAGAGAGGCAGCAATTTGGCGTCGAGCACGATGCCGTTGACCACCAGGAAGATACCGAGGAGCAGAGTGCCCCAGGAAAGAGCTTTGAGCGTGCTCGAAGTCATAGGCTTCGATGTGCGCACAGAAACTTCGCCTGGATTCGACGGTGCCTTCTCTGAGAACAAGCCAGGCTCTCTTCGCGACCGTGGACGTGGTGTCAGACTTACTGCTGCCTCTCCAAGAGATAGACTCGGCGAGCTGAATTTGCTTAGAGTTTGCCCTGCGAAGTACGAGTGACTGGAAGAAAAGGAAGTGGAAGGTACCGGAATGTGACCATAGTTGTCGCTGTAATCGGGATTGTCGAGGCAGTGTGGACGCACGTCTGTTGGGAGGCTCTTCGGGCTTAGAAGCGGGCCGATTGCCGCCGAAGGAAACCAACTGCGGTGTGCTCCGCGACCACCCCAGCCGTCAGGACTCATGCCTTGGTTGAACGAGTCGGCGGGCGCCTCACCTCGAATATTGGATGAAAGCAACTTTAGGGGTCGCGGCTTGAAAGACCCACGCTGATCCTCGGTGCAATCTACACCACTGCTGCTAGAAAGGCTCTTGGGGAGAAACGAGCTAAGCTGCGTTGCGGCTTTGCGGCTAGCAGCGAGCTTCGCATCGCCACGCGTCGTACTGGGGATGGCAGTGGCACCCGATGTGCGACGTGAGCGGCATCCAGAGACGATCCGGGGCATGAGCTCTACATGCAAAGCGCGAATGCGGGTGGAGAAGCTACTAGCGCTGCTCCGTTGACGATGTTGGAACTCGCTCCCTGTCTGCTCCTCTTCAAGCACCCATGTTTGGAGGCCGAGAACGGCTGGCTCCTCGAATTGGTCTTTCTCCATCCCCAGCCGCTGCTGTTCTTGCCTCGCACGCTCTTCTCTTTGATTAGACCATTTCCATCCCTGCGCCCAGAAGGGCGTTCGAGGCTCAGACTGCCCATCCTCGTCGAGATCTTGGGAGGACCGTGCGGCACCGAGGGCGCGAAGTATGTCGCTCAGAGGAGAGTCCCTCCGGGAGCTAGGCTCAACCACCGTTCCTGGGCTGCCTGGAGGCATGTCGAGCGTGATGTGCGAAGTAGGGCGAGCACGAGTGAAGCGCGCCAACAAGGAACTAGACCGGCTGCGTAGCCCACATACATGATCGGAACTGCTTGTGGGTCGGACGGTGGAATTGGTGCGTTGTCGGAGCTGAGAAGCTGGGATCTCAGTAGCGGATATCGCCGTGATAGCAGTCGGAGTCATGGCGATGCTAGGTCTGGAAGAGTCGTTGTCCAAGATGACGGTAATATCGTCGCCTTCTTCCCGCTCTGATTTACGCCAAGCGCTACCGACGCATTGGAATCGACGGCTCAGGCCCGAGTAGCCTCGCACATGGTATCCGCCACTACTGTTGGCCTGGTCCTCGCTTCCGTGAGCAGAATGAGGCAAGCTAGGACGCTGAGAGTTGCGCTGGCTTTCGCCATGGATACCGGAGGACGCTGCAGCTGGACTGAGACTCGCATAGGTGCCAGCCGAATGACGAACGTCCAACGAAGCCGTTGCGGAAGGTTGTTGCTGCTCAGGTGCGGGTGGCCGCCCCGTGCTAGAGCGCTCGCTCGAGGGACATGTGTGAGTGCTGGTGCGCTGGCGAGCACGGCGCTGGTCAGGAGATGGTCGAAAATGCGCTGGAGTGAGAACGCCTGAGGCAAGGACTCCGGCATCTGATGACGAGCGACGCCTGCTAGTGACGGTAGCCGAGATGGATGTTTGGCTTTCCGCCCGCAAAGTGCTGGTCATGTCGTCGCTTTTTTCGGCGATCAACGACTGGCGCGATGGCTTTCCTGAGTCGACGAAGCTCATCAAAAGCTCTTCTCGCGGGCTGGAGGACATGCCTTCGGGGCTGAGGTGCTCCCGGCAACGCGAAGCGTTGCTCTTAGCCGTTTGCTCGTTCTCGAGAACGCGCGGAGCGTCGAAGATCTCAGCATCCAAGATCTCACTGGATATGGATTGCTGCCTCAAGGGATCGGAATTGATGCTCGGTTTCGAAGAGGCTTGGGGCAGGGAAGACGAAGAAGAGAACGGCGTTGGCGTATCCACACCGGTTAGGTTAAGCACCTGCTGCCCTGCATGGTTGCGGCTAGTTTCCATGGCAAGTGCAACGATTGAGGATGAGGAGCCCTCACGGCTAGGCCCTGTGACTCGACGTCCCCGGGGGGATTTTGGCGCCCTCGGAGGTGGAGATAGGCTGAAGCTTGGTACCCAAAACCACTCGTCATTTGGCGCGGGATACGCCGGAAAACAGTACGATGTTTTGGGCGAAATAGACATGTCATCGAATGGACCTGTAGTTCGAAAGCTCGTTGATCAGCCATTCATGCGTCTTCGGATACACACGCGGATACGTATGCACCTCGCGCAAAGACGGTCTACCGGTGCTCTGAAACAGCAGAAGGGCTTGTGATGATGGCTGCAGCTTTCAAGGGCAGGAAAGGAAAGAAGTTGAGATCAGGGAATCACTGATGGCTTGAAGGGGAGAGTACTCAGTCCAAGCTCTCTCTTTAAACGTAGCGAACATTGACATTGCAAGGCCAATGGTCCGTTCATTTACATCGAGTGGCACACAAAAGGCTTGACAGACTGGCGTCGCCTAAAATCCAGATGAAGGCGATTCAAATCGATTTGTATAGTACTTGTGGTTGCAATACTGGACTGATGAATGCGGATTCTGTTCTTTCCTTGGTGAGATTCGGCCTTTGTCTACCGCAAAGGGTGATCGACAATCGCGAAGTGCAGCGGAAACCACAATTACTGATTGAGCTCGGCCGAGCGCTTGGCGAGCTCATCCTTGCTGAGGGGCTCCTCGAGCCTAGATGCCTGCTCGGAGCTCAGAATCTGAGGGCCAGGCTTGGCCTCATGGGCAGCTTGGGCAGCAGAGCGAAGCCCGTCGCTGTGGAGCGCGGGGTCATTGTTCGGGTCATTCGCTGCGTAGGACGTGAGGTCAATTGAGGAAACAAGACAGAGGTCATGAGTGCTGAGGAAGCGGAAATGATAGAGAAAGCGCACTCACTGGTTGCCGGATGAGGCCTTTATGAGCACACAAAGCATACGGAAAAGCACAAAGAGGCAGAATGCGAAAACCAGTAGACCGCGAGCGCGGCTCGCACGACTTGAGCCTTTGTGCTCGGGGACCCTGGTGCACGCCTAACATCGGCTCATCGTGTCACTCACTGGATCGAAAAGGTCTGTTCTTCTTTGTCTGACATGACGGTAGTTTCTAGCGCTGTTTTGTACGTGATTGACGGTTATGGATGGACGCAGATGGCAAGTAGGCGAGCTGATAATATGGATGCACCATAAAAGCAAGCAAATGTGCAGTCAGTGTTGTGGTATGATGCGGTTGCATGGAGTCAAGTGAGAAACAGCACAAGCACGGCATTTCGCAGGAGCGGCGCTGCAGCAGTCAAAGCCAGTCCACGGTCGGCGATTTCGTCATTGTCGGCGACTTCTTTTCGTTCACGTCCCGTCCGTCAGTGAAGGTACGCACATCTCACAGTTACCCTATACAAGGTTGGAGGGGGAGAAGAGAAGGTCGTTGGCATTGATCTCACATGGATATGTTCCTGTATCGGCTGCAAAGGGCGTCATTGCCGTATAGGGCCCATGGGTGTTCCACTCCAGCTCATGGAGATGCTGTTATCAGACATACGTTCAGAGCCATGTGCCGTACGCAGGGCTCGTATGTTGCTCAAGCCTTGCTGAGCGCCCGTCACACCTCGTTCCCGCTCACCGCATCCACTCGTCGCCATCGCGACCTAGCGCGGCTTGCATATCAATGCAGCCATGTTCACTCTAGTAGGCAAGAAAGATTCTCTGTCCTACCTCAACTTCCTCCCGCCTTCCCCACGCAATGTAAGAGCCGACATTGCCGCTGGTTGGAGCTTGCAGGCGCCAAGTATTCATCAAAGTTAGAATACCCCCGCTCCAACGCCGCAAGACGGCCCCGACCTGCGAATGGAAAAATACCGATGTTTCGTTCTTGATGGCCTGATGAAACTGCAGACGGTCCGAAACATCCGCGGCTCAAGAGTCTCAGGGCAAAATTGTCAGCGCAGGATCCGCCAACGCAATCCAATCTCGAACACGAAATACAGCCGATGTTTAACCTCTGCCGCTTACTAAAAGGGATACGGTGCGTGAGCCAAGGCCCTGCTTGCAAAATCGACTTCAAACGTCTACATTATTTACACCACAAAGTTCTCAAACAACTCCGCCAGAACCCAGTGATCGGAGTAAATTCCTAATGAGCGCGTAAGCACTTCAATCTGAGAAGCTCAAAAGACCTCGATCCCAGTGATCGCGTACAAGCGTCAAACTTCAATGCAGCCGCATATGTTCATTATCGCAAACAAGGAGGAATCTGCGCTTTCCGTAGAGATACAGCTGCCGCACAGGGGGCTTCGATTCGACAGGTCAAAACACTGCCCATCAATACTGTTCTTTCCAATCAACTTTTCTTTCTGCCTGCCCTCTACAATCAAAGCCAAAGATATCACTGAGGCAAGTGCCGGTAAGGACCTCGTATGTGGGCGTGACGGCGGCCGTACGCTGATGTTCAACATTCTTGCGCTTGTTAGAGAAGTTGGCGCGATGCAGCAACAGCACTTCTGAACACCTGCACCTCGAGGCGTCGCATTGCTGCCGATAATCTGCCCGAACTCGATGAGTGCGAGTTGAAGCTCATCGGCACCGATTTGGCGTTTCTCAGTGTCGCTTTACAGCGAGAACGTTCAATGCAGTGAGTCAACACAGAGAAGAAAAATTTTGATGGAGTTGCGACAACAAAATGCCGCTTGTGCAGACGGCCTGTTAGACTCAGCCTTCAAAGAATCATACTCAACATTAAATGCGAGCTCAAACGTCATACGCGGCCCAGGCGGAGTTCGAGGGCTGCCAAGGACAAGCTCACTGTGCCATTAGCCCTGCATGCTCGTGAAGGAGGGCGTTATTGCACCAAGCCGAGGCAGGGAGACGTCATCCCCTTCACGGGTCTTCCCTTGCTGCCCATCAACCCTCGTCCTAAATACCCCGATGTGGTGCCGCCTGCCAAGCAGCCTGGGGTCACGTGTCTACCCACAATCCGTCAAGCATCTCCATGCAAAAGACAGGCAGGGCGCGACCTCGGCATCGAACACAGCAATGAACATTGGACGGCCTCAGGGTCATCGCAAATCCACGGACGTGGCCTTCTGTAAACGACAAGCTGTGCTATCGCAGCCGCGTGCGCGATGCACCTCTCGATGCCCGATATCAATGGCGTGACTGCGCTTGTACAGATCGATGATCATCATGCTAGCATTTGGGAGCTGGCGAGGGTGTGGGAGGCACTCTATCCAGAACGAAATTATAGGGAAAAATTGCATGTCTCTTTGAAAGTGTTGAATAGCATTTCATTTCACGCACTTTGTGCATGTGTCTAATCATAAGCACAATAGACAAAAAGGATGTCGCGGAGAACGTGCAGGCTGTGGCGATGGACGCTTGGCAAAGCCATGCTTTCTTCAAAGCCCACGTTGTACACCGTCCCTGCGCACCTCTAGCTCAGCTCTGAACTTCCGCCCTGACTACCGCTCCGGTCCAACCTCGAGGAGGCGATGACCGGGTGGCGAATGGCCAGGCGTTCCAATGAATGGAGCTGCGGACGCGAAGCATTGCTTTGACGAGGCAGTCAATTTTGTTGGGTATGACACAAGTGCTGACCGTAGATGGCTGACACTCTGAGAGAGAGTCAGCTTGCCCTCTTTTGTCGCCTCGATCTTGAAGCAGATCGACACGAACGTAGGGCCGGCACAGTGCTCTTAAGTCCCAACAATGGTTCAGTCATGGTGGCATGTACGGCTAGTCTAGCATTCCTTCCGGTACATCGCAGAACTAAAGCTTGAAGATTGAAGAAGAGATCGTTTCACCACTAGAAATACAATCTGAGCAGGAAAGGGAGTGCGTAACAAGATCAGCGTTTCTGAAATAAGACCTCTCAGCCTAGAGTACGAAGCCCTTTGCCTGCCACGCTTCAACGCTCTAAAATCCTTCAAAAAGTATTGAACGGCTCAGAATAGTCTTTAATGGCGGCATCAAAACCATGAGAACATGACCTTGAATCAACGTAGAGGTGCCAGATGTTGAGCGCAAAGAACTACGTTTGCACGCAGTTCGTATACCAGCGCCTTTTCTTCCTTGCCGGTCCGGTACCTTCTCCTTCACCACCCACAGCTCAAAGCGACAGCACAGTCATGAACTGAAGTCCATGATACTAGACCCCTCTACTGCTCTTTGACTCACCTTTGCCGACGTTGATGCGGGAGCAGCATTTTGGTCGGATAGCAGCGTCTTCGGCCCTTTTATGAAGCGGCGAGAGGGAGCAGAAACGGCGAGAAGGGGGTGGTGACTCTGCGCGAGTTGCAACCCTAAAATATAATACACCTGGCGCTGCGGCATTTATTCAGCCCTCGCGCTACGGCGCTTAGCCACGACACCAGGGCGGTACGCCTCAGCAGGCCGTAGAAGTCGTGTCCGGCCGCTTGCGAAGTTACGTAGCGAATGCTTTCAGGGCCTGCTTCCTATATTGCACATTACGTCGCGCTCCCTCCTACCACCTCGATCCAGCATCTAGCAGCCAGTCAAGATGTCTAACGTCAACATCAGCAAGAAGAGAAAGGTAAATATCAGCTCCTGCTTCGAATGGCACGCTGTTGTGCTGTGGAATTGCACCGCAAGTGTCTTGATTTAAGAAATGTGGAATGTGTCCTCGATGGAGCGGCACCAGGGAGCAAACATTTATCGAGAGTGACGCGACAGGTATTGGGAATGGAAGAATTGACAGGCAGGAAGAGAAAGGCCGCGTGGTGGATATGCGTTGCATCCTTGACTGAGTGCAAAGCATGACTATGGAAGCCCAGTAGAAACAGGTTGGAGCAAGCGCAAGGTTGAAATCGCCAAACGTTTCAAATGCCGTCAATTTGGAATGCCGTCTGATTGGCCTTCGCTCTTTGTTGTCCCGCAGTTCGTCGCCGACGGTGTTTTCGCCGCCGAGCTCAACGAGTTCTTTACTCGTGAGCTCTCGGAAGAGGGATACTCTGGTTGCGAGGTCCGTGTCACCCACGCCAGGACCGAGATCATCATCCGCGCCACCCACACCCAGGAGGTTCTTGGCGAGAAGGGTCGCCGCATTCGTGAGCTTACCGCTCTTGTTCAGAAGCGTTTCCGCTTCCCGGAGGGCTCCCTGGAGCTTTACGCCGAGAAGGTCCAGAACAGGGGTCTCCATGCGGTCGCACAGTGCGAGTCGCTCCGTTACAAGCTCCTTTCCGGTCTCGCTGTGCGCCGCGCCGCCTATGGTGTCCTCCGCTTCGTCATGGAGTCGGGTGCTAAGGGTTGCGAAGTCATTGTCTCGGGCAAGCTCCGTGCCGCTCGTGCTAAGTCGATGAAGTTCACAGACGGTTTCATGATCCACTCTGGTCAGCCCGTCCGCGACTTCGTTGACGAGGCTGTTCGCCACGTTCTCATGAAGCAGGGTGTTCTTGGCATCAAGGTCAAGATGTGAGTAGCACATTTCATTTACACTCCCGTAGCGCTGGCACTGACTGGACTCGAAATCCAATCACTACTATTTAGCATGCACGGATGGGACCCCACCGGTCGCGCCGGCAAGGCCTTCCCGCTGCCGGACGCTGTCACGATTCTCGAGCCCAAGGCAGAGCGCGAATACACTCAGCCAACATCGGAGTCCAAGATGGCCCCACCACCAGTGCAGGAGGTCCCTCAGGCATACCAGCAGATGGCTCCTATCGATACCACTGCTCAGCCCGAGGTCATCTAGAAGACTCTCCGCAAACTCTCGCTTTGCACAACTCGCTCTCACCTCGATTCCGAAACCCCAGCCCCCTCGCCAGTGCGCGCCCTGTAGTTGCTTCAGGCGAAGTATCGTTTCACTCAATAGCAACGCCACACGAAATGCATCAGAGTGCTTGGCACGCGTTGAACAAACATTCTCCGTCTTGAATCATATGCTACAGTCACAAGCAAGAGTATGCCGACGTCTGAGACGGAAATATTAATCCTCGGGGATGTATCTGAGCGCCGCAGCCATTCAGCGGTTGTGAGTTCAGCTCCTAGATCTTGAAAACGGGACGTGGCAACCCACCTTCGCCGAAGTGTACGGTACTTCTTGAGGGAGTACAGTGCTACACATGGAGCCGTGGCGATAGACCCATGAGAATATTGCTTTCCATTTGTCTTCATGCGTAACTTACCTTCAGTTTCTGGAAATGGGCAGGGAGAGGTGAGGAGACTCAGCTTGCGAGCGTTATTGCGGCATCAGATGTGTGCAAACCTTTTTGAATGTGTTCCCCTAGCGCCAGTATCTTTTCTACCTCTGCATTCTCTGTGAGATTAGCATTCTTAGCCGACATGGATCGCAGCTTGCCGAGGAAGTTGTACGATGGCTCAGGGTACTCTCTGCCTAAGCGGTGCAGCTGGACCGGTCGAGTCACCACCGCATATCGAGTCACACGTGGGTATCGGGCAGGGCAACCGACAGACGATAAGAGACATAGAAAGAATAACATGTACGCCAGTTGTAGTACAGATGAGTACATACCAGCGTCCACATTCTGCAGGCAACGAAGAGACTCACCGTCTTGTAGAGCCCAATAGCGCGGGCTCGCAACGGATGTCCCACGGGTGGCATCCCGGTTGCTTCTTTCGAATGATGAGTAGGCCTCACGCAGATTCTGGAAGTCTATAGGGCCTGCCTACTGCACAAACTTAGACCCAGCTTTGCATCGCGAATTAGATGGCGCGATACATTGTAAAGTAATGCAATCATGAGTAGCGCTGTAATGGTCGCGTAAAAGGTTGGTGGAGAGGGGAATACTCGTGGACCCATGGAGGACCGAATAGGTGACAGCGCGGAGGCCACAGACGTTTTGTGTCACGTCACGTCACGTGATTCTATGACAGTTGTATGCATGTCGGACGTCGGCTCAGCAACACCATCCTTTCGCTGTTCTGTGTTGTCAATTACATTCGATTGGCAAGGGCCGAGGTCGTTGTAACTTACACTAAGAAGATTGCACCGCAATGATTGGCGAGGAGGGTGTAGATGACCGGCCAGTGACGAGCGCTGAAATACAGAAGGCGCGGTCGTTCCTGGTGGAAAGACTGCTTCCCGACCTGGATCAGACGAAGCAGAAGCACGATCTGGTGCGCAGCGACATTGCAGGCTATGAAAGGCTACTCGTGCATCTACGGGAGCTAGAAGAGCGGGCCAGGAGAGGGGTGGTGCACGTAGATTCTCACATCGATAGCGACGATGGAATGACGCTTCCGGCAAAATAGTGCGTATGAGGGAGCGCATGTCGCACGCGGTACCATTGACTGCTCACCATCCCGTTGCCGTTGCCAGTTCGACCACAGCAAATCCCATCGTGCATCTTGGTCTAGGAAATCTGTATCTTGAACTACCTGCTCAAGAAGCACGAGCATTCGTCTCCTCTAGACTAAAGCTACTTTCCAAGTGAGTTTCACTCTAACTGCATAGGAGCGTTTTGCTCAAGTAACCTTCAATGTGACCCCTCCCCATTGTCCAGGCGATTAGGCAGAGAACAAGAGAATATCGCCAAAATTGAAGCTGTTGTCCATTTGGTGAGTTTTCGAATCATCCTGACAGACTACCGGGACCTCGGCATGACGTTATTCTCCGCTTTCGGCCCAACAGTCAAGTACCACGCTTGTAAAGCTCGAAGCATTGCACCGCGGCGAGACGAAGACCATACTAGATGAAAACTGACTCTCAAGGCCGCGTCTTTACGAATTAAGTGTTATGTAGAATAAAAAGCCAGTAAAATCGCTGGTATGCACCACGTTGCAGCATATCTGCCATCAGCCACTCTTCGCCTTCGCTACTGGCTGCTGCCGCTCATCGTTCCGCAGGTTTCCGTGGTTGTGCATTCTGTCAAAATATCACACCGGAAACTAGCAGTCCGGGAGAGGGCTGGGTGTGGTCTTCTTTGTCCCCACAGCTTCTGGAGTCCCGGGAGAAAGGCCGGACGACGTGATATCCTCGGCCTTCGCCAGGGTGTGAGACCTTCCATCAGATCATCACATTTATCGTTCTCGCGTGTTTCCAAATAAGAGAGAAGAGGCGGGGCCTGACCAAGTCGAACATGCATGAACTGTATGACGTACAACTTGTGTGGCAAGCGATCGACTGATGTCAATGTCCTGATCGCATGGATGAACCCTTATAATTGATAGTACGAAAGCAGCTCACCATGTTGCGCACAGTAAATGACCCATACATTGCATACTGCTTCTTCACTTACTAGGCGCAGGTGTACATGAAGCATTTCTATCCTTTGCCCAACCCTTTAAGTTGCATTGCCAGTCGAAGTAACACGTTCCAACGTTCCAAGATGCTCAAGGGCACATCTGTCAGCCGCACTGCTTTCCGTACGCCTCTTGCTCCGGCCGTGAAACCTCGGGTTCCGCACGGTAGCTCGCGAATTGCTGTATCTTTGAGTGTTCGTTCGGGTCCATTGATGGACCAAGTTGTATTGCGCGAAAGCATTATACAGCTTCCAGTCAGCGGTGCAGTCAGGCTAACACAATAGTCTGCCTATTTGATGCAGGATCCAAACAATTCAACGTCCGAAGAGGCGGCCAGGACTGAGAAGTACAACATGGAACCAGCTCAGCCGGCAAAAGAGGCAGCTACACATTACCAGAGCAACACCCAAGCCCACACGGACAAGGAGACCGCTTCCCCAAACTCGGCGCCAACCAGCTCGGAGGAAGCTTTGCGCGGGAGCAGGCACAACAAGTCCCCTGAACAGCTGCAGAAGGAAGCCACGGCCAATATGGGCAACTGAACCATTTCCACTGTACTATATCATTCTTACTGTACCCACATTCTGCACGCTGCACGTTGCCAATGCCTCGTGTCTTGCTTCCCGTCTGCATTGTATGAATGCTATCGATAGGTAATCTGGTGCCTCGATAGTGTCCAATATGCTGAATGCTGTGTGCGACGGCACAGCAGACTCGGAACTCAAGATGAAGTTGAGGCGAGACCAAGCAGCTGAGGTCTAATCTGATGTTTGCGGAAGGCTGATCGAGATCACTTCACGCGGTCGTTGGCCCAGCTAAAAGAATGGATTAATGGCAGGTGCGCTGAATACAGGCGGTGGCTCTGAATGCTAGACTAGATGCACCTGGTCAAATTTGACTAGTTGCCGCACACCAGACCCGATGTCGTCCAATGCGAACGCATCATGCGATCTGGACATGAGCATCGACACGCCATCTACATCTGCACGGGACTAACTGGAGCTTCGAGGGTCGACGGGGCAAAGGCAGCGCAGGGATGACTACAGGGCACGACGATCCACGCCATCAAACCACGTTACCCGGTAGCCCACGCATGAAGTCATCGGCCAAGGGAAAGCAACAAGCATAGTGTTACACAATTAGAACAGTAAAAGAATACAACACAACCATATACGAGTCACTGCCAGTCATCTATGAGAGATCACTGCGGAGCCTCCACCCCACCGGAGGACGACGGCACAGTGATGATGCTGACGTTGATCATGGCTGCCGTTCTGTCAGCTTGCGGGCGGGACGTCGCCGATGAGCTGCGAAAAAAAGGTCGACGGAATCGGTCCGGGGATATGTCCTATGCGCTATATCTGTTGGTCCAGCAGCCGCTCTTGCAGAGGGAAGTCATCCAGACGCTTACGAGCGCTCGCCACGGAGACGGCGGGCGAGAGCGATGTCCTTGGGTTGGATGGTGACACGCTGCGAGTTGAATAGTGAAGTGGAGTAAAAGTCAGCATGAGGTATACACAAGATTTGCACATGAGTGGCTGTGGGCAGTACCGGTGCTCACCTTGGCGTGGATGGCAGCCAAGTTGGTGTCCTCGAAAAGACCGACAAGGTATGCCTCAGCGGCCTCCTGAAGAGCCCCGATGGCAGAGCTCTGGAAGCGCAAGTCGGTCTTGAAGTCCTGGGCAATCTCACGGACGAGACGCTGGAACGGCAGCTTGCGGATCAGAAGCTCAGTCGACTTCTGGTAACGACGAATTTCACGCAAGGCGACGGTACCAGGCTTGTAACGATGGGGCTTCTTCACTGTTGATCGTTGCAAGAAGGGTTGAGTTGGTAGGGTGGGAATGTATCGGGGGAATGGTCAGATGCAGGCCTCGCAAGACAGCTAGGGATAACAGGTACACTCACCACCGCCTGCGGCTGGGGCCGACTTGCGAGCGGCCTTGGTGGCTAACTGCTTACGTGGTGCCTTACCACCGGTAGACTTGCGGGCTGTCTGCTTGGTCCTAGCCTAATATGGGTATGAGGAGGGATGCAGAGACGTCAGCACGGCGAAGCGACGCGTTGAACGATACGATATAACATGACGTGACGCGATGTGAATCATAACACTCACCATCTTGTCGACTGCGGGGCAGAGTCGTGACAATAGGCACGTTGAGAAGGGTTATGAAGAGTATGAAGAGTATGTGTGGTTGTAGGGATAAAAGTATGAAGAGGTGCCAACGTGTATGTGATGAAGGAAAGTATGGTCGCGTCCAGTTATTCCGAGATGTCGCGGATGAAGGTATGGGTAGCGATGGAGACCCCCCAAGGTGATGGCATCATAGTATTTTTGCACAGGAGAAAAGGGAGATGGATAGTGGAGATCAATGTGAGCATGTTTGTGCTGAGTTGAGGTAAGATTGATTAATGGAAATGGTGTGGATTGAGTACTCACATCAGCTTTGCTTCTGTTGACAAGGTGGTGCGTGAGGTGGGGATGATGATGGTACAGTAGCAAGAGAGATTGATAAAATGGGGACGTGTTTCTGTGGTGTCGAAATCGCGCGTTGACCCCGACAAAACCATCCAGCTCGTCCTTGTTTGTGGTCTGGGTTCGGGAGTAATTTTCGTTCCGAATCGTGCGCGTGCAAGTCTGTGTCTCGGACGCGCGCACAATGCACCTCCTCCTCACAAGTCACATGGCGGCGTCCGTGGTTAGTCCTGCGAGCAGCGAGAAGGGCGAGTGGCCTTATCATCTAGTCCAAACCCCTCACCCCCACCAATTCCAGGCAAGAACTGGGCGTTCTCGCCGCACGGGGACTGCGTTTCGGCCTTTCTGGGGTTCACTCCAATGTCTTGGACATGACAGTCACTAGTCGGTGATTTGCCTGCCTTCCAGCAATCGCTGTTGTGTCGATTGTTGAAGGAACGATGGGTGTGTAGATTTACAAGGATAATTGGAGTCGAATTTTTGCAACTTAAGCCGCGCAAACACGCTTTGTGTTGATCTCGCTTGTATGCATGGACGTCACAGGTTCGTTGCTCTTTGGCCAAGGTCAACAAGTCATCTCTCCGTCCTCGACCGCAACTCGATGATGCAACCATGCACAGCAGGAAAGCTCTTGCAGCGGCTCCCGATCGCTTGTGCGCGGCATACCATGCGCTCAAGATGAGCACCTGCCAAGATCTCCTACATCACCGCCCCAGCTGCCGACTCTCAGTCAAAATGAGGTCAACTACCAATAGGTCAGGAGTGACGTGTCTGCCGCGCGTATAATTGTCACGTGACTGCGTCAGCATCTATGTGGCACACGACAAAGACGCTGTCGTAATATCCTATTGACTTGCCGATGTCCTCTACTCACCGTAAGCTAGTTATGAATACGACCAACCGCACCGGTCCAGTATGACCGAGCTAGCCAGTCATGCCTGAGACAAAGGCGGTCAACTACGGCTGGTGTCCTGTATTGACGTCGAGGCACATTGTTTCTCATGCCTCCATCGAATCAACCGTATGTTCTGGAGGTGAAGCTCAACATGCTTTCCTCTGAGCTGTGCATGACTTGCTGCTCCACGATCGCGAGCGGATCTAGCCAGCATGAAGTCAAGCCAAAGGCAATGCCCTTCGTGCATGGCTGCTGCAGGCGGTTCATTTGCTCGACCTGCATAGCCAACAATGCACGACTCGCCACTTTCTGTCCCTTCTGCGAGGATCCTCAGACAGCATTTCGCAAGGGCAGGCGACATGACGTAACGAGGGCAGGCGACACATTGTTCGACTTTGACAAAGCCCTCTCCGGATCAGGCCAAGCTGTTCAGAACGGCAGTGCAGAGGAATCGCTCGAAAGGGATGTACCACCTGCGTACGAAGCCGGTCCCGATTTTGTGCTTGCCTACGACGACAGTACAAAGGAGGACGCTGTTGTCGCAACGGCGACGGCTTCTATTCAAAAAATATCCAAAATCCAATTATCCGAGCCCGGGACCTTCAAGCCGATAGCCGATCACACACACGCCGCGGGCCTTGCAGAAGTGCTGCCCGAGAAGATCAAGGTCCCGCCAGATAGTGGAAAGGAGCAGACTCAGCGCGGCACTGGGGAGTCCGCACCGACCGATGGCGAGACGAGACAGTATTGGCTCAGACCCGAGGACACACTCTCTGGCCTTGCCTTGCGTTTCAGAGTGCCGGTGAGCGCTTGGTCCTATCCCCAAAAAATTCTTCCAGCATCGTTTGACCCACTTCGACCCATCTTCCTCTGTTTACTTGTAGGACGTCACCCTTTGCACTTTGAACCAGCTGCCACGCTCTGCGCTCGCAACGACACCGCATATCCTTCACACGCGTCACTGGATCCTGCTCCCTGCCAACTGCATTTCTGTTGCGGATGCAGCTGAAGATTCGAAGTTACAAGAAGCGCTCACCGGTCCTCTGAAGCTGTCTGCAGCATCCAAGCGCATCGCCGCTCGCCGCGGAGCAGAGTTACGCTTTCAAGCAACAATCATGCGCACCGGCGGTGGTGCTATGGGCCAGAGTGGCGAGACGCCGCCAGACGAGCGGGCGGCAAGTGCGTACATCGCGCTCGCTGAGCAAGAGTTGGCGTGGGTAGACTTTGATGAGCAAGACATGAAGCAACATAGCACACAACCGCTGAGGCCCGAGGACGACGAGAGCGATGAGCAGCTACGAGATTCCAGCTGCGCTGCTCGATATGACGCAATATTGTCACAGGCAGTGGCCAAGTGGATGATGGACTCAAACTGGGAAAGGGCCCAGCGAGCTGCTGGTCTGGATCCGAGCAAAATCCCGCGAGGTCGCAAGTTTACAGACTCTCGCGGCGGTCACGCACGCGAGCATAGCGGCTTCAGGGACGCTATGTCCCAATTTTTTGGTTCGATGACATCTCAGTACAATACCTTGATGCGGCCCACAAATCCGCTGATGAAGAAGTGAGCAGCACGCAGAGAGGAACAAAACCGGCAATACGGTATGAGACCTCGCACAGATAGACATGTTTTTTGTTGTACTGCAGAGAGCGCATCGTTTGATTTGCAAATCCTGCCCAGCTTCCTCATGCTGCCGCATCTGAATAGAATCTATTTATTGCATGAGCTTGGCATATGCTATGACTGATTCAATGGGAGCCATGAGGGTGCCCCGAAGTGTCCAGTTTGTAGCCTACGATAGACCGTCGGCCAATCTGCGTAATGCAAAGGAGAGTCATCGTCAGCATCAGACGGCCCTGATCCGGGTTACTTTGAACACCCGGATCGACTTACCATTTCACCAATAGTGAAGATACCGAGAGCCTCGATGGCATAGATACCTGCCTTCTTCCATTCGCCAGAGGAGACGAACTTGGCCCAGTAGCCAGCGTCAGAGGCTCGGGACCAGAGAGTCTTATACGCGGAAGTAATCTGCTCGATGGATGAGGGTGGGGCCAAGCGTTCTGCCTGGTAGACCTGCTTGGCGATGGACCCTGCTACCTTCAGATTGTAGACGGCAGGTTCAGAGTAGGCTATACAAAAGAAAGAGGCAGATCGGTCAGCCACTCAATGTATGCCATCTGGTGCTCAGCGCATGCCGAAGTGGAGATCTCACAACCAAGCAAGCCTTCCGCCCTCTTCAATCCTTGACCACCGAGCTGCATTGCCTTGTCTGCCACTCCAGAGAGCTGAGACTGAGCAGTTTTAGCTGCAGACTTGGCTGCGTCGACGCCTGACTTGGCCACATCGGCTTGCTGAGGAGCAGAGCGTGTGAAGGTGCGGGTGCTGCCACCGATCGCGCGGCGGGAGAGCACCACACTCTGTTGGCGTAACGATTGGAACAGCATTTTGACTTGCGGAACCTACTGCTCGAAGGAGAGACCGCTTGTCTGTCTCATACAGGGTGCAACGATCGCTGGATGCTCTTGTTTGGGCGCATATGGCTGCGAAGAAGAAGCTGCTGCTGGTGAGATTGTTGGCTGGTGGTTTCCGGCTCACCCCGCCGCTGCTTGGGAAGGAGACGAGAGGCACAGAGAGAAAGAGACACAGAAACTCTCTCCTTCCGCGTTCCGCCACCACACCTGCGTGTATGCATAATATCAAGATGCATCCCCAGCAATCTGATGCGTGGTTGCTGCTGCTCCGGTCTGTTTATCTCGAATTCCTGCAATGTATTGGGTCTTTCGTACACGAATACCTTGAGCAACGAGCTGAAGGCAATACGGCGTGAAATGCAGAAGCTGACACATTTTTCAGCATGACTGAATATTGGATCTCGCGCAAGCGATGGACATGCCCGTACTGCGACATTACGATCAACGATGACGTGCCATCCAGGCAGCAGCACGAGAATGGACTGCGCCACAAGGGAAACGTTGAGCGAGCTCTCAAAAATGTCTACAAGCAGAGCCACTTGCAGAGAAAGGAGAAGAGCGATGCAGCGAAAGAAATGAAGAGGATCGAGGCGGCAGCCAAGGCGGCTATGGAGAAGGACAGTGCTGCATTTATCCCTGTGCTAGCCGCCGTCTCTCCATCTGCGGCGGCTGGGCCAAGCAAGGCTGCGCAAGAAAACAAATCTGCTCCAGGGAAACCAGCCGCGTGGAAACCCAAGGACCCTTACAGCGTCTACGGAAACGTCGCTTCAGACTATGCCACGAGCATGGAAGAGGCGCAGAAGGGAGCACAGGAGGAAGAGGAGCGAAGACGACAGGAGGGGACAGCAAGCGAATGGTCGGTGGTTGAGCCTTCTGCTGCGGCACCGCGGCCAGCAGATGCTCCGTCAATACCACACGCCAGCACCTCGGCAAGCACCACAAACGCGCTCACGGAGCGTGACGAGGCGCGGCAGTTCCGCGTACGAGAGCGGCAAGTGGCCTTTGATGGCGATTCTGGCGGCAGCGACGATGGTCACAGAGCCAGTGGCATCACGGGCGAAATCCGCGTGAAGAAGCGTGTCAGGACGAAAACGCAAAGAGAGGCGGAGGAGGAAGAGGACCGCAAGAAGCGTACGCTACCAGAGTGGAAGCCGCTGAAGATTGTCGAAGATAGCTATGAAGGCGAGGGCGAAGTGGAGGCACCGGTCGGATCGTCGAACCGAGCACACTCAGACGATGCGTCAGAAAGACCGCCCGTGCACCTCGCTGCTGGAGAGGTAAGCTCAGCTGCCAAGGAAGAAGAACAGGATACACCCTCGGTCAGCGTGGAGATCGCTTCAGAGCCGCTAAGCGCGGGCGGCGCTCGCACACTCGAGCAGCCCACCGTGGCTTCAGCAACAGGATCAGCAGTCGAATCAGCAGCTGCAGCAGTAGCGCCTGCGGCTGCTGCTGCTTCTGCAGGAGGAATGTTCAAGAGGCGGAAAGGCGGCGCGAACAGGGATACGAAGAAGATATTTGTGTGATCAAGTGCAGAATGCTGCATGCAATACATGGTCCTCGTCGTCACAGACGGTTGCTGTTTCCTTTTTGCGAATATGCTTTTCACGGTGTATAATGTTGAGGTGAATCTGCGGATGAAGAGGGATGTACACGACATCGCTGCGAAAGCAGAGAGGGAGATAGATCACGCTTACCAGCTCACGTGCCGGTTCTAGAATGCTGGCGTGCCGTTGGCGGCCTGGCTCTTGGTGAGCCAGGAGGCGTAGTTCCACGTGAGGTCGCGCGCACCGACGTTATATCCCGAATTGCGGTCCATCTCCTCGTTCATCGATCCGTTCGTCTGCGCGTGACTCTGCACGACCTGTACGAAGCCGTCGGCCTGGGCCTTCATGCCGCGCGTGAGCGTGGCGTACGTCGCGCTGTTGGCGGCGTACATGCCCGTCGCGAGGCCTGAGGCGAACTGCGCAAAGAACGGCTGCGAGACAATTGTGACGGATAGCGCCTGCGCCTGGTTGAACACGTGCAGCGCGTTGTATACTACCTCTGCGGCGGCGAGCGTGCAGAGGAACCACGGGTTGCCGCCGTTGCGGTCGTTGCCGCTGTACTCGTCCTCTGGGTAGCGACCAGTGGCGACGGCGGTGGGCGCCGCGGTGTTATTGTTGATTGCGTACAGGCTGCGGAACGCATCGACGTACTGCTTCTGGGTCGCGAGGATCCGGTCAGTCGCAGGGCCGAACTGCGTGTTGTCCAGGCTGGACGCGACGCTTGTCTGGTTCCAGCCGTGCAGCGCGCCGAGCATGACGGAGCAGTCGATGCCGGAGCGACCCGAGACGCCTTGGTACGCGTTGACGCGGTTCTGACTCGACGACCAGAACGACTGCAGCTTCGACTGAATCGCCGCGGCTTGCTGCGCGTAGTACGTCGCTGCGCCGCTGTCGCCCATGTCAGTTGCGAACTTTGCGCCCTCGGCCATGGCGCGTCGCTGCACGCTGAGTGTGAAAAAGTGTGTCGCCTGCACTTCCTCCCACGCTGTCCTCGTGTGTGTTTTCAGCCAGAGCCAGGAAGAAGTCGAATGAGTGCATGACGGCCGGCCCCGGCCAGAAACGTGGCGTCCAACTCACGGTCAAAATTGCTGTCCTGCCAGTGGTGCGCGACATACTCAAGGTCATTTTTGATGAGCGAGTTGCCGCTGAGGCTGTTTTGGTACAGCGTGCTCTTGGTGAACGTGTCGGAGAGGCCGATGGCGCGCGCATACTTCATGAAAGCGGTCGCACGCAGCGCCGGACCGTCGTTCTGCGGCCGGCCCCAGGGCCCGGTGAAGAGGGAGCCGTCGACGTTGAACTTGGGCTCGCCAAGGCTGCTGGACGAGCTGGCCGCGTTGGCTTGGTGAGCCTGCTCAGCGCGTGCCCAGTTCTCGATCATCGTCCTCGTTACACCGTTAGTGCCCTTGATGTAGTTGTCGATGACGACTTTCATGGTCATGGCCGAGTCACGGACCCAGGCATAAAAGTAGTCGGCTAGAGGACCAACGGGCACTGCAGTGAGCCTTGTGCATGGGAAAATGTATTGAAAACAAACGGTCGACTCACGGGCATCGGTAGAAGGAGATGCGATGACGGCGCCGGTTTGGACATTGGGAACTTGCGTGTTACTGTTGGCGCCACCGATGTTTGCGATCATCTATATTGGGTGGAGAGAGTGGACAGCATCAGTTGATCTGACGAAAACGCCCACGGCTGTGGCATGCGGGTGCTGTGACCACCCGTTATGCTAAACGGACAACTCACACTGGTGTACGAGTAGCTGTCCGTCACGGTCCCTTCCACTTGGCCGGGCGCCGAGATGGCAAGAAAGGTGAGGGCAGCCGATGTGCCGAGGGCAGCAAAGGAGGAGCGGAGCTGCATCTTGTCTATTGACAACGCGATTAAGGACGGGCGGGCGAGGAGGAGGGCACAACACGCAAAGAGGAGCAGGAGGAGGGGGAGGAAGGAGGAGGTGGCGCGGCGAGACCGAGGCATGGGGAGGATGTGCAGGTCGCCCATTTGTACATCATCCAGTTCATCTCCTCTGGCACTCGCATTCATCTCTATCGTCGATGGTTATAGGCTGCATGATGGACCGTACCCAACAGCCAGCCAGCCGATCAAGGAGAGGGAGCATCCAACAAAGGCGCAGAGGAGGGTTGCACAACGTATGTGCACTGCATGTGGAGATGAAGCGGAAAGCGATCCCCTCTCCTCGTGCCCACCTCAATCCCCATTGTGGTGAACTATTGCACTAGAGACGAGCGCATGGTTAGTATGTAGGCACTCGGGCCCGAAAACCCCAGAGGGAGACTCAGAGGAGCCAGAAGACAGATGCCGTGCCGTGGTGCGTCGACGCTGTCGGAAAAGCCGCCAGTCAAAGTGTAGCTAAATGGTGCAAGGGCGGAAAGGCCACGCCCCTGCCATACATGTATGTATCTCGCGACTGTGCTGATGACCCAGTGTGGAGTGCGACGAAGAGTGTGGTCCTTGTTCATTGTTGGAGGGCGGGACTGCGTGCACCGTGCTTTGTGCAACATGCGGCCAGGGCGTCGCCAGACGAGAGGTTTGCATGCATATTGTAACTGAGAATGGTTCGAGTCAGCTCGCTGTCTGGGGTCTGGAGGAGTGCTAGGTTAAAAGTGCAACTCGTCGCCGTATTCACACGCTCATGCCGGAAGACCCTCGCACTCTGGTCCAACGATGGCCGTGTATAGCAAAGTATGGAGTATGGAAGCTGGTGCGATGACGGGCGACTGGAGTCCAGATGCTTTGCTCGCTGGCGTGGAAGCGTATCGACCTCGACTCAAAGGCTGGCGGGCTCCGTTGGTGCAACCGGTCGAGGCGAGACGCCCATGACAAACCCTTCAGTCATCTACCATTGCACAGTATTTATGTAGACAATCTTCAATTCTTCGCGCCGCCCACAGAAGCAGAACCCACACCAGGTCGAACAAGGGATTTGTCTTTCGTGCGACTTCAGCGCCCCGCAGGCTGCAGGCGGGGCACATCCAGCTTTTCACGATACATGAAACGCAACAAGCTCAAGCTCGCAGCTCCGCCCACCCGCAATTCGAGTTTCGCATACATTTTCTCACCATGCATCATCATCAGACAAGTGCCACGAGAACACGAGGGCCTCGCTGTAAAGATCGACTTGACCTAAAAGGCCACACCGTCGCGGACATGTGGAGGAGCAGCCGTTCATCGCTCCCCGCGAACGTTGACATGCAAGCAGCCCCCTGCAGCTTGCAGGCGGGCGATGACGGGGCGCGCCAAAAGCTCATCTTTCAGATGGTTCATCGTCGCTTCCGTCGTTCTTGCTGCACGAAGGCGTCGCTGAAAAAGAATTTTCACAAGCTCTCCCCCTCCCACCAAAAAAAAAAGAAAATGATGCGTTGCGGTGAGAAGCTGAGCGCCATCTGCCTTGTGGGATGGGGCAGCTATCCCGCCGCTGAGAATCGCTCGGTGCACATGCGCAGTATGATCAGACTATCAGAGCCATTTCTTCAAATTTCCAATAAAGAGATGCAGATGTGTACTACAATACATGATCATACAACCGTACCGACATGGCGGCGTGTCTTTTGGTGTTGTGGAGCAGCGCTGCTCCAGATTGAGATCTTGCACGCATGCATGCATCTATGCATCTATGCATGTGCTCGTCTGTCCGAGAGGTCCCTTTCGTCATCTACCTCGGGATCAAGGCGTGTCCGTGATGTACGCCGCTTGCGGCGCCGGGTCGAGCAGTCGTTTCGCGTTAACAATGTCCTCCGCCAGTTTGCGCGTGTTGGCATCGGCGATGACCACCTCGGGCGAAAAGTCGACCTGGAAGGCTTGCTTGATGCCCGACGAGATCCTTCGCGCCTGTGACACGTTCCAGATGGTAAAGTCGTCGGGGTCCGCAGAGGCGCCGCTGTCGGACGACAGCTGCGCTTCTGACGGTGCGCCGTACTGCAGTGCATACAAGACCAGTGGCGCTAGCACGCGATAGGTGTCGTCCACCGACGAAGGATCCTTCGGCGCATCGACTGAGAAAATGGTGAAACAAGGAGACGATGCAGTTACTAAACCGGCCCCTTGCGCCTCGCAGCCTCACCATCCACTGCTGCTCTGCCCACTCACCGTATATCTCAAAGGGCTCAGAGCGCGCGAGGACATTGTGCTTGGCATCATGATGGTACCGCAGTTCGTATCGACCCGCGACCCACGGCAGCTTGTCACCCTGGAAGACGACCCCGCCGCGTGAGAGGTTGCCTTCGTGCGACGTAGTTGATAGGCCGCCGGCTGTGGCGCCGGTGTGCGTATCCCCTTCCCACTCATCAGGCGCGACGCCCACCCACTTGCCATGGCTGGAGATCTTGGTTAAGCGGTTTGAAGAATCCTGCGCGTCTTCGGGGCCAAGACGGTCAAGCAGGTAGATCCCGATCCAGTCTTGCCGCGAATGGATGCTGGAAGCGGTCCACATGACCGAGATCGGCTCACCCAAGTGGAAGCGCATACCATCGCCTGACCCTTTAGCGGACGGTTGGGGCGCAACACTGTACAGCGACCGATCAATCTTACTAAGGTCGTTCTCTGTGCGCACGATGAGGAGTCGGTCTTTGGTTTGTTGGACAAGCATACGTGTGTCCTCCAGCACAACCTCGAACTTGGGCTTGCTCTTGCTAACAAAATCTTCAAATGCACCCGCAGCGTCCTTGTATGTCCCTTCGAAGGTGCCTTGCAGGTCGCGCACCTTTGGATGGCTCTGTGCTTTTTTGAAGAGGAACGAGTTGCGCTCGACAGCCTGTTTGAGCTGCTTGGTTACACCCGAGTCCTTGCGCACGGCCGCTTCGCCATATAGCTTGCGCATGTGCGGACCTTCCACGGTCGAGAGGAACCACCAGTGCGCCAAGTGGGAGAATGATGCAACAGCGAGGACAAGCTTACTGCCCGAGATGAGAACCAGGCCAAAGAAGGCCGCGCCGCCCATGGATCGCTCTGGGTTGTTGAGGAAGCGGTAAATACCAGTGTAGTATAGCTGGTGAGGATAGTCATCGATGAAAAAGTCGCCGTAGAGCCAGCCAAAGGGACCGAGCACCTGATACGATGAGCTTGAAGCCCAAACCTGAAGCGCGATCAGGAGGAAGCCGAGCGTGTGCCGGAGAAGATCTGTTCCGACCGTCCAGTCTGTACCCAGCGCGACATAGCAATTCCAACAGAGAGCGCCAAACGAGCAGTACGTCATGATGAGGGAAGTGTTGTAGAGAATCTTCCAGTTGTGGAAGGCTTCGAGCACAGCATCGCTGCTGTGAGCGTAGTTGTAATGCTTCAAGAAATGGCGAACTATCCACCTGCTCTTGGACTGCGCCGCAAGCATGAGACCGAGACCAAACGAATGAAAGACCCTCCATCCAAGTGCATTGAGGAAGATAGCGAACGTGTATGTCTTCGGGCCGAACCTCGGCATAAAGTGCGGGATAAGGCCGTAAAAGATAGCGACAACGAGCAAAAAGTCCGATCCTCGAAGAAGGTCGAGGTTGCGCAGGACAACGGTGTCCTTGCGGAAGAGCCGGTGGTGCAGATCGTGCAGTGTTTCTGTCCCTCTCCTATCAGACCGAGTTGAGTCGGAGCGAGGCTGTTGCTTCAGCGTGTGATGAATTGCCTCGGCTGAGGTACTCGAGTTCCTTAGGCTGTCGGCCTTGCTGACGTGAGTCGCATTGTTCGACTCGTCGTCCGTCGCTTCGTCCGTGCTCAGCGCTGTGCTACCGTGAGTTTGACTCGGTGTCGGCGGCTCGTCCTCAGATACGGCGGACAGCGCACGTGCACGGCCCCCTGCAGGGCTGGGAACGCTGTCCATCTCCCTGTCCGCTGGTCGCGGAGACGTTGGACCCAGGCCTGCAGCCGCACGTGCTGAAGCGGCATTGTAAGGCGCCTTGCGCAAAGGGACGCGTGCGGACAAAGGTTTTTTCTCTCCGTAAGTGCGGTTGATATGCGGGTTCTCGAAAAAGTGCAAAAAGAGGCCTTGAGAGAAGTGAGCTGCGAGAGAGACAAATAGGACAGCGTAGCTTCCCGACACCAGCGAGAGACCATAATACCCGGCGTAACCTGTGTAACGAAGCTCAGTCAGGAGTGGACGTACATGAGAGATCGCACATACACCACCACTCACCGATGCTGTACATGGGATCCGGGGCGATCTCATAGACCCCGTCGAACACCAAATTCTGAAGCATGAGGAAGAAACAGTCTCCCCAGTACCAGGCAAAGTCTCCAACGATCTTGTGAGCATCCACTTTGACCCAAAGGTTGAAGAGGATGATGACGACACCGGCGATGTAGCGCAGTACATTCATCATGAAGTTGTGGCCCTCTGGCATACGCGCGCAAGAGAAAGCAAAGAGACAGTACGCCACGAACTACAGGGGAGCAGATCGGTACGACCAATCAGTCAGACTGCTCATGGACTATTAGCAACATAGTCAGCGTACTTACATCATTGAGAAGGATAACATCAACGATCGAACGGACTACGGATTTCAAAATGCACATAAGCTGACGATACTACACAGAGAAACAGGGCTTTTATCCGACTCACACATCAGCCAGATGTTGTAATCCAATGGGACTTGCTCGAAATTGTAGTCCGGGCCCATTTTGGAGACGAGGTGCTGCTTAACCCTCGCGTGGATCATGGGTCTTCTGTTTTCGTCAAACCAGCCCTCCTTCTTCACCGTCCTGACCATCCAGGCCCTTTCGCTCTGTTGCTTGAGAATCCAGCCGAGGCCGCCATTGTACGAAGCTCTCCAGAAGGCGAAGAGGAGAAAGAAGAACCTTTGTGCAGTCGGCCGCGACATGAAAATGTATGTGACGATCTGGGCAGTGAGCAAGCCGACGGTCAAAAGGTCCAATGGCGTCTTTGGCTGCCGTGGGTCGAAGATGGATGAGAGCATGTCCGGCGTGTGTGGGACAGGGAAGACTAGCAAAGAAGAAGCGGGCACACCAATATTGCAATACTGCTATTAGCAACGAGCTCGCACCATTCCATCGCAGACCGTCGAACTCACCCGTACCATCGGGAGTGCGACCCATGGTGTTTTGTTGTTTTGGTGCAACTTTGCTCTCCGCTGCATGGTCAATCGCAGACATCCCACTGGCCGTTTCGGCACCGCTTGAGTGCTCCCTACCTGTCTTCCTCTGTTTGAGCTCCGAGTCGAACCTGGCCGGATCAGACGCGGGCCTACCCGAGATGCCGGTCGCTGTCGTCGACAACATCTTTCCCTGAGGATGCGGTGAGGTCGGTCTGGCCGGCTTTCATCTGAGAACAGGGAGTTCTTGCGCGCAAGCGAAGTGCACGTTGATGGCAGCGCCGCACGCGAGGTGATCAGTAGAACTCGGTTGGTCTCTCTCTAAGACCTTTGCATCTGGCAGCTCGCGAATCCAGTTGTACAGGTCTCCCTCCAAAAACCAGCTTCACTGCTTCTGGGCGGAAGTCCATATAATACGTAGCATGTGAAAGGGTTAGAGAGGTGGGACTCGAGAGGAGAGTGGGGCAGGGCAAGGGAATTGCAGAGTCGCGCACGTGACCTTTGGTCGTGTACATTTGGGTTCGGTTGCTATCGGCCGTTATCAGCCCACCATCGATTCAATTGCATCATCTAGTCGATTTTGTTGCGGGTTGTGACCGTCGGCGGTCACATCAAACCACTGCGCAGAGGGGCAGATACCCCCTACAACGGAAGGGATGGCGGCTAGATTCATAGAGGTCTGAGGAGCATGCAGGAGCATACAGCGTAGTAGACCATGAGTGATCAGAGGAGAAATGAGAGACGGTGAATGTGCCAATGGCGGGGCCCCATGCCACAGCAGGGGAGTGCATCGTCAGCTGTTCCCTTCTTTCCTTTACATCAATTCCTCCAACATCGTGATCATGCAACACTCACGCAGCCAGCGAGAGTGCGTATAATCCGAAATTATTGTCCCGTACCCATCGGCCCAAGCGTAACCGGTGTCGCACACTTACTTGGCAACGGAGAAAAGGGCTTCCGCACGGGTCAGATGCTGTCCTAGTGGCCCCGCTCGCCAGCTCGCCTTGATTACCTTCGTTCCAACGGGGAAGCGCAACAGATGCTTCCTGACGCGTCCAGCTGCTCCTGCCGATTGACGTACATGGCTGCGAATGCGCGTTGGGTCGACGGGAACACCTTTTCGTCGGCTTTCAGCATGCTCCTACCCAGCAAGAAGCCTGCGCCGTTCGCATGCATCCATGGCCAGCCGATGATGACGTCGAATCCGTCAATCTTCTTCACTTTTGCGGTACAGACTACGTGAGATCACCGATCACCACGGCCGCAATTGCTCCGCCATCCTACCTGACTGGAGTCGACACAGTGATTAGCTCGGTCGGATCAGAATAATATGAAGCATAAAGCATGCTCGCCGGTGTGGGTTTGACGTATGCTACATGGTTATAAGTACAGTACAGGTTTGACCGCTTGTGGGAAGAAGTTGGTGGGAGCGGAGCTGAGATGATCTGTGTCATGAAAGGCCAAGGGTAGGCATTGAAATCCGGACAGCCACGCCTAATTGCAAACAATCTTCAGGCGCTTGTGGCCACGCTAAAAGTCACAGCGCGCTACGCCTTCTGCGACTTTGCTAGTTTCTGCTGTTGACCGCTCGATGGGCGCGCCAGACCTGACAGCTTGCATATTGACCCTTTCGAACTTCGGAATCATTCTTCCAACGTCGCTCCCCTTGGCGTTCTCCATAGCTGCCTTGTTGACTCTTGACTTTTCGCTCCTGACGCCAAGCGTGGGTATCCCTCTGTTCAGGCCTTCGAGCAGCACACAAGCCTTGCAGAGCTCATTCGAAGAGATGTATCCGCATCGCGAGCACGTTCGCTGCTGGGCCATCTTGGCATCGCCACTGATGCTCAGCTGTTCGCCTGAATGGATGATGTCGATGATCGCGCTTGGGCGGACCGACTCGAGGTCTTTGAGATAGGTGCGGGCGTAGCCGCGGTAAGCGTTGGGAGAGTATATGCACTCGGTGCTAAAATAGTCTAGTCGCTTGAAGTACGCGTACCTGTGGCCCGATCAAGGTCAGTGGGCCTGTGCCGGGGACTTTAACTTGAGGCATCTCCTTCGAAGAGCTGCTCACATGACGATCTCCTTCTCGTAAGCGTACTTGAAGGGCTTGCTACGTCGGATACCGCTGCTATGCGATTCTTCATCCGAGCCCTCGGCACTACGAGTGCAGATCTCTGTACAACGTGCCAATCGCGATATGTCCCCTCGCAATACTGCAATGGGTTTGCGTCACCGACAAAGCAAGGTAGTTTGAGCAAGTAAAAGATATTGGTGCTTGGCCAAGGGCTCTTACCGTTAAGAAGTACAGTCTCTGCTATGTCATCTGCATTGTGCCCTGTCACGATATGGTCTACTCCCAAGCTGGCCGCACCCCGATCCAGAGCTTGTCTTCGAAACACACCGCAGAATGTGCCTAGAAAATGTGATTGGAATAGTTCAGCGGTGAGAACGGATGAATGAATGACGCAAGTCACACACAGTTATTCTTCCGCCCGACACATCTGACTATATCATCCATGGTCCACCCGTACAGCTCATGGTAGCCGAGAACCTTGAGCGGCAAGTCGTACTGCTGTTGGTTACGCTTAACCGTCTCCAGGCTGTCATCCCGATACCCAGTGATCCCTTCGTCGATCGAAAGCAGGAACAGCTCCAAGCCATAGCTGTGCCGTTCATTCAGCGTCTTCATCACGTGCGCCAGGACAGTCGAGTCCTTGCCGCCACTGGCACCAATGGCGACACGGTCACCGGGGGTGAAGAGCCGTGCATTGACGATGGTCTCGTGCACTTCCTCTTCAAAGACATAGAAGAAGCAAGATTTGCAGACTTGTTGTCCAGTCTTCGGGCGTTTTAGGACAGCTCGCGCTGAGGAGCACAGTTGGCATTGCCGCGGGGCCATTTCTGGTGTCTCAAGGAGTGCCACCACAGGTGAGTAAGACCTGACGTTCGAGAGCGCAGCGAGTCGCGTCTTTAGGTGGACGGCACGATGTACGGCAGTTTGCGGACGAAAGGGCAGCCAGAGATTTTGCTTCAAGAGAAGGTGCTGACCGGGCCCTGCCGTCTGCCGTCTGTGCCTGAATCCTTAAAAACACCGGCCTTCTAAGAGAGACTCGGTGATGTTGCTCACTTTGGAGAGCAGAGAAGGATAAATGGTCAGCGGCTCATGCTCAACTCATTTGGCGACCTTTCTTTTGAGGATAACGGAACTCGGAACCTGAACCGCCTGAGTTGCACCGATTCATTGTCTAGAGTAGAGCCGAGCGGCAAAGGGTTGGCCGCTGCCGGCCTGGTGCTAGCTCCCTAAGTAGCGCACGAGCCAGCCTGTCGCCACCAGCTGGCGGCCGGCAGCCGCAACGCTGTAGACTTTTGGGCTCGGAGAGAGACTGGGAGAGATGACGTTGTGATGGGTCAGGAGAGATCGCCAGGAGCGAATCGTTCAGGATGCCGACACAGCCATAGCGCTAGGGAGAGGGCAGTTTGCCCATTTACGTGCGCGTGCAGTGTGGCGAACAATTGCTGGATCACAACAAGTCGAGCTTCGAAGGTATTTTATCAAGCTGGTCAATTGAATCTGAACAACATCGCCGTGGAGCTTCCACCGTCTGCCAATATACCCATGTACCCATGCATTGACAGCCTCGAAAGCAAATAAACAAGCTCTTCTGACCCACCTGCATCAGTCAAGACAATGGCACAGCAAAAGTGGAAGATCGCCTTCGGCTGCGATGAGGCCGGTGTCGACTACAAGAACGCAATCCTCGAGGACTTCCAGAAGGATCCTCGTGTCGAGTCCGTTGTCGATGTCGGTGTGCTTTTCAATGCAGACAAGACCGCATACCCTCATGTTGCTGTCAATGCTGCACAGAAGGTCGCTTGCGGAGAGGTGGACCGTGCGCTACTCATCTGCGGAACTGGTCTCGGAGTCGCCATCAGCGCCAACAAGGTTAAGGGCGTTCGCGCAGTCACCGCACACGATTCGTACAGCGTTGAGCGCTCAGTGCTGAGCAACGACGCTCAGGTGCTCTGCATGGGCCAGCGCGTCGTCGGCCTTGAGCTCGCTCGCCGGCTCGCCAAGGAGTGGCTCGGATACAAGTTCGACCCCAGCAGCTCGTCTGGGCCAAAGGTCGAGGCGATCAAGAAGTATGATGTCTAATTTCTTAGCCAGTCGGCCAGTGCGCTGTTGAAGGAGGTTTTTGTCGCCGAGCCAAAGTTGAATTCTTACACATCGATGCCCTCTCCTCTTCCAGGCTCGATGCCGTACTCAATATTTGTGTAGACACAGATACAAGCAATTCAACCCTTTGCCACTGCATTTCAACCGATTCAATGTATATCCCTGATGAATTCCGTTATTACAGCAGGTTTAGAGGACGTCGGCATTGGCAAGCGCTGAACTTAAGTCTGTGAAACTGGGTGATTATCCAGTCTACCGTCACTTTGGCTACAGTGGACTTGGAGCTTCAATGCCACAGCCAATGCCTATCGCGGGGACGAAAGAACTGACAATCTTTCACCATTCATCCTTGCAAAAGTCTAGCTAAGCTACACAAGCTGGGAACAAAGCAATGTCCTTCATTGCTACACCAGCAGGCAGATAAAAAGATGGCGCGCCTTCCCAGCACCACATCTTATTGTGCCTTGCAGCCTAATCCTGGCCGGTAGTGTATGTAACACTGTACGAATTCGAAGATCGCGCTCTGTTGATCTTTTCTTTCCAGCGAAACGTGTGCCACGGGGTGAAAGCCGATCGGCTGATTCCTTTGGCCTTGCACTGTTCACGGCTCGCCCCAGGATGCTGCCGCACTAGAGGGGCTGCGCTGCAGAAGCTGAGCTTCGGAACGGCGTCAGTGCTGTGTGTGACCTCCATACTGCTTGTTGAGCCTCACCCGTCTCACGATTGCGTTCGAGTGTGAAAACGGTGCCAATGGATCAAGATATCACGTATGCTGATTGTGTCAGCCTGGCTTTGCGGCGGGCGGGTGATGATGAGCTGGTCGGTCTCGTTCTTCAAGTAGGGCACGCGCTTTGGTGCCGGCCGAGTTCCGCGCCCATGCGCGCCAATGTGCAATCACAGTGCGAATCTCCAGCTTCCGATACTCGTGATCGCTTTTTTGATATGCTATTCATGTGCACCACACACAACGCAAGACATCCGACGAGATGCTACATATCGGTATTGACCAACGGCGTTCGCAACGCACAATTTGCAAGGTCACGAGCAGCGCCCGGTAATGCGTGACGTGCAACACGGGCGAGCGGCAGCATAGGGACATCGCTATCACTAAGTCCGTATATATTCAGTCAGAGCTGTGCTTGATCTCCAGACTGGCATCCTGTCACGGCTTTGGCCGAGTAGACCGCTTGGCATTTTCAAACTCAAGCATTCCAACTCGGGCTCGAAAAGCGGCTCGCACAACACGCGAGCGAGGTCAGCCAACATTCTCCCGCTTCTGGCTTTCAGCCAGCGCCGTCTCGGCACCAAGTGGGGTCAAAGCGCTCGTTGTGCATCGACGTTGGCAATTTTCAGAGTCTTTGCTTGCTTGACTGCTCCCCAACTGCAGCTCTGTGACCGAAGTGTGATCCAGTACAACAGGAGAAATCGACACCGGGGCGGACCCGTACCCCCTTGCAGAAGTCTACACTCCAGCACAAGCACAAGCACGAAGCAAACTTCTCAGGCGATTGGAAAGATGGCAACACGCAGTTCGTATGGGCTGTTCGTCTAAGATGGACCTATGCGCATGCAGCTGATCTTGTAAGCGTACATTGCCTGCAGCTTCTTTGACGGCACCGAACGACGCGGAACTTCTTGGCCGCCTCTCGCATGCTCTACTACGTGTTGCGCGAACCCCGCCCCGGACAATCGTCTCTCCCCCCACGCAGCCGCGGCGCGCTTCGGTCGCCATCCTCGTGCGCGTGCGCCCGACCCTAGAAGACGAAGAATGGCTCGCCGAGCAGTACGATGCAGAGGGCCAGCCGATCCCTGGGACAGAGGCTGCCATGATGGCTGAAGGACTCATGACACCCACCGCAACACCATCCGGCTCTGAGCCAATGTCGAGAAGTCAATCACAGGCGCAGAGCGTAGCCCCGACGTACGAAGGCAATGTAAGCAGCACTAACCGTGGAGCAAACCTCGCATCTAGCATTCCGGGCCTCGGTGGCTCGCATGTTAGTGTTGGTCCCGTAGATCAGTCGATAGCGACGCTGGGTGCGAGTTTCACCAGCTCTTTGCTTCCGCGCGAAGAAGGCGCGTCCTCTTTGGCAACACTTGATCCGCAGGCGTGCAGCTCTTTGCAGTCTTCTCCCCAAACGCAGCAGCTTGCTGACATCCCGGCGCAGCAGCGGACAGTGCCGGTGTCAACATCCTCTCCAATGGGTGGCCGATCCCGAGCGCATAGCACTACATCAGCAGGCAGCATCGGCTTTCAACCGGCGTTGCAGATTCCCTCGATGCTTCCCATCGAGCGCTTCTTTCAGCTGCCTTGGGTCCAACGCGGTACCCCGGAGATTCTCTACATCAAGCGTGCTTCTCGTGTGGGGGACAACTGGTCTGCGCACGTCGCATTCCCGGGCGGAAGACAGGAGGAGGAAGATGAGAATGGGCTTTATACGGCGATGAGGGAGACGTGGGAGGAGGTCGGGATTGACCTTGCTGAGAAGGAGTTCGCCTGCGTCGGTCAGCTTGATGACCGAGAAATCACAACCAGTCTAGGCAAAAGATTATTGATGGTATTGAGTCCTTTCCGTGAGTGCTTTTCGCTCCTGCAGAGCTTCGGTGGTCGGTCAGCGACTAATGGGTAACGCTTATCATTCTTCGAAGTCTTTATCCAAGTCTCGCCATTTTCGCCACATCCTGACCTGCAACCCACCGAGGTGGCCTCGGCACACTGGATCCCGCTTTCGCTCCTCTACACTCCCACTCCGAACTGGGGCATCACTTCCGTCGATATTGCGAACCGCCTGGCACCGAAATCTCCAGCAGTCAGATGGGTGCTGCGCACACTGGTGGGCAAAATGGACTTCAGATGCATCCTTCTACCGAATGATCCAGTGGCGGAGGCATTAGATTCAACAGAGGGATCACCGATCGAGATCGAGCCGCTTTCAAGCAGACATCCAGCTTTGATTGATGGCGAGAAGCCTCAGTTGCGACTTTGGGGCCTGACGCTTGGTATGACACTGTGAGCGCGCAGAGGGAAGAAGGGAGACCGGGTTTGAACCCTTCTCTGACAATGATACATCCTTATATTCACTCAGAGATGTGCTAGCGCACATGTCAACCCGAGACTCGGAGCCTCCTGTCCAATCCGGTCGACATTCACGAAAGCTACCATACGAAAGAGGCGAAGATGGCCTTCCGACTCTTTCTGCGCTGATCAAGCGTCCTGTCCCGACGTCTCGTTTGCTGTTGCAGCATTTGCGAGACGAGTTGCACCTCAGCCCGCCGCCGCACGCAAACTTGCTGGCGCCGAGCATGACGAGCGTGTTCCCCAAGTTCAGCTATCCAGATGTTAACTTGTGAGTGCCACCGATTTTACTTCTTTCACGAGAGCAGCTGATTGAGTCGCCATTGCGTGCAGCTGGATCTGGGTCTTTGGCTGGCGATACAGGGCCATCGTGCGAGGATGGGAGCGTGGACTCGGTACTGGTATGGAGCGTGGCGTCAACTGGTCGGGCATGGCCCTCGGAGCCTTCTAGTGAGTGTGTACAAATGCGTTTACGAGGCGAATCACGTTCCTGGATCTGACACTCGGACCTTCACTCCACTCCATAGTTCGGCCGTCAGAAGAGCGTTGATTGTCGCGATTCTCCTCAGGGCTCTTGGCATGCTCAGCTCGGTCAGCGTGGTCTCGTGGCTCATTGGAAGACGGATACGTAGACGACGAAAGGGTCTGCCGGGCTTCGGCCTGGAGGAGCTGTTCCCTTCGCTCCGAGACTGATGGCAAACAGCCTAAGGAAGAAGCCTGCTGTTGTAGATCTATTGAAGTAACATTTTGTTGCCAATGCCAAAGCGATATGTCTTTGTCTTTAAAGCAAGCTTGGGGTGCTGCACGCTTTTGACGTTTAGTTATCGCTTACAACCCATTCCTCGTTTGCGGTCTTGTAGGAAGCGATTTCAGCTGAGTGCAAGCAGGAGGGCATGAGTCAGGCCGGCTGTATGCGGAAGCAGTGCAAATTTCAGGGCTCACCGTCAGAGAACCAAAGCTTGCGTTGCCAAAACATGGAAAGACAATCAGCGAAAATGCTCCAAGAAGCCCAATGATTACCGACAATACTCACGCCAATCTCAGTGGTGGCGCTGTCGAATCCATCACTGGCGTGAATGAGGTTGCGACCAACGCTGATGGCGTATTGACCTCTGACGCTTCCCGGGTCGGCCTCGAGCGGGTTCGTAGCTCCGACGATACGACGGCCCTGGCGAATGACTTGTTGCAGGGATGCCACACATTCTATGTTTCAGTCACATTCGCGTGGAGCCGAAGCAAGATTCGAGATGAAGACTCACCGTCCTTGCCCTCGAACACCATGGCGATAACAGGTACTCCACAAGTGATGTATTTAACCAGACTGTGTTCGACGCGATGATGGTCAGCACTATCTCCGAAATCAGCAGGCCAGGCACGGAAGATTCACCCAGGGTAGAATGGTCGACCAGCAAGGTCGGCGTAATGCCTGGGGAAGGGTAGAGGCGATCAGTGGTTGTTTTGACAGCTCGACGACGGAAGGAAGGAAAACTAACTCCTTTGCAAGAGCTTCGCTGGGGACGAGAGACTTGATCGCGACCAGCTTATATCCCTTCTCTTCAAAGCGGTTGATGACCTTGCCAAGGAGCTGTCTGCTTGTTCCGTCGGGTTTGAGCATGACAAAGCTGCGTTCGGTGACCGTCTTGTACTCTCCCGCAATGGTCTTGGGGCCTTCCAGCTCAAGCGAAGGCTGCGACAGGGCGTAGAACGTCAGACCAGCAGCGGCGGTGAGACTGCTCGCAACGGCGGCACTGCGGCGGGCCGAAGAGGAGGCCCGCTGGGCGGCTGCCGTGCTCATGGCGCGGAGCGAGGAGCCGCGAAGGGCAGAGGCGGCGGTGCGAGCGAACATGATGGAAAAGTTGTCGAAATAAGGGTGCAGACAAAGCGGCGGTCTAAAGTGCGAGGTGGTGTGGGCTGAGTTCAGACCTAGGACAGAAGAATATTTAGTGACCACACTTCAAGTATAAGGTGTGCACAGAGCAGCTTTCTCCGACGTCTGCCACTTCTTGTGTGGAAGAATACGAAGGCGGAATCGCGAAGAGCCTCCGAGTAGAGGTTGCACCGATTCATTCGACTTCGGTAGTGGCTGGCGTGAAAACTCAAAACACGGCATTCTATTCTGGGGTCATCACACGAAAGAACAACACAACGCGCTCTGAATGCGAGGGTTACGACGACCGTTGAGGTTGGCGCGATGGTGAGGCGTGACATGACCTCTTACACGAAGGCTTGGGAAGTGCTGGTTGTACATAGAACGGCCATCGCCATCCAAGAACAAAAACTTGCCTCTCAATGTCAACGGTCTCTAGCTGCCGCAATTATGCCGCCGCCCACGCGTCCACAGGGACATCGTACACAGATGCCAGAGAGGCGTCAAGCGTCAGGAGGCGTAGTGGTGGGTGGGGGGAGGGGGGCGGCGTCGGCTTCTCACTTCTCCGTACAAAGGACGGCAGCACTAGTAGAGCACAAGTGAGAGATGCATAGTTCCAGTGTGCAAGCCCCTGACTCCTATCATGTTCCCATTGGGATGTACATAACCTTACCAGCTCCCCTGCTGAGAATGCTGACCAGCTCTGCAACATCACCGTGTACCGTGCACTCATTTACAGACACAATGCACTGAATCAAGTGTCGAAGTAGGGCAAATTGCACGGCTCGCCGAGTCGCCATCGAACAAAGATAATGCCAATGCCCGATAGATTTCGGGCATCCATGATGCTCCTCAGTGCAATCATTATGTCTCATATATGTAGGTCTACATTCGATGATCCTGTGACAATTTCTCCACCCCTGAAACCTGATCCATTCGTCGAATCACTTTCATCTAGCTTCTTTGTGACATATTGTCTTTCCATATTCCCTCTCTGACTTCCGTCGGTCACCCCATCGCACCCCACTTTCTATCGCTCGTTACTCTTCCCTTTAGCTTTTCGACATCGTCACAATGCACCTTTCCATCATTTCCTCCTCTGTGCTCGCCCTAGCAGGAGCCACGCTGATCTCAGCAGCCTCCAGCGACCCCTATGCCGATCCGGGCAAGCTCCCAGCAAAAACCGACTCTGCGCATGGACAAGTGGGATACAACGACTGTCAAAAGCGCTACGGTGCATCGTCCCAGTCCTCGAAGTGCCAGAATGCGTACATCAACTCTGCAAAGGTGAGTGATACGTCTCGACGTCCCGAGATCCTGCAGATGCGGTGCTAACCCCAGGGCTGCTCTTTTCCTCGGCAAGGACTTTTGCCTGTGGGCACCGCCGAAGAAGGCTGCGATCGGGGACAGCGAGGAATACGAGATCTCTTGGTGCATGGCGTCTGGCGTGGGTATTGCTGACGTCAGAATATCAGTCCCGAGTAGAGCTGACATCTTCTCTTCATATAGTACGGCACACGTCTCATCCCAGATGGCACGATCAAGGGTGCACACTTCCTAAAAACACCAAGCTTTGTTCAAATCACAGGCGTGGGCGACCTGACAAGCCTGAATATTCCCCGGGGCGACCAGGGCGGAGAACTGGATCCGCATGGCGCAACAGGTGCAGGCAACCCCATTGGAGGCCAAGTGTACACGAACGCGTACACAGGTGAATGGGAGCACATTCAAGAATGGCAGAACTTCATGTCCTACAACGAGTTCTGCTTCAGAGCCTGCCGCGCTGGCCCGCACGCAAAACAGTATTGCCCTCACATCTACGACCTTATGGGATGCCTTTGGAATGAGCCAGCCAACTACGACAAGAACGTCTTTGAAGACTGCAACGGCAACGAGGGCAAATACCCTGGCGTGTACGGCACTTCGACTTGGCATCAGGGGCAAAACCCGACACCTCCAGCTCACAAGGCAGGAAAGTCGTCCCAATGTGCTCGATATGCGACCATTTCCAATAGCCAAGCTACCAAGATTCCGACCGTTCCGGCCGGCGCAGCTCAGAAGAACGCCTACCGGCCGCTTATTGAGACCCCTGAGGTCGACCAACCATCACTCATCAAAGTCATCAAGAGGAACTGAGCTATTTCGAATCAGTACTCCGGAATTTTCTCTCGTGATTACGCTGCACTCTCACACCCTTCGACAAGTCGATGCGGCCCCTTCGTACTCTCATGTGTATCAAAACCTTCGTTTCGAGTCAATCACGCTTCCCACGTGTATTATTATTCGCTACAAATGCGCAAATCGATTCCCTTGTTCTCCCAAGCTAAAATCTACGTAGTGCTTAAAATTTGAGAGAGGACCCAGCTTGGCTGTGTGGTTGGCGTCGCTTACCGTGTCGCTGCGTCTGCTGGACGATAGATGGGTTACTTGACAGAGATCATCAATCTCTCCCGCTATCCATCGTGCTGGTTTGTTGCCCATTATCTTCATCCCTTTGACGATCAGGACTAGAGCTCCTTCGAGATCCCCCACCTGGCGCCCAGCGGCCGCCTGCGCCGCCACCGCCACCATACCCTCCACCCTGCCTATTTTCTTTTGCAGAGCCCCATCCGCAGCCGCTAGCGAGACCAGCGTTGGCGCCAGTACCGATCGCGCGCCCACCGCCACCGACCCCGGCACGAGAGCTGTTGCCACGTCTGTCGTCTGCACCGGGCCTGCTTTCGCTGAACGTGTCGCCAGCCCGAGGTGCTCGGCCCCAGCTGCCGTTGGCAGCGCCACCGCCTGGTGCGCGATCGAAGTTGCTGCCTCCGAGGCCAGATTCCCGCGTATTCGATTCCCCCAGGCCTGCATCATCACCGGCGCCTGTATCATCGTCTGCTGCTCCTGCACCGGCTCCTGCTCGAGCGGCATCCCTCCCAAAAGCATCACGACCGCCGCGGGACGACGCCCAGTCTCGCTCGCGACTAGAATCTTTACCCCATCTCCCCAAGGGAAGATCGGTTCTGCGACCCAATTCGCGATCCCTGCCACGCGGAGCCCAGGTGCCGTCGTCTGCATCTCTCGCTGCGAGGCGTGTTCCAGCGCCGGTGGTGCCCCCGCCGTCGTTGTCTATCTCCCTTCCGCCTTCTCTAGCATGGACCCGCAAGAGATGATAAGGCCAGGCTCTCATCTTGACCTCGATGATCGTCCCATCGATCTGCCCTTGATGCATGTGCGCGACGGCCTTTTGCGCTGGGTTGGCAGTGCTCGCTGACGGGGGCGATGGGCTCGGTGAGCGGCGTGATGAGCGACAGGAGCTGTGAGATGTATGAGGCGCGTGGAAGGACACATAGGCTTCTCCCTTTGAGTCTCCGGCTGTGAGATGAGACGCACGATCAGTTTGGTACCGAAGTACAGTCATCATCCACATCAAGGTGTGACTCACACCTTGCGTGGATTAGCAATTCCAGCTTTTTAATGTCGCCGTATGCGCCAAAGATCTCGCGCAAATGCCGCGGAGCGACGTTTTTTGAAAGGCCGTGGATGGCGATCGTGTATTTGGAATCTGAGACAGCATCACGCACTTCTACATCCTCGCTTTCGTGGCCTTGACGCCTTCCTTCGTCCGCACCTCGATAGTCGCTGTCCCGATCCCGTCCCCATCTACCGTTGCCACTGTTGCTATTACCAAGATCCGTGTCTCGAGCATAGCGACCACCCATGCTCGCCGCACCGCGACTAGAAGACACTCTTGCACTCCATCCAGAATCCCCACGTGAGTTTGCGCAGCGGGAATTGTCTCCAGCCGTCGCATATCGGTCTTGGGTACGATGCCCCCATCCTCCGTCATCTGTTCCTCCCCAGCCTCTTTCGGTATCCCGCCTACTGCCCACCGATCGCTCGGGCGACCGCGAACGTCGTTGGTACGCGGACGGCGGCGACGGGGAACGTTCATGTCGACGGGTGCGGCTGCCCCAAGATGGCGAAGGTGAGAGGGGCATATCGGCTACCTTGTGTGATCTTGTACTCGAACTGGGCAAGATGGATTTTGTTGAAGAAGGTTGGCGCGGGTATGCAAACTCTAGGGTCGAGCAGTCTCGCAAGTCGCCGATTCTCGCGCGACCTTCTCGCCTGGCAACCAACGAGAGCTCTACACGGGACCACCTTCCACGTCACGCTTTCGACGGAAACACGCCGATTACTTTGATAGCTGTTGTGGTGGCTTTGGACCTGTATTGTGACAATCACGAGCCAGTCACCATTGCACTCCCTCCGCTCGTTCGTGTCGCCAATCGCAATGATCAAGACAGTGAATCTCATTAAACTTGGACTGCGAAAGTTGCATTTGCCCATTTCGCCATATAGCTTTCGTAGAGAATCGTGATCAATCTGATTATGTAAGCGGACTCGCTTCATTCTATTACAGCGAAGTGCCCACCAGTGATGGCCTGGCACATGCCAACCAGGGGCGGGGGGGAGGGGGTGAGGGTTGACACATCTGCCACCCACAGCATCCTACAGCTTCGCCTCACAGCGAGAGGCAAGGTATGGCAAGGTTCGCCTAACTTCATTGCACCATTCTCAACCCACAACCTCCTATACCATTCTGCAACCTACCAGGCTGGCGCCCCGGACACTATAATGTATACGAGCCTGAAACCAGGCATGTCTGCGAAGGGCATTATGTGAACTTTTTGTTCTCCGGACTCGACGCGACTTTAATAGCGGCTCGACCTTGTGGGGCTCGGGTGTTATATTCGCCTTCCTGGTACAGCATGAATGTGATTGCTGATCGCGGGCGTGCTGACCGATGGCCAGCGATCTTGCTGCGATCGCGAGTTTCGTGGTGAAGTGTCGTATCAAAACCAAGCCCGGCTGTCCGCTTGCGTTGTGTGCCATAGAGTTGATGCGATCACCATGGACGAAGCTTCGACCAGTGTCGAAGTGCGGTCAACGTGCCGTACTTGGTACTCTCTCTATTTGTGCAGAAGTAGGGTTAACTCACCAGCGGTCTGAGCTCCTGTGGCCTCTAGCAACTACCGGCCGAATGCTGGCACTACTCACATAAGGCGGACCGCGAAGTGAGGTTAGCGATCTACATGGACTCGCACTGAAGCATCAAACGCACTACGCAGAGCGAACCCCATATTGCGCTTCTGGTCATTGGGGACATCTATCAAGCGCGGCGAAGTACCACTGCGGCAGCCCGCTCGCAGGTCGCCCGATCTTCTTGTACCGGTGTACACGCATACATAGCCAAGATGTACACACGCGTGTAGACTCATCCATCTTGACAGCCGCTTCTAAAACAATCCCACAAGTTGCTATGGCGCCGCGCTATCCAAGTGGGACCACGGCGGTCGCAGGGGCACACTGCCAAATAGTGCCATGCCGCCTGCGTTGTGCAGGCCAATGGCACTCAATTCATTGTTCTCTGATTGCAGGGAGGACGAGAAACAGCCAGCAGAGAGAGGACCGTGAAGCAAGCAGCGTCCCGGCCATCCCAAGTCCCCTACACGCATCTAGAGCCCTAGAGCCATGGTTATTAGAGATGTGAACAGGCAACCTTGTTAATCCTGAGAGTATCCATGGATGCACCGAAAGACGATGGTGCTATACCTGTTTATTTCTTCTTCCACTGATCTATCCTCCTCACCACCAACTCCTACTCTCACCCTTAATACCTTTTCCCTTCTCTCATTGCATCAGCGATAAGGATTTTGCTAGCACAGCGAAAGCGTGTCAGGCCCCTCAAAGCGCACGTCAAGCCCACGGTCTTTACAATGACATTTGCTTTTTCCCTAATTTCTATGCGCATCCATTTGTGGGCTCCCCTTTGAGTTGAATCTCACTTCAATCACGAATCCCTGGGTTTCTTCCGCTCTCTTCGCCCTCGCAGCCTCGGCGCTTGGTTTCAGCGCCCATGACATTAGAGACAAATATGGTAACAAGTACCGGACCCCAAACAACTTGCTTGCAAAGGCTGATCCTAAGCAAGGTGGCTGGAATGGCTGCGTGTTGTGCTACGGCGCGTCAAAAAAGACAGGCCACAGCAAGAGCCTCTGCATTAGCAAGTCTGAATAATTTCTGCCTCTGGGGCTCGTCCAACCCTGGTTCGATCATCGGTGACAAAAAGGCTGTCGCAGTGTCGTGACGCATCAAGAGCGGCGTGAGCCTCTATCGTTCTTCCTTACGGGCCTTGCCTTGTCCTGTCCTCGGCCCCGCGTCATTGCTAAGTGATTTCCTTTCTCATGCAGTACGGTATCCATCTCATTCCCAGCGGTGCCATCAAGGGCGCGCACTTCCTCTCGACACCCTCGTACGTTCAAATAACCGGTGTTGGTGACTTCACCAAGATCAACGTCCAGAAGGGTGATGAGGGTGGAGACCTCGGCCTGCATGGAGCGACCGGCGAGGGTAACCCACCAGGGGGATCGTTTTCACGACTGCCCAGGCGTTGGGAGCGCCTGCCGTATTGGCAGAGCTTCATCAACGACATCTAGTTCTGGGTCCGTGCCTGCTACGACGGCCAACACGACGGCGAGTGATGCCCCGACAGTGGGTTCTCTTTTGTGTCCTTCGTTTCGAAGGAATTACTCTCTCGTCCGTGTTTAGACTGGAATTGTAACTTTCCCGCGCTCGCTTCACCACCACCTTTCGCGGCCTTGCTAAGGTGTACGATTTCATGAGCCACCAATGGAACGAGCCGGCCAACTACGGCGCTGGTCAATTCGGGCAGTGTGATGGTACCGAGAGTACCTGGCATGGCGTTTACAACGGCTCGACGTTCCACCAAGGTCAGAAGCACCCCCTCCCACCCAGCCTGCCGGATCGAGAAGCAACTGCACGCCGCACGCGAGCACGTCGCACGGTGCGGCAAAGTCTATCTCCATCAACAACAAAATGGCCACCCTGGCCACCTTGTTCACCCGAGCTTAGGATGCGCCACCGTTGCCAACTCGTCCACGAGGACCCCCTGCTTTCTTGGCGCTCAGGCATGGCGCAATGGACACACCTACTTTTGTTTCCTTCGGTTTCCACCTCTTTGACATCTCAACGTCGGCATCGTCATCGTGTTCATCCACCATGCTATTTCACTTTGCTTCACCGTTGAACAAGAGGCGGATACTGTCGCAGCGCTTTTCGGACGTCTATTGCTCCCTTGCGAATCCAACGTTGGCAGCTGCTGGCGATCTTCTGGCCCAGTCTCGGTGAGCGCGTTTCTCGTTCGACGGCCTCGTCAGGTCCTTGAAGACTGTCACACTGTGTCAGAGCATGTGACGACGCTAAATTCACGTGACATGCTTCCAGGAAAGAGATCAACCCTCCTTGGTGATGGATTCCGCACGGCTACTACATCCCGTGGCCCAAGGACTGTGGAGAGTTGGGCCGATGGCCGATGCCGGACCTCCGACACTTTGTCGGCGGAACACCAGCCCCTGTTCAGTTGGGTGCAGTACTGCAGTCTGCACTGCGCAGTGCATACACTGCACAGAAGCGCAGCTGCACGGTATGATAGCACCACCCGTCAGGCCTGCCCGCTTTTCCACCCACCCAATCTCTCCGCTTCATCAGACTGTAGCGCTGTTGGCGGCTGCACATGGCTTTCAAAGTTAGCGGGTGCCTACTGACTTCGATGAAACATTTTTCTGTTCATCAGAGGACGTGGGCACAGGCCGGCGCAGGAAGAGTGAGACGCGAGCCTCAAACTAAGCACACACGCCATGGATTTACACATGCTCGCCCAGCCCGCACGGCGGCACAAGAAGCAACAACCCTCCCGCTGCTCCGATTTTGGGGTTCCAGCGTCGCGTCCTTGTTTTTTGGTGGCTTGGGAGCAGGGTCAACGAAAGCTTCTTCAGGGTCATGATCAGCGGCTAGTCGCGTTCGCCAGCCATCTCCAGCCGGCAGCCCTCCCTGGGTGGCGGTTGCACTTTATCTCCTAACGTGACAGGCACCACAGCGGCGTATTGAGCCGGGTCCACTTGCCACGGCTTTGCATCTTGGCCTCACCCGCCGCTTGTCCCCTTTCCTGCTGGGCATAACCACCTATACCACATCCCTTCCCGTTTCCAAATCCCATCTCATCCTTCATCCCTTCCACCTCTTCTTCCGTCAGATATTTTATCTCGATATTCCTCATCACCTATCCCCTCATTGCAACAGCTGAAGCGCGCTCACAGACGCTTTAGTTGTACCTCTACACCCAATTGAAGGTTCCTCTGCCACCCCCGGTGTTGATCCTTTCTTCCCCCCTCCTCTCCCGCCCCCCTGGCATTTCATAGTTGCAACATGAAGCTGTCTCTCGCCTCTGTCGCCCTCGCCGCGCTCTCAGTCCCGGCAACCTTCGCCTACACCTACGGCAACCAATATCAGAACCCTGGCAACCTGCCCGCCAAGGTCGACAACACCCAGACAGGATACAATGACTGCCAGAGTCGCTACGGCAATACCAAGCAAAGCGCCAGGTGCCAGAATCTCGTGAGTTGGGGCCGATCACACTAGCCCAGTATCTTTCCTCTTCAATGGCGCGCTAATATGGAATGCCTCTCTGTGTCTCGCAGTTCGTCAACTCCATCAAGGACTTCTGCCTTTTCGGGCCTCCCTCCCCGGGTCAGACAGTTGGTGACCAAGAGGAGGTCGTCGTCTCGTACTGCATGAAGAGCGGCTATGGTACCCGGCTCATCCCCAACGGTGCCATCAAAGGCGCGCACTTCCTCTTGACTCCCTCGTTCGTTCAGGTCACCGGCGTTGGCGATCTGACGAAGATCAATATTGCCCAGGGTGACGAGGGCGGCGAGCTCGACCCGCACGGTGCCACCGGCTCTGGCAACCCCCGTGGTGGTCTGGTCTTCACACGCGCTCGTGGCAACTGGGAACGCATGGACGAGTGGCAGCACTTTATCTCTTACAACGAGTTCTGTGTCCGTGCCTGCTTCAACTCGGAGCCGTACCGTACGCAGTGGTGCCCTCACAGTGCGTTTTCCGCTTTGCTCAGTAAATTATCGCCAGTATCCCTCAGCTGACTTGTTCTGTTCTCCCCTTTGCACCCTCAGTCTACGATGTCATGGGGTGCTACTGGAATGAGCCCGCCAACTACAACAATGGCCAGTTCGAGCAGTGCGACGGGACGCAGGGTCAGTGGCCTGGTGTCTACTCTGGCTCCACCTGGTACCAGGGCCAGTCGCCCACCCCTCCCGCTCAGGCTGCCGGCTCGAGCAGTAACTGCAGGCAGTACGCGTCGATTAGCAACGGTGTCGCGGTCAGCATTCCGTCAAGCTCTGCTGCCTCTGCCAAGGCGACCCGCCGTGCCGCCTTCGATGACGACGAGTAAAACGCCACGCCGCGCCGTTCCTTTCTCATTTCGTTTCGCTCCTTTGCGCCCCTTTACTTGCGCTGCTCGATGATCTTTGTCAGTTCATTGGCACTTCTACCAGCCCTGGGCTAAAGTCTTTCCCCCGCCGGCACACTTTCATCACGCGTGAATCGCGCGGGCAGGGCTTGTTCGTTTCGAAGACAGGACGTGTGTTTCAAAAATTTCAGACGCACTTTAGCATCATGTGATATGGACATTCGTATATACTTTACACTGTTTTCGTAGTTTCTCGTCAATTATCCTTTTGGGGAAGTCTCCGACACCCCAAATCATCCTTCGTTTCTCACCTTTTCGCGTGCCAAGTGTGCTGCGCTGCTAGGCTTACGGTGTTCCCCTTGCTGTTTCAGGGGCGATGCTGCTGCTCTGGGCCCCTTCGAACAGTCCACATCCGCGTTGAGCGCTGCGAGGGAAGCAGTGGAGTATACGAAAGCCCGTAGACGCGTCGTTTGCTCGACAACGGCTCTCATATGCGTCCTGCGCCTTTTAGCCTAGACCGAGGCAATGAAGGGACCCCATGGACGAAATTGGACGGTGCGAAGAACAGACTTTTGCGCACAAGTGTTCGAGCAGCGGCCAACCTCGATATTCAAGCTCAATCGCCATGCAAGTCCGGAGCATCGTGCTTGCGTCAAATTATCTACCGCCCAACAGCCAGCCACACTCGCTGCCGGGGCTTCACTACCCTGGCCCTTTCGGGCAGAGGTGCTCGTCCGCTGGCTCTGGCTCTGACGTCACAGTGTTCGAGATCGAAGACCTTGTGAGCAGGCTTGGCTACTAGCCTGTGTGGCGCTATGCGATGTAAGAGCAGGCTCACTATCGTTCGACGACATGTGAGCTGCTTGTCGTGTTCAAAGGGAGAGCTCGCCTGTTGCTCGGAGGCAGCGACGAAAGAGAATGCGGACGTATGAAGAGGCACACCTTTGGGGATCTCTAGCATGCATATGCGCTACTGCTGCCCGCGGGCTAAAGCCATGGGGCCGTCCAGGTCTACGACGGCTTCGCGATGGTTGGCTCATATCCCCTGGGCGCAAACCAATGGAGCAGTGGGTCCAGAGCTTTCAGGCTCAAAGCAATGTGGACACGCAGAAAATCGCCTCTATGGTTCATGCACCCGATCTATGCCCCCAAAATGCTATCCAGATGAGCAAGTAGTGGACCAAAAGGCAGAGCAGACCAAGCGACTAGTGGTTGACCAACGTGCAATGGACTCCTTGACGCATGGGACCCAGCAGGGAGCCTGCCGTTGAACGTCGAAGCGAGTGTCTCTCTGGAAGCGCATTGGTCTCCTTAGTCGGCGGCAACTCAGTCTGATTACCAGGTCTGATGCCCGCTGATCTCTGTCGAGTGCTCTTAAATTCATTCGCACGTGTAGTCAAGTATTGGCTTTGGTGCACATTACAGTGACCATGCTATTCAGCAATCCATACCAAGCTGAAAGTAAGATTCGATCTGAATGTGAGGCAGGTGCCCATTGCAGGTGGCTTGGCCGGGTTGCACCTTTGAAAGAACCTGATGGAGTGTATAGGCAACTGAGCATACGCAGCACCAGAATTGGCAGGCTTCACATACACGCGAGGATGGTTACATCCCGTCACTCACAGTGGCAGACCGGTTGTGCGTCTAAGCCTTTTTGGCGTTGGCGGCTTGAGTCTTGACTTGAACTCAGTTCGGTCACAAACTCTTCACCACACAACATTTGGGATCGGGTTCGAACGAGGGGCAATGGGGACATAGGATCCTCATCGACAGACAGCCTCACCGTGGCCAGATTCACTGCAAGTTGAAGAGCGTCGCTTTTCAAAGCAGTGATTCGACCCAACGGCTCGCGCAGCGGTGCGAGGAACCGCCAAGCCGGGTCGCTCGTCCTCGACGGAGGCATCCTTGAGGACTTTGCCTGCGTGCGTCTCGATCAGTGATTCATAGCAAGCGCGCTTCCGTGATGTTGCCAGAGTCACGGACACTCCTATAGCATTGACGTCAGGCCAGATTGCGGCATGGAGGCGCTTAAGCAAGTGTCGCGGCGAGCGCATGCAGCGGCTGAAACCTTGGCGCACACGGCACCACAAGCTCGTGCACCAACACTGTCGCTGGGCTCAAGGCTTACTTTCACACAAGGCCTGCTTGTCGGACAGCTGTCCATCATCGTCATTGCCGTCATCTTCATCCGTTACTTCATCTTTGAGGATGTGGACACGGCGTTGGAAAAGGAGCGTCTCGCTGTGAGTGTTTCCGGCACCCGCTTGCTGCGAATTTCCGTCTTAACCCACGCTTCCATGGCATTTGTAGCGGGTCAGACGGTCACAACAAGCAAGGGACAGAACAGCTAGAAGAAGGACCAAGAGCGCTTCCATCAGTCGCTCTAGCGCCAACCTCGCTTCCATCCTGCAGAACGTCGGCTACGACATCACCTCACATCCCTCAGAGAGCACAGACTGGCTCAATGTGCTGCTGGCACAGGCCGTTGCTGGCTACCGTGAGGACGTACTCTCTGGTGGAGCTATCTTACCCTCTTTCAAGGACCAAAGGACGGCCGAAAAGGAAAGAACCGCTCGAGAGCTCATGCAAGACATCTTGAATCGTCAGACAGGCAAGGCGGCCAGCTTTCTTGACCCGATTAGGGTGATGGAAGTCGATTTCGGGGATCAGTATCCGCTCTTCTCAAATGCACGAATCAGGCCAGCCGACGATGCCGGGCGCATGAGAGTGGAAGTTGACATTGATTACATGGACAGTATTACGATAGCGATCGACACGAAGCTTGTCATCAACATGCCACGGCCGCGCTTTGCAGTCCTGCCTATCTCGCTCAGCCTCACAATATCCCGCTTTTCCGGCACTCTCGCCATCGAGCTCTTTTCTACAGAAGCTGGTATAGTTCTGCCTCGCGAAAGGGGCGTTCAGACGCCCTCAGCAGCTTCCCAGCCGCGGTCGCGACACCACCTGCACTTCTCGTTGCATCCTGACTTTACTCTTGATGCGACAGCCTCTAGCCTATTGGGCTCAAGGGCAAAGTTGCAGGACGTCCCAAAGATCGAGCAGCTGCTTGTGGGCAGACTACGCGCGTGGGTGCACGATCGCTTCGTGTGGCCGCGCTTCTGGAGCCTGAGCTTGCCCAATTTAGTGCCGAGCCCTGGCGCTGCGAATGACGAGCCGGTTGGCACGCGGTCGAAGGTCCCACAGTCTGAGCATCAGATTCATATCTCGCGAGGAGTGGATCCACGTGCCGCGGAAGGGCAGGCAGCCGAGCTGGATGGGCATGAGCGTCTGCCCAATGGGAAGGGTCAGCGACATTCGGCCTCAGTCGCACGTGGTGAGCTTGGGCTAGAAGCATGGCGTGCACAAGCTGCTGGCCTGCCAAGCGTCAGTGGCTCAAGGACATCTTTGCAATCGTACAGCACGAACGAAGTAGACATTCGAAAACGATTCCAAAGCAGTGCTGGAGGATGGGGCCGAGCTGGCACTCTGGACTACGGGTGAACGAAACAGCGATATGCGCAGGACTGTATGCATATAATACAATGCAATAGATCACACTCTTCTCTTCTAGTACGAGCAAAGGGCATCGAGCTCTGCAATGATCGCTGATTCCAAATTTGGGATGTGAAATACCTCGAGCAGTTCTTCTTCCTGCCCCGCAAGCACGCCTAGCTCCTGCTTCAGCGATGTTTTGCCGAGCGGCATGATGGAGCTCTCGGCAGCGCCGCTTCGCGAGTCGCTGATCACACCCATGCCAAGGAGATCAGGCGCAGAGAAGATGTCGAGACTGTCGTTGATCAGGCGCAGCGATTCGACAAGACGGCGGATGAGAACTTCGAACGGATTGCGCTCGAATCCTTGCGACGACATGGCGAGGCGTTTGATCGCTCGAAAGATGACACGCGTTACGCCAGGAGCGTCTCGCAGCTGTCTCTTCACCGTCTGACTTGCGAGGAAGGCTACGTTAAAGAGGGACATGACGATACGCTCCGTGTAGGCCAGTCTAGCCTCCGTCTTGAACATAGCGAAATTGTCATCCGACACGGGGAGCAGGTGCACCAACTCAATGCCGAGTCGGAATATTTCCTTGTCGTTAATGACTCGACTGAGCACTTCTCGATTCACATCAGGTTGAGCCATTTTGGAGAATGCTTCCAAGGCCGTGTCGGCGTGGTGAGGTACTTTGATCGTGCCCTGGCCTGGCCGCGCGTCTTGGAACACGTTGCCTTCGATCTCTTCGATGACACTTGCATCGAAGATAAAGGAGACCATGAGGTCGAACAATGACTGGACAGTTGTGTTCGACATCACGCTGAGCCTCATCTGATCACCAGCGATGGACGCAATGATTGCGAGGACATCTTTTCGTACCCGGACTGCCTCTGCAAAGGTAAATGGCGTCTCGTTGCGATCCTCTGCTTTGCGCTTGTCCTCCTTGGGTCGGGCGTCCTCCAAATTGAAAAGGTCTTCCATTTCAAAGCAATCGCCCGCTCGGGACAGACGAGAGCAGAGCTGAAAGAGTCGTGGCTGCTCATTGAGATACGCAATGTTCCCAGGCATCATGGCAAAGTTGCGAATGATGTTGAGGATAGTAAGCGCCAGCGTGGCGTTTCGCTCTTTTGATCGATGAATTCTCTCTTCGTTCCAAAAGCATTGTCCTTCTTCCTGCTTTGCGCCTGGATGCTGCCCTGAGGAGCTTCCCTTCGAGGGGGAAACAGTTTCTGCAGCCGCTTCCTCGGTGTTTGCAGCGCCTGCTTCCTTGTTGGTAGGCTCAACAGTAGTTGACATAGATCTGCGCCTGTCTAGGCGGTGAGTAATTTCTCGGGGATGTTGATTGGACTCGGAAAGGGATCTTGCACGCCTGTGCCGGCGCCACTCGCGCATCTCAGACTCGTCCGCTTTCGCAGTTCGCACCATTTCGAGGTGGCCTTTGATGGGGCGCCTTTCTTCGGTATTGTGGTCAACATTCTCGGCGCAATCCGCTCGCGCCTCCTCCACCCCGAAAGCAGCTTCGTCGAGCAGATCAAGCAACTCGTCGAACATATCTTCGCATGGAGTCAAGAGGAACTCGAATTGGGGCGGTGCGCCGACTCCGTTCGAGAGAATCTGAAGCGCATTAAGAGCGTAGCTGACTTCATGCGCAAGTCGGGAGCGTAGTGACATGGTCAGCGCGAGAATGTCAACGGTGCCTGTTGCGCAAGGGAAAAAGCAACATGGTGAGCTTCTTTTCTCTGCCAGACTTGAGGGCCCCTCAGCTTACCAAGTTCTCGAACCTGCCGCGGCTGCCTTCCTCGCCCGGCCAGGACACTTTCGAGTTCGCGATCGACCATCTCCAAGTCCCACCCGCCATAGCTTCGTACGTCTCTTCGTACCGGGGTGTACTCGATCTTATGCTTGACAGTGGGCCGTGGTGGCGGCGGGGGAAGTTGGGCGACGCTGTGAGCGCCAAGAGGCATCGCACTGGGTGCCAGTCCTCGGGTGGCCATGACACCGATCGGAGCTGCGCCCGCGCTGGGCGAATCGCCCGCTGGATGAACTCGAGGCTGCATGCCAGCAGTTTCTGCAGTACCGACGGCTGTATGTCCCGAAGCAGGAACTATCGCAGCAGCGATTGGTGCTGGCGTTGATGCGATCGGCAAGCTCTGCATTCCTGGCAATGGGGCAGAGTTTGGCGGGGCAAAGCCAGTACGCAAGATGGCGTGCGCAGTGGCAAATTGCGAGGGATCTGTGAGCTGTCCAGAGCGTACGAGATTGAGCACGTGCTGCTGTTCCTGACTCATGTTGGTGGGGATTTGCGGTTGCGGTTGCTGCTGCTGCGGCGGCGGCGCATCCAAGGCTGTAGGCGCAGGAGCAGCGGCCTTCACCTTTGCAGGACGTCCAACCTTGCCTTTACCGCGCGTATCGTCGCCGTCATCTGCTCATCGAGGGACGAACGTTAACAGCGATTGGGACACATACGTGATGGTTAGAATACTTACTCTTTCGCTTCTTAGGTCCTGGCTTTCCCTTCTTCTTCGCATCTGCTTCAGGCTGCTGCAATTGCGGTTGCGGTTGCGCCTGCTGATGCTGATGCGCAGGTTGCGACTGCTGTTGAGGCTGCAGTTGCAGCTGCTGCGTTTGTGGATAGCCTGGTTGCGGTTGACCAGACGGCATCGTGGGCACCGGTTGTTGCTGGCTCGCTGCGCCAGACACACCTGACAAGTTCACCTGTTGGCCTTGCTGTTGCTGTTGTTGTTGCTGCTGCTGCTGTTGGGCTTGCTGAGCCTGATACCGAGCCAGTTGCTGAAGCGTTTGCTGCGGTCCAGCCGAAGTGATACCGAACATCTGCACTGCACCTTGCGGCGCTCGAGGGAGTTGCTGCTGCGGCTGCTGCTGAGATTGCTGTTGTTGTTGAGAGTACGACTGCTGTGGTTGCTGCTGCTGCGGGGGAGGAAGCTGTGCATTTTGTGGAGTAGCGCCAACTGGCTGTCGTTGCTGTTGAGTAGCACCTGCCACGGCTTTCAGCTGTCGCACAAACTCATCCCTGGCCTGCTGCGACGACATCTTCCCCGCTTGAACCAAGGCACCGAGATGCTGTTGCACCTGATTCATCTGCACGCGCTCGTTAGGGCCCAAAGCCTGCAACATGCTGATCGTTGGCATTTGTTGCTGTTGCTGCGACTGCTGCTGCTGCTGCTGCTGTTGTTGTTGTTGCTGTTGTTGTTGCTGTTGTTGTTGCTGTTGTTGTTG